ATATCTAAGAGTTCTGAACTTCTCAAATAACTAAACTTTTTATACATACAACTCATCAGATTTCATTGAAACTGAGACTCAAGATATAATATTTCAGTGTAATTAAAATCACAGTAGAGTACAACATCTTTCTTCAACTTTATAAGCTTGAATTTTGAAAGCATTTCTTCTACTATCTTTGCTAAATATTTATCATTCAATACACTTTCATCTCTCAAATGAATGATTATAGCTTTCAATTACTCTGTTTTATTATAATTTTTCAATGCTGTCAGTGTAAACTCTCTCTGCACTGTATTTACTGAATCTTCTCTTATAAAGTTAAATCTACAACTTATAGTATCTGATACAATAATATTCAACTCTTTTCAGTATTTGATTTGAAGATCATATATCTGAAACTCTGATATTCATTATATCAGTCACTTAGAGAGTTTAATTATTATTTATAAATAAATAAAGCTTTCATGATCAGTGATCACCATTGTTATATACTCATTATTGATATATCAATTTTATAGATCTAGTATATACTTGATTATTAGAAGCTTCTTCTTATACACAGAATAGTTAAGCTCTGTATCTGATAGCTTTCAGTCATTATATACTACTGAGTGTAATTTATCATTCTTCTTCACTTGTAAGAGAGAGTACTCAATGGCTCATTCTGATATATCTGTTTCAATTGTAAAGAGTTTTGTATAATTCAGTTGAACAAGCACTGAGAATGTTATTATATACTTTCTTAATTTCAGAAAGATCTCTTTGCAGAAGATATTTCAGATAATTGAATAAAATTTCTTCTTATACAGCTCAGTATCTGTCTTCTTAAGAAGATTCAATAATGAAGCTGTGATTTATATAAAGTTCTTCACAAATCTTCTGTAGTATAATACCAGTCTCAGAAATTGATGTATATAATATATATTTTTAGATTTCAGTCATTTCACAATAATCTTCATCTTTTCAGAAATTGAATATATACAACCCTCTTTCATGAGATATTCTACAAACTTCAACTTCTTTGTATCAAATATATATTTTAATGATTTAGTATAGAGTTTGTACTCTGTCAGAGTTGTAAGCATCTAATCTATATATTGTAGATACTTTTTATATAAATTTAAAAAGATCAAGATATTATCAAAATATATGAGACACAATCAGTCATTCTGTTTAGTGAGAATTATATTCATTATTATTTGAAAGATTGCAGAGGTATTTATAAGCCTTATTAATATTATAAGAAATTTAAATTTTCTTCATTGAGTGTTAAATACTGTTTTGAGCACTGACAGTTCATCTACACAAATCTGTCAATATTCTATAAGTAAGTCAATCTTCATCAGATATCAGATATTCTCTATTATATCTAATTATTGCTGAATTTATAACAGTAAATATTCATTCTTTACAGTGAACTTATTAAGCATCTGATAATTGATGTATATATATCATTCTTCATTCAGTTTCTTAGTAAATAGAACTGAGAAGCCTTATATACTAGAGAATAATTATATAAGATCTCTCTTCAATAATTCTTCTATCTGCTGCTGTAGTTTCTCAAGATGTATTTACAATAGAGAATATATATTGCAATTTATTGATTTCATATTCTCTGTATCAATTTCATGAATGAATTCTCTTTCAGATGATAGAGAAGATAAAAGATTTATTTGAAAGATCTTTTTATACTTTTCAAACAGTATCTTCATATATTTTTCATTTTTAGAGTCTTTTGCAGATGATAATTCCTCTATCTTAAATTCTCTTATAATGTATAGAATACTCTGAGTTGAAGATTTATACAGTGCTTATTTTACTTGATATTGAGTGATGAAATTCAAGTCTTCTGTCTCTGATATACAGAATCTGCATCTCATATTCATAAGTAGTATTATATAAACTTGATTCTTACAATCTGTCAACTGCAGATGATATATATATCAATAAATTCTGAAATTATACTTCTGAAATCAATCAAGCTTCAAGATCAGATTATATTCTATATCTGAAAATATATATACTCAGATACAGCAAAATTATTTCTTAAAATACAAGAACATCTTTATTCTTGTAGATGAGATAAGATATTGATTATTTGAAAGCTTTATTTATTTAGATTCCTTTATTCATTGTATATCAGACAATCTTATTAGTATATAATTATTAATATACTTCATTGAAACATCTATATTCAATAATACTTTCACTGCTATTTCTCTTTTCTGTCTCAGATACTCTTTATATATCAGTGTATATAATTCTACAGTATTTAGATATTTATCTGCTTCTTCTTCTGCACTTACCTCTTCATCAATTTTATCTTTAACTTTTATAGAATTCAGAGAATCATCTAGTGCAGATAATTTATTCACTTTGAAGATCTTCAGTAGTTGATTAGTAAATATCTCTGACTCTACTGATCTGTCTAATTTTTTGATTTTTTGTTCTGCAGATGACTTCAATAATCTTTTGTAAGTAGAGTCTTATATACTTACTCTACTGTCTATAGTTGTGAATTAAGACACTTTTATTTAATGTATAGCTTAGATATCAAGCCATGTATAAATATCTACAAATAGAATAATATTGAAAGCTTCTGATTCATCACAAAATAATACAAGCTGAAATAAATGTAGTATAATACAAAATCCTCTTCTTGCTTGTATTTCATAAAGTGTTCATAATACTTATCTTTAGTATTCAATTTTTTGAAATTATATAGAATTCATCTTACAAAATCATCTCATATCTGCAGTAGCTTATACTTGTCAGATATTTCTGTATTCATTTTCTCAGCTATTATTCAAAAAAATCTAGCTGTTTCTCTAAGAATAGATGCTGTGTATAAAATCTGCTGTAATTCAGTGGATTGTCATTCTGTAAGCTCATACTTTATATAATAATGGAAATGCATACAACTCAATCAGTTAAGAGCAGTATTATTCTTATATTTATTATTAAAATATAATAGATTAGATAGATTATCTGACTTAATATATTCTATAATGAGTAATGTATTCTTTAGAAGCACTGTTTATATTGTATATACTGAGTCAGAGTCATTTACTGAAGTATTAATATTGAGTGAGCTAGTTAAGTTACACAGTGAAATCTCAAAAGTCACTGAGTATTCAGTTTTATAATATATGTGTTTCAGTTCTCAGCAAAGATCAGTCATCTGAGTGTCTTATTCATTTTTAATGTTTACTAAGCTATCTACAAAATTTATAGCATCTGCTACTTGTTATTGAATAACTTCTGTATACTGATATTTCTTCTGCACTTCAAGCTTTATCTGATAAAGATTATACATTGCTAGAATCTCTTTCAATAAGATATTACAGATGAGAAGTTTATCATTCTCAGATGTAAGAGCTGCTGCTCTATATACTGCTTCTTATAGATCTTTGAGAACTAGTTGCATTTTCTGTGATTCAAGTACAAGAGATGAGTGTTGATTGTAGATATTCATAATAATTATCATCAATCATACACTTTTCTCTGTATCTTAAGAATATCATTTTTATGAAGTGATTTCTTGATGATATTCTCTTGATTGTACAACTGACTGATATCTTCTTCTTAAACTTACAAATAGAATGATTCTTTGAATCATCATTCATCTCTACACCATCTTTCTATACTCTCAGCTTGCTTTATATTTTGAGATGAGTTATCTACTACTGATATTGCAATTGAAAGTATTTCAACTTCATCACTTGTTTGTACAATTGAGTCCTCAAGTGTAGAGATGACCACACTGACATGATAACTACAACTCATATCATAGATGAAATTATCATGCCCTCAGAAGTGTATGCTCTCTTTGGTTTAGACATACTATCAGATGTGATTCAAAGATTGCTTAAGCTTCCCAAAGCTTCTAAGCTTTGCAGCTCTTCTTATATGAAATAACTAGTGCAGTAGTGTATGCCATCCTTGATAATAGAGGGTGGCATACACCCCGGAAGAATAATAAACCGAAATTACTACATCTCTGTGTAGACATTGGTGGAACAGACAATATTCTGAATATTAATCTCTGAGATATAGAGAGAGAATAGAGCATATGGATTTGTTGAATTGATATTGAATAGATTGGTTGTTGGAGGCTGCTGTAGAGATTGCATAGGATTGAATTTAATACTCTCTAGAGGTGGAATGGATGCCAAAAGTGAACTGAGAGATTGTTTTCACTTTGCATCTGTTTTTATACTATCTAATAAAAAATATCAGTTAATCTGATTAAAAGAAGCATTGGAGAATTGGAAATCACCTGTAGAATTCATATTGCTATCCCAGAGTGGACAGAGTGGATAAATTATGATGAGAAGGTTCCAAGATTGCAGAATGTGTCAAGCAGAAAATATGAGAGTGTGGATCTTGTATCAACAAATCAGATTACATAGAATTTAGTATGAGAAATTATTGGTTGGTACTTCTGAACTAACAGCTTAGTTATTACACTAATTGTATTGCGCTAATTGTGCCTAGTGGCCAGACGAAGGGATAAAAGGGCAGCGAACTTAACTATGCGCCCAGTTGTGATTTGTCCCGGCCATGATGGGAAAAAGCATCACACCCGGAATGTAAACGGGGTACAAATACCATCAAACGCCCCCCCTCGATCGATGAGTGTGTGGTGCCAAGACCATCATTTTGGCATCAAAGGGGCCCAGCTTCAGCCGTCCCAGCACAAATGGTAATTGATTAGTAGGAAAAATAGGTTATGATTTCGAGGGATGAAACTGCTAGAGTAGCAGGGTGTATGGGCACGCTTGCACGCTATTTGTTTACTTCGTATTCTAATCTAATCAAGAGAGAGACATCAAAACTCTAACTATCTATCTAGATAAACAGAGGATAACGGATATTATCTATGTCTCTGTACAAACCCGCCTCAAGTCCCTCAACCTCCCTTCTATAGTTAACATTATCTACAAAACACATTACATGATAATAAATACTAGTACATCAGAGGGAAAAAGTAAAAATCACAACCTCCCCTGTCTCACCTGCACCCAAACTCCATACGCCTCCGCACAAACAACCTTCCTCTTAACCCACTCCAGCTGACCCTTCCCCCTCCCTTCCCCCGCCTCTTCCTCCTGCACAAGCTGACCCTGCATGCAAAACTTCCTCCCATCCCTCGCCACACACCACGCCTTCACAACAGCCATGCCAGGAGCCCGCACGGGCTTCCGATAGCGAACGTCGAGCTGCGCCGTATATAGACGCGCGCGCTCCACGCTCTCATTCTCGTCGTAGCCCGGGATGTGCACCGAGACAGCCATGGACATGACTTCATCGAGTAGGGTAGCAACGACGCCGCCATGCGCTGTGTTTACATGGCCGTTTAAGCCCGGCGTGCCGAGAGCGAAGAGCGTGAAGAGGTCGACTTTCCCTGAATGGATGGGCGTCGGTTTGGGTGCATCAGGGCCCGTGGCAGGAGGCGGGAAGCGGATGTATGGCGGCTTTGGCGGTGGTGTGTCTGGATGTGTTTTGCGCAGGGTGAGGCAGTAAGGGATTGTGGTCGGTGAGCCGATTGTGTGGGCAATGAAGGCATCTTCACCGGTTGAGGGGTCAGAAGTTCTGGAGGATGTTTTTATAGCGGTGTGGGTGGCCAGGCTTAGGAAACTGGAGGTCCAAGGGTCGGATTGGAAGTGCTTGAGGGTTTGCGCGGGGACTGCATAAACAGGAGGGTTCATGGGAGTAGAGGAGGAGGAGGACATGGCGCTGTTCGTTAAGGTTCTTTATTTATTTATCCCGCGCGCCTGGACGGGGCGGGCATCGTGCTGGCGAGATGAGAGGGATATTGATTAATTGGCGGATTGGAACATGCCTGGGAACAAATGTATGAACGAGAGGAGAGCAAACAGGAGTATATCCACCAACCTAAAAATCTTTTGTATTTCTCTCATTTTGCTTCCACCACAACCAGGCACACCGTGATGTAAGAAAATCAAGCCCGAACAGACCTCGGCATTTTTGATTCAGGAGTTCGGGAGTTTAGTCAGAGCCAGCTTCGACGGGCGTGGTTAGAACTCCAACCAGGGTTCAAAGCTGAACAAAGCCGAGCGGGGTTCACGACCCATCATATTTTAAGCCACTAGCCAATTTCCCACTCCCTTTTCCTCTCGAGAAGATCATGATGAGCTGAGATGGGATGAGATGGGATGGGATGGGATGGTGCATTTATACATAGCACAGTTGATCCGATCTCGCAATTTGCCAAGACCGACCTTGTTCATCTGGGGGCTTAGTAATACAACCCTAGGCGCAGTTTCAATAAACAACAGAGCCACACCAAGGGGGCATATCCAAGATTATCTGTCCAAGAGTAATGCAAATGGACGGGGCAATGACTTTTTTCAAGAATAGAGAGCAGATACAGATTTGCTGCTTTCTGGGGAAGCAGTAGTATACAACACCAAGAAAATCAACCACATTTAACGGAATTCTAATAACGTGTGGGCATCTCCCGGACTTTCCCACTTCGGATGAGCTTCAACGGCATCAAGACGATGTTCAAAGGTATCCTGTGATTTTCAGACGGCATGCTATAGCAGATGGCCATGGCTACATCTCACAATCAACATTGGATGCTAACCAAACAAAAAAAAAGGCAAACAGAAACCTATTGGCAGTGGCATGTATTAAATAGTTACCAGTGAACTAGTCTATCTGCTCATTTAGCCATGGATCCTCAAGCAGTTCCTTCGCTGTCTTTCTATCTTCTGGTCGCCATTGAAGCATCCCTCTCATAAAAACTAGAAACATTTCTTTATTTCTTCCCTCAAGAAACTCTTCTGATTCTTCCAAACTTGCTTGGGGTATCTCTATGTCATGCTTCCACCGTCCTGTGAAAGTCTTTGATAAGCCTATCACATCTGCTAGATACTCTCATGGAAATAGAGATAACACATACCATCTTCAGTAAAAAATTCAAGGCTCCGCTTTCCACGCTTGAGCATATCTAAGGGAGGCGGCCCCAGAATGCCAATCACCTCAGCAAGATGTGCACGGGTGGAATACCCTTTCCAATCAGGATCATTGCCACGGAACATGTGCTTGCCCTCAAACAAGTCCCAAATCTGATTTTCCCCACTCATTAGTAACCTCAAAGGAGCATGATGAAGTGGGGAGAATAAAGAGTAAAAACATACCATGACACCAACATTCCATATATCAATTGGGTAGCTCCATTCAGTTTTCAGCATCACTTCTGGAGATCTGTAAACATTGGGCTGTGCATCATGATTTCTCCTCTCATCTCCTCGTACAGCTGAACCAAAATCACTGAGGACTACCCGGCCAAATATCTTTGGTAATTCAAAGCGTCGGGAAGCATACACTGGTATCCCATTGATAAACTTTCGCGGTGAAGGGTTCTCCATTTCAGCTTTTGTAAAGCTTTCAAGGATCGCTCTGTCCTTTATTTCTTGAAGAATGTTATCACCCTTGATGTCTAATAAGGCTCTGGGTTAGCAGTTGTACTTTTGAGAAAATGATGTACTTCTCACCTGTATGAACAAGCTTGCATTCAGTATGGAGGTAGTCAAGTGCAAGAAAAACTTGTATAAGACCAGCTCTGAGTAGATCCTCAGTAAACCGATGATTGGGATTGCGATAGAGGAGATCCTTGAAACTCTCCCACATGGGTTTCTGAACAAGACAGTGATGGTCACCTTCGGAATGAGGAATGGTGAACACATCTAGAGCCTTTCTCACATGGGCATAACTAGGATGTGATGGATTTTGTTGATTCAGATACTTATAGATCTGAAACTCTTCCTGATTAGCTTTGTCACGCGTATATATCTTCACTGTCGCGTATTTATGACCTCTGGTTGCGTTAGCCTGCCATAGTTGAATATAAGCGGGAGCTGAATTACTCAAGATCACGAGCGAGCCATACGGTGGAGGTAACCCCAAATCCCAATTTACCGATGATCTGGTATCTGGAACTCAAGACATCTCCAATGTTGATAGGATAATATTGTCCTTTCTTGAACGCTTCAAATCGTTCCTCTTCAAGTTCAGACCCACTGACCGTTTCGAAGCCACTGGTTGGAAAACACAAGGGAGGGGAGGGAACTCTTCGAAAGGTGGCCTTGGCCCATCGCAGGAGAGAAGTCATGATGAGAGCACGGAGGAGCAAAGTGGGATGGATGTGTTTGATCAAAGCGGGGAAGGGAAATGGAGGGCGACGGCAGTTGGTTAACTAACAACACTGTTTATATAATATTCATTAATAACTATCGGTAGGTTCTAAGAGATCAGCAATTAACTTTGAATATAAGAGTTTGCTATCTTATTCCATATATATCAATATATACTTCATTGCCAACCACTGTGTTTGCAGCTACCAGTGAGCATATTACTAATTTTGAGTATGGGTGTGGTTTAGTAGCACGAAGATAGCTTTGGCACTGTTGGCTCCAACCTTGAGCCCGGGCGCCTCGGCAAAATCCTGTAACCCAGGTTCGGTCGTCGATAACCCTCAGCTATTGTGAGCCATGCAATGGCGACTCCAACACTGTTGTGGGCCGGCGTTGGTGACCGCTACCGCGAGCGTTCAGGGTGCTTGGACGTTTTGAATAGGGTTTCTGCAGAGATGCAGAATTGGAACAACGCAGAGAGCGCAAAATTGAGGAATTGATCGCTGAATCGAATCGATAGGCGGGCCGGACCGGACGCTAAAGAACGAACACAGTCTCCCCATAGAAGAAGCAAAAAAAGAAAGAAAGAAAAAAAAAAACGAGAGAATAATCGCACCGAGGAGTTACCAAAAGAACCGTGCGAGCGCCGAGGGGACAAGGCTCCTCATTTCCTAGAGAATGAACAGTGGAGATGAAGGCCTGACGGATACTGACAGGATACAGACCCTGGCGGTTTCACCTTTGCCCTCATCACATTTGCTTGAGGGGCAAACCACAGGCTAGAGAGGTGGCTGGGGCGTGGAAACCGGGGCTTGACCAAAGTCGCGCTATTCACTCCTGCTAAATGACATATGACAGGTTGTTGGCACAATCAATTTCCCCAATGTTGGGTGAAATTTCTTGGGTTTTGTTGAGTTGGGGCGGGTAACGCTGCGGACGTTGTTAAAATGGATTGATAGGACGCCAGCAGAGAGAATACACTCCGCCAAGGATAAATGAGAACTTTGCTGCATTCTTTCTCATTCTTCTGAAGAGCAAACTCACTGAGGCTTCTTGCGGTCAGCGGGAAAAGAGGAAAAATCGCCTGGAATCTAACCGCGGTGTAACTGTGTCATGGTCTAATTGGCAGATACAAGCCGGCCCAAACAGAATTGTATGGCAGCACAAGTCACTCTCCGCCGGCACTACAGCTACCTAGGGAACCCGCAAATGTCCCCATTGGGCAACAATTAGCCGGGGGGCAATTTGGTTTCTGATTCTTCAGTCAACTATGTAACTAGTTAGTCGACTAGTTCTTGATGATTTTATCATTTATTTATCCTTCCTTCCGCAGCTTCACTTTTGCCTGTTTGGGTTTTCCATTTCCACTTTCTCCCTGCTGACATCGCGACATCGCATCACCAATTCGTCCTGTTCTCGTTCCAACAACAGCAACAGCCTATCTATCGCACATATTATTCTCCGTGAATTGGATCTAATTTATTTTAACTGTTGCCCTTGCTCGAGAGTCTCCCCCCAGCTCCACGGAGATCCCTACGCAGATCAGCTCAACTCAGTTGAATCCAAGGTCAACCTTGGAACCGGCCAGGAACACCATAGCAACTCCCACCACAACAAAACAACAACAACAACAACAACACAGCGCTCGGCCACAATTCAATTCCACAACCCTCAACCTACACTCAACAAACTCAGACCCAGTGTTGTTGTACCAGCGCAGTTCCACATATAAAATCCTAAAGCTCCCCTCAGCTGGATACCGCTCCGCTCAGCCGACTCTGAATCGCACTGCGCTGGAACTTCCACAACCTGCCGCGCTTGGTTCCTGTAAATTCGTGATTGCACACCAGCAACATGTTGCTCTCCGCTATTGTCTTCGCGGTCTCTCTGCTGGTGTCGGGAATCCAAGCCCAAAGCTTCGATCCTCAATCTGTTTCTGACGATCTGAAACGTAAGTACAAACGCTCCGTGCATTACTTTCTTTTTGAAACCAACAAGAAACTCGGACCATGGGTGTGTCTCGCTAACCTAAAAGTGCCCAGTTTCATGGTGTGATGCCCAACTGGCGGCTTGCCCTAAGGTTTGCAAGAGTTTTGCATCCGTCAACAAGTGCGATGCGGTACGGGCATTCCTCTAGTTTCAAAAAATCATTTCATATAACGCAGCAATACCATTCACGCTGCTTTCCACATGTCTTCTTTCTTTTTATTTTGCGCATTTCGCTAATTTCTCAACAGAATGATTTGTCCTTCACGTGTACCTGTGGGGACGGCAGCACCCCAGACCTTACCAAATATATGAACACGATCCCCTACTTTATCTGCACGGCGACCTATGGACAATGTGTCAAGAGCCACCCCGATGACTTGTCTGGCCAGAGAGTCTGCAAGACGAACCAAACGAAGTGCTTGGGAACCATAGACCCTCTCAAGTCTGCGACAACCACGAGCCAGATTGAGCAAACCAGCGCGGCCAAGCCCACGGGCAAACCCACCGTCACACCCACGACCACGAGCGAGCCAGCAGCCACAACCACCAGCAATCCAGCTTCAACTCTTCGCATTCCAGGTCATTCCTCCATGGGTATCATGGTTGCCTTGTTCCTCGCAGCATTCAAGTTCTTCATATAGATGCCTCCTATCGTCACTGATGGCCACTGTATTATTTTAATACGAATGAGGCCGACCGGCTTGTTGTGCTTTAATGCTGATCATGCGTTTTTCATGCTGTCCGTTATGATGTGAGCAGAAATACTGAGATGAACGGAAGAGAACGAGGAAAGAATGCAAGGAAAAAAAAAAAAAGAAAAAAAAAAAACCTCAGTGCAGGTGTCTGTGAGCTGTAGGAAACTTTATTTTTGTATGTTTTTCAACTCTGTAGTCCTTAACCCCCAAGATACCACGAGCAGCACTCATTCAAATGTGTGATTTAATGGTTATGAAGAGATGCAACAAACCAGGCACTGTTGCAATTGTAGTGATAATGTTAGATAATTCCACCGGACAACTTTTTCTCTCATGACTCCTTGAAAATTGTAGATAAGATATGTCTACCTCTCCTGTCGTTAGACGGTTGATGTAATAATGCTTTCTTTCGTTAGTTGCTGATCATCAGAACTATGACGCCAGTGGGCAAGAGAAGCAAATGCACTAGTATAGTGTACATGGAAGAAAATGGGAATACTATCATGCAATTGATGTTAAATTTGAATCTTTATATATTTTAAGTTTCTCCAATATCGCCTGGACCTACTTATGATTTTTTCGCATTTTATCCAATTTTCTCTAATTTTCTGCCAGTCGCATTGTGTCCCTATCAACTCCGTCTTGCTGCCAAAAGATACATTCGCCTCGCCAAGACCTTCTCCCACAACAACCGAATTTTTTTTGTCGATTCTATCTTTCAACCGCTAAATATCATCCCGCCAACCTCGCATTTCTCCCCCATCCCAGTTCCAGATCAGATCAAGCCCCATCCAGATACGTTGTGTATACACTCTAGTATACCATAAAGATGGCTGCTACCCCTAACACCCTCCTGATCGAGGGCACGTTTGCTGAGCTAGCGGACGAGCTGGCCCAGTATATCGATGCCATCCGCAAAGTGGAGAAGGGCGTCTATGCCGAAATCACACCAGCACTCGAGGCTCTACGGGGGATAGATCAGATAGAAGAGCCTAGTGCTGCACAGCGGCAGCAGATTCTGTCCAAGAGGGATGAGGTTCTGAAGAAGATCGTTGTGGCTGCGCAAGCATTGAATGCAGCTCCAGAGAAGGGTGAGAAGACACTATCTGTTTATATAGATCTCCATGTATATACATCAAATACTATACCTAGGTGCACGAGGAGACTAACAAAGATGGATTCAAACACAGAAATCACCGCTGCTTATAATCTCCTTATCCACCTCATCCGCCAGTCCTCGTCCGTCAGCATGTTCCTCCCACGTATTTGCGGCTACCTCGCCAAACCATTTACATCCTCTCCACAGCATGGCTCAAGCCTTGCTATATCCATCCTCTCTACAATCTTCAATACCCTCGCTCCTCAAGATACAGGTCGCTATCACGTGTTTCTTGCTATCCTAGCAGTCATCCGCCAGGCGCCCTCCGTGTTTGCATTTACTGCTCTCAAATCACAGCTTAACACGCAGCTCCCCATCTGGATAGGGTCCTGGGACCTTGATGAAGAGGATCTCCAGCGCCTTCACCTGGCTATATCCGACGCAGCCAAAGAAGCCGGCGACTATGAACTTTCACACTCCCATCTTGTCTCCGCCCTCCAAGCAATCCCGCCCTCCGAAGCATCCTCTCCCGAAGCCCATGACCTTGCTCTGCGCGCCCTCCTATCAGCTCTTACCTCTCCCTCAGTCTTCGATTTCACCCCCCTCACTGCATCCGACGCCATCCAGTCCCTGCGAACAAGCGAACCTCACCTCTTCGAACTCCTCGAAATCTTCGCTGCAGACACCCTAGATGTATACGAAGACAGCATTAAATCCACCCCACTCTCCGCCATCCACAACCTCTCCGCCTCCGCCGAGATCCTCCAAACAAAAATGCGCCTCCTCACCCTCGCCAGCCTCTCCGCCTCCACTCCATCCCGCTCCCTCCCATACGACACAATCGCAAACGCCCTGCGTATCCCACGCGCGGATGTGGAGAAATGGGTCATCGACACCATCCGCGCCGGGCTTGTGGAGGGCAAACTCAGCCAGCTAAAGGGCGAATTCCTCGTGCACCGCGCGACGTACCGCGTGTTTGGCGAGAAGCAGTGGGCGGAGATCCAGGGGCGGCTGATGGTGTGGAGACGGAGTTTGGAGAACGTGTTGGGTGTGGTGAGGAGTGAGAAGGAGAAGTTCGTACGGGACGAGATGGCCGCGGCGGCCGCGGCCAATGCGGCTGCTGCTGCTGCTGCAAATGCGGAGGGTGGTGCGCAGAGAGGTGGGGAGAGGAGGAGAGGTGGTGGTGGACATCATCAACAAAGACAGCAGCATCAAGTGCACGAGCAACAGCCGAGAGAGGTTGAGTTGGTTGGCGGGGGCGATTAGTCTTTTTTTTTTCCTCCTTTTCTTCCCTTTTCTCTTTATTTGACCTTGGGATTTTCCTTTGTTGTATGGGGGTACTTTCTCATTATCTCACTTACTTCCCTTTCCCTCTCCTTTCTATATTTATTTTCCTTTTGGTTTCTGTTATCATGGATGAAATGCTCACAGTTTTTCCTTTCAATACTGTTAAAGAACTTGACGTGTTTGTCACTGACATCAAAAAATTTTTCTTAAAAATATCCCCCGTGCTTCCGCTGTATTTATTTAGAAACGGGTGCAACCTAACCTTGATGTCTTGTTTTGCGTAATTTTTTATTTTTTATTTTTTATTTTCATTTCATCTACTTCCCGGGGCGAGTGGGATCGGTGTTGAATCGAGGGGTCAGAATACTTATTTGGCGAGAAACAGATAGGAAAAAACTCAAAGAAAAGAGATAGAGAGAAAGAGGCGCCAAGAAGAAGAATAAAAATTGATTTTGATCTGTTGATAGGCTAGATAGAGAGGTAAAAAAAGAGGTTTTCTTTTTTAAAAAAAAAAAAAAATTTTTCCAAGAATTTCATACTTGTTTTAACTCCTTGCTCATGCTCCCATTTTTTTCTCATGTTTTTCTAGGCATTGGTGCTAGAAATAAATATATAAAAGGGATTTCGATCACATCCCGTTCCAATTTCGGGTGGACTTGGAGGAAGTTCACAGGAAAGAAAGTATGAAGAAAACTCCATCCCACCTAAAGGTCTGTCTTGAAGGGGGGACAAGACGACACTGGGATGGCTGGATGATGCATTAACCAGATATGTAGTTCCATGCAAATTTGCACCATGTATTGATCAAGAGCTCGCTGTTTTCAAGAAATTCTCTTTTACGACGAGGGGGAATCCGGTAACAGCAAAAAGATAAGGTATAATTTGAGAGGGGAAATATCCATTCTATCCATGTGTAGGGAAATAAGGGGGAAATAGAAAATAGAAAATAGAAAATAAAGAAAATGCTCATACCATCCCGCCATGCGTTGCAGAAATAAACAGTGAAAAGAGAGAAGGACCAAGATCCGAGAGAGATGTATATATATAAAAGGGGAAAAAAAATCATTCACTTTTCCTTACGCCCTCGCCAAACTAACCATCACCCAATAAATCCCATTCCCATCCCTTCAATTCTCCTCAGGCACAGTGACGCTCGTAATCCCCCTCCGCTCCACCCCCTCCCTAATCCTCGCATAGACATTTTCCATGGTCCCCACGGCCTCGACACTCACAACCTTCCCCTCTTTCTCATAATGGTGGATAACGGGCATGCTCGTCTCCTCGAAGACGCGGAATCGTTTGCGGATCGACTCGATGTTATCGTCGTCACGGCCGCTGGTCTTGCCGCGCTTCAGTAGCCGCTCCAGCATGACATCCTCGGGACAGCGCAGGAATATCGTCGCCGCGGAGGGGCAGACCGTCTCCTCGAAGAAGGTTGCTTGGTCCATCTTGCGTGGGAAGCCGTCGATGAGGAAACGGGCGGGCCTGCTGTCGTTGGCAATGCTCGAAGAAGGGGTTTCTTCTTTTTCTTCTTCTTGCTGTTTTTGTTGTTGCTGCCGCTGCGCTCGTTTCCGCTCAAGAGTTTCGGCCATGGCATTCGATAGCAGCGCCACGGTGATCTCCATGGGCACGATGATGCCCTCGCGGATATGGTGGCGGATCAGGTCGCCGTATTGCGAGCCAGCGCGCTGTTGCTCGGCACGCAGCAGATCGCCGGCGGACAGGTGGGTGAAGCCATAGTCGCGGACGAGGTTGGCAGATTGGGTGCCCTTGCCGGAGCCCGGGCCACCAAGGACGAAGACGACAATGACGGCGTCCGGGGAGAATTTGGGGGTGGTGTTTGTGGAGGAGAGAGGAGGCGTGAGTTCTGCAGGAATTGGGGTTGTTGAGTCTGCAGTTTCAGTTGTTGGTGTCTTCTGTGGGGATGACATTTTTCGGAGTTCGCGATTTGACGAGGAGGACGTAAGCGCCGCTGCCGATCAGGACAATTATGAAGCACGGGAGGATTTTGAGTTCTGAGGACGATTTTCGGGGGGGTGTCTTTGGCGCGGTGCTGGAGGTGGGGTAAGAGAGTGGTGGGCAGGACGAAAAGGAGGCGAATGGTTGGTGGTAGTGGTAGTGTGGGAAGAGATTGAGCCGTGAAGAAGCAAGACGGGGAGCGGTGGTGCGGAGGCGGGAGAGAGGGAGCGGCATTCCCTGCGTCTGGGCGGCAAGCGAATGGAAATGATAAAGAATGAGAGAAAGGGGAGGTGGATTTGCAGAATTTGTGGTCTGGGACATTACATCTTGAGCTTTATCTCGAGGTTTCTACATGGAGCTTGGAGGTCGGGGCGGAAAATAGTTGCACCGGGAAGCCGAAATGTACCCCGCTTACTAAATTGGGTGGAGAGGTACATGTACAGCACAATGTGGGAGAACAGAGAGCAGTCAACTGGTATCGGCATACATTGATTGACATAGCACCAAAGCACCATTCATAGATTGGATTATCATTGCGGGTGTGTTTTAAGACGGGGTTATCAAGGTTGAGCATCGTTGAAAAAGCTGGGTGTCTACTTATGGCATCTCTCACAGCTGCTGTGAACCGGTACAGGTTATCCAAATTTGCCCTCTGCAATTCGCTGCCGATATTAAGCTCACTAACTGGAAATATTCTATGGAAGAGCTACCTTACAAGCGAAGGAGCAGATAACCAGTGTTTTTGGTTGTCGGGATCGCAATCCAGAAGCCATAAATCGCCCAAAGCCTCCTAGGGAGGTAGACCGACGATGCCTGGCAATTACCATAACTTGACACGACAACTGGTCAAATTAAACACGGCAGATGTCGCGCAGGCTGCCAGGTCAAACTTGAGAAGGGTTTCCGCAGCTCGGAACGGGAAGATGATGTGTTTGTGCTTCGGGACCGACCATATCTATTCCTACGCCGGATTTTTGTCACACTTTCTCCAATGTCCGAGGCTCGAACTCTTTGGGAATCAAGTCAAGAAGGCAGGGTACCTGTCGAAGCACCATACTTTGTTCAACGTAGACAGCTATAAGGCGAAAGACCTGCCATGGTTTCAATGAAACGGCGGTTACCAAGACTGAAGGAAGTTTAAGCCGGAGAGAATGTGTGTATATAAACCCATCACTCAAATAGAACTGAATGCTAACTGAGATCAACCAGGAAATACAAGCTTTGAAACCCACAACAAACAGATCGTCTTGAGATTGCCCTGGAATGTTTAAATTGAACCAATGTATTTTCCACTGACGTTTTCCACCTCCAGATAAATTCCTAACTTTGTACTGTACAGTAAACCATGGCGTCTGTCTTCACTTCTCTGGAATAGTGCACATATTTGGAAAGGTTTCTAGAGCAGCCTCTCTCCGTTTGAATAATGTGTGCTCTACCAAGGACTCCCGCAGGCTATTTCAAATTCTTATTGAAGAATCCTTTCCTCGATGAAGGGAGCAAGTGACAGGTCAACAACTTAATCTATTTTGATTACCAACTTTTTTTTTCAAAGAGCCCACCATTTAGAGATGCTGTTTTTAAATATTATAAATCATTTTCGAAATAAAGCAAATAAATGAGAATTCGTCGGCCTTATCTAGCTTCTGTGCCTGTTCGCTCATTTTACTACAAGAGCTCTAACAGTTACAGAGCTGCTGCTGTTGTTGCACTCTTATTCGAACAAAAATATATTTTTTATAAATGTAAACATTCTTTCATGTTAAAAGGCTATAGATAAAATACTAGTATGCTCCGTATATATGTGAATATCACATCGAGCATGGGCTTTCCTATGTTTTGCGGAACGAGCTGTTTCCTGTTAAGAATGAAGAAAGAAAAAGAAAAAATATAGGAATCGAAGAGCGTCTAAACAAAGGAACAAAGATATGTAACTCAATCACCAACACGCCCTGAGTCGCCCGTCCATCATTGGTGTCAGCTCCAAGGATCAAATAACTTATTTAGCCAGCCAGCCCCATCCATGCCCGGCCACCTTGACAACGACCACCAGCAACATCCTCCACACGAACACGGAGAACGAAGTCACAGCAGCCGAACCAAATGGGAGATATTCATTTACGGAAAGAAAAATGGAAAATCAAGAACAAACTGGGTTGGGTTGGAATGTTGCGTTTCCCTTTGTTTCTGCCATCATCCAACATACGTAGTCGACATGTTGCCGCTCTGATGCAAGCTGCAAATGATTTCACCGAAGCTCTCATCACATCACATCTCCGTCCACCCAATCAGGCCATCTGAATGATCTGATCCGTGTTGCCCACCTCCACGGCCAAGACGAGAGACCCCCAGTATGGCCGGCGATTGGTGGCTGGGAGTAGCGTCATTGATGCACCCTGCACGGGGAGCCGAGTGGCCTAGCCAAACATCATGCATACTAGTACGGGGTATGGGATGGTGATTCTGCATCGGTCGATCCTTGGGTCTTGAGGCACCTTTCTGTGGGTGATTGAAGCATCCGTGCATCCGTTGCCGCCGCATCAAAGCCTGTCAAGGCTATGGTCCGGGGCTGAGATTGGCCCGCCATCTCGACTAGGGTGCGCAGAAGAATGCAAAGGGCTTGAGACCGGGCCAATCCCCGCTGCGAAATGAGGGGCAGAAGAGGAACAAGATGCACGCATGTCCTGGGCGGTAAGCCATCGATCAGAGGGATTGGTGAGGGGAGAGGGGAAAATCGGATGGAGGACAATATTGTTCTCACCATGTAACCGCCGACAAGGGCAGATACATCCCAGAGTACCCTGATCGCTGGGGAAAAGGGCTGCCGGTCATCAAGAGGGTCTGTTGTTTAACCTTCACCTGCTTGCCATCCGCCTCTCTTTCTCTCGTCGTTCGACTCCTTCTTCTCCCACTCTTCGATTCTAGCTTGTCTAGACACTGTGCGAGTCAAAAAACTCTACTCTCCGGGCGACTACTAGTCAGCCATCTGCTCAACCCGTCTGGGCGCTTAACCGCTGCTTGATCCTGATTGATCAGCTATCGGATTGCGAGTGACTGGGTGAACGTCTCTCGTCGCATTTCTCATTTCCTCTTTTCTAGCTGCTCCTTTTCCTCGTCCTCATATCGTCTCTTCTTCTCATCTCGACTCACCCATTCAACCACTCTCAATTGCTTCTCTCGCGCCGACTCACTAGCCCGCTTCTTTCTGTTTGCATTTCTTTCGATGCGGCTGGCTTCGCGATTATCATAAGCTGTGTTCTGCCCAGAACTGAACTCAGTTGATATATATACTTAATACACCACTTGAAGAAACAGTCTTGACCTTGGCATTATCGACAGACACCAAGGTGGATAGGCGCAAGGTGCAATATTTACAAGTTTGCCAAAGACTTGCAGATATTGCTATAGCTCCAGTCTTTTACTCTGCCAGGAGTTTCGCTGGAGTCAATTCCTTCTAGGTATGCGGCAACTGATTGAGCTCCCTCTTCGCTTGACAACTTGTCAACTTGACAACTTGACAACGATGAGATCTCAATTGAGACCAATTCTTACTATGTAGTTATTTTGTACGCAAAGAGATCGCTAATATTCCTTCTGCTAGATCCCTCGTGGGTGACGAAAGTCAGGACAAAACGCAATCTGTCCTCTTCCAGCCTTTTATCCCTCTCTCATCTTCTTCTATAATTTTCCCATCGGAGCTGGTCTCTTCGACACCTTTACCTTCATTGTCGTGTATCTACGATAGTCCACTAGCCTTCGACTTGACGGTTGTTCAAGGAGAAAGCAACTTTCACTGATTGACCTGAGATTCTGCTATGACACATTCGAACTCCAGTGGCGATCGTTCCGACCAGTATGAGCCAGTTTCTCCCGTAGATATTATTAACCCGAGACGCTCAAAGAACGCAGGCCCAATGTCTGTCCCTAAAGATCCAAACGAAAAGCCATCTGGTCCCGCTGCTCCCGCCCTAAAATCTCCTCGAACCGCTCGATTTGCAGAAGTTACAACCTTCCACTCTCCTATTGACCCACCTGGAAAATCTCCCTTCGCGGATCCACCGTCCATGTCCCAAACAAACCAACAAACCCAGGTCTCCGACCTAGGGTTTGGTTATATGGCAGACAATCAACCTGATCACGTCACAGAACAACCCCAGACGGCAGCAGGTCGAAATCCACCAAACTCCCCCTTAAAGAGCGCCCTCAAGTCTCCTGGTGCCCCTGCACGTTCGGTCTTGCTCAGTCCTACTTTTCGTGAAGAACAGATCCTTGAGCATCATGAGAGGGATACGGAGAAAGCAAATGCAAAAGATGTTGTGGGTGGCCCTCCCTCCTTTCTCAAATGAGTAATTGTTCAAATGACAAACTCACTAACAGCAATACAGAAAATTAAAACACGCGTACGCCTAGCTAAGGTTTTGCTGCGTGGTGTCAGCTTTAGCTGCAGTCTGATTGTCCTTGCTTTAGTAGCCTCTACTTTCTCAATATTTAATGCCACCCGGGGCCTGGCACAAAAAAATTCCTTCACTCCTTGGGCACCAAACACGCCTGTATGGCCTCAAATCCTCGTGCTTTGTATTGCGGCCGTGTCTCTCTTGTTTAGCATCGGGGTTCTCTACGGATACTGCCGTGGTGGCCACAAACGGGCAGAAAAAGTAGCCGTTTACTACACTGTATTTTCTGTGATGGTTTTCATTGTGACGCTGGTTATGTGGGTTGTCGGTGCAGCTGTATTACAAAACAGCAGAAACTCTTCGTCAAACAAAGACATATGGGGTTGGGCTTGCAACCCAGGAACCCGCAGGGACATCTACCAAGACCAAGTTGACTATGAGCTTATCTGTCGTATGCAGGTAAGTATTTGTTCCATTCGTGATTTGACGAACAAAAATATCCAGAGTACTAATTTCCTTTCTAGGATTGGTCCCTTGTATGCTGTGTCATTGAGGTTGTCATTGAAGTGCTTGTCATCGGCATCTACGCTGTGGTCTTCTACCGCTTCTACTCCAAGCGCAAGCTACGCAAATCTATGGACATGCGTGACAAAGCACGCTCCGATCTTTACCTCGCCCATTTGCGAAGCCAGTCTGCCCCAAATACCCCGGGGTTTTCAAAGTATCATCCAGGGTCGCCACCGATGAGCCCCGCCCTAAAGAAGGGAGATAACTATGCGTCCGCCGAGGAGGGCTACTCTACGCAATATGCCAACCCCCAAACCCCGGAATCCACGTACGTGGGTACGCCCCGACCTTTCCAACTCCGCCCACCTCCAATCCGCGTCCAAGACGCCACGCCCAAAATTTCGCAAGATGGCTTCAACATTCCCATGTCCCCCGCCACCATCGAACGTAGGAACGAGCACGTCGATGCCGCACCCGGCGAACAGAAATATGAAAGTGTACCCATTCCCGGTTCTTACGCCATGCCTCTCACGAGCCCTTCATTCGCCCCTGAGACACGAGGCAGTGACGTGATCCCCGGAATGGCAGTGACAGCAGCAGAACGCATCGTGCCGTCTCGCAACTCTTAAGTTAGCTAAAAAGGCCTGCGTGGCTTTTTGTTGCGAGTGTTTCGCTGTATAGTCAGCCCTTGTACGACGAAAATTGGCGTCGGGCTGAATGAGAAATCGATATAACTGTACGATTATTTTTTTATATTACAGCTGCAAATAAGCAAGGTACAAAGCCCGTTCGGAAATCTGATTCGATTGGGAAATCAAAAACAAACAAACAAACAAACAAACAAAAACAAAAAAAAGAAAGAAAAAAAACCAAGGGAGCACAAAAAAAGATGCCTCTCAATTCTGGTAAAAAATACCGGACGTTTTGGAGCTAACGTTTTACAAAACAACACCCGACCACATTGGATCTGGAGGAACTTTCAATCACGTTTTCCTGTGCGACACAAACGGACCCCTCACGGGACGAAGTACGTACGGCGAGCAAGAATTCGGTCTATGCGAAGTCGAGGGACGAGGGCGTATTGGCTGGCGTTAATTCGGCTTTGATTCTTTCTTGCCATTTCCTAATATCCACTCACCCACCCGCAAACATATATATATATATATATATATATATCCTCGATGATTAATACGTCAGCTATTTCCATTTCCTTTATTCATTTGTTTCCAGGTTGATATGACGGCAAAAAAATACGTCCCTACATCCGTTTCCAGTTCAAGACGTATTATTGTCAGCGCGCGCATCTGTGCTGTTCTTGTTGATGACGGCGGTGAACTCGGCGACAAATTTGTCTCATCTCCTTTTTTCCACCTCCTTTTTTTTTTTTTCTCTTTTGCCTATTTTCGGCTGATTATGTGCTGGAGAGTTGAGAAGAGAGGCAGGCAGCTGAAGGACTTGAACTTGAAAAAACAACTAAACCAACTACTCCCCCGACTATGCTATATACCTTTTTTTCCTTCGAAATTTTACTCTGAGCTTACCCCCCCCCCCCCCCCCCTTTTTTTTTTAAGCTTAACTAGCTATTTTATTGTCCAGTCATATTAATCATATTGATCAATATCTCTCCTACTATGTAGTGCAAATATAAATATGCCCCTCCTTCGATTTGTCGTCGTGGTGCTCTCAGGCCATGCATAGTTACTGTAGTACCTAGGGACATCAAGCAATGTATCTGCGTTCATGATTCCCCCAGGGATCTATCCAGTTACATACATATTATCTCTAATGGGCGCGGAAATTTTTCCAGCTCAAATCAAAACCTAGAGCTGCGTTGCTGCTATACTCTCGTAGTTTGTCAACAGTCAAGTGGAAGTTGGCTCCTTTTGCATGTTTGGACGTCAAGGGCGGGGGAAAACACCGCTTTCCAAACCGAAACGCACACGGACGGTTTAAATGATAAATAGAAGTTCAGTTATATCACGGGGCGCGGGCGGAAAACCAGTACGTTTGAGACAGTGGTATTTATATGTATAACAACCCGAACAACTCCAAGGATAAAAAAACAAAAAGGAGTAGGTACTATGGAACCTCAATTTACCCAAGAAACCCATTCAGACGAGCTATTACACAAACCAACTACATCAAAAAAAAAACGTATCCATCCGTCTAGGATGATAGGATTGTACCACGAAAATCAAACCATGTCAAACAAAGCACATCTACGCCCCCTCCGCCTTGGTCCGACGAGTGGACGTTGGGTCTTGGATATCATGTGGCATTCTACGCCTCTCCTTCAATAACAGCACCTGGATCTTTGGTCACATAAATTTCCTCCAGTCCCTTACCCCCCCACCCATCCATCCCACCTTTATTCTCCAGCACCAGGCCTTTTTCATTAGCCAGGTGAAGCAAACAGATGAAACAATACGAGGTACTAATATCGCGCAATGCCTGTTCAGGATATGCTGATTTGAGCCCCTGCATTAAGGATGTGAATCGAAGACTCTTTTCATCCTCGCCAGCATCGTCTTGCGCCTGGTCTGTCGGTTCTGTAGGCGCGGAGGTTGGAATTTCTGTATGTTTCGGCGAGTCTATCGAGGTTACCGCTGCCGAAGGGGATGACGAGCTGAAAGCTGACGACGCGATTAATCGGTCACCCATACCCTTCCACATTTCTTCCTTTAATCGTCGTACATCGACCTTCTTAGCTACTCTAGCATAAGCAACGTACTCAGGCCGTACTCTTCGGCCCCCTTGAGTAACAAGTTGAGACCCGAAACCACCTGCAAGCGCTCCTCCTGGAGTTGCAGCAGCATTTAACAAAGCAGTGAGTCCAGAGAGGCCGCCAGCTTCACCGGCAGCTGTGCTTGGGCGAGCATTAGGGTCCATGGCAGGCGAAAATGCTTCTCTCGCATCGGCGAATGGCAAGTTATCGTCATCACCATCACCTCCCATGGGAAGCCCATGTGGGAAAGCCAGACCCTCATCATCCGCAAAGAAGTTGGCGTCATAAGCGCCTGTAGGGGCAGCACTCTCATCCATGCTGGTTTGCCCGGCACTGGATTTATGTGCAGCCCAAAATGCCTCGTCCATTTCGTTATTGTTTGAGATATTTTGTTGGTCTTTATTTTTTTGGGTTTTCCCGAGCGATTTGAATCCCATTCTGGCCTTGGGTTTGAGGAACAATCGAAGTAGTTCTCGTGAGTTAAAGTGCTTATCATCCGGTAGCAGGTTTCTACCTTTGGTCTTCCATTGTGTTTTTGGCAGGGATATAGCGGAGTTAGAAGATGACTGGGAATAGATCATTTCGGCGAGAGTAGGGTCAAGAGGCGAAGCAAAATCAATTTCAAAGGGTTCTTTTTCTTTGCGTATCCGAGGAGCCGCATTAGTGGATGCAATGTGGTGGAATTTGATGCGTCGGATTTTCCAGTGTTCGGGTCCAGCCCAATTTTTCTGTAAAGCATTGTCGAAATAGCTGAGAATGTTGTCATGCTCTTTGGCAGCGGGCTGATGTGAAAGAGAAATCGTGTACGGATCATTAGAATCTGAATCCATACCCTCATCGCCGCCATCAATACGGTGCACTTTTAGCATAGGCTCAAGAGCAGCCTCCCTGGCCCACGCCTCACCACCTTCACCGAAGCCTGTGTCGCCGCCAAGGTCAAAACCTGTGATAGTCCCGTCGTCGTCGTCAAACCCGACAGCAATGTCATCATCTAGCATAATACCAGAAGCGTCACCAACACCTGGTTCGAGTTGTGACTTATCCTGTCGCCAATCATCAGGCGCACGCAGGAAAGGAATATCGATCGAGCCACTTGGGTCACCGAGATCAAAATCTTTCAATGAGGGACAGATATCTTGCTCATCCAAACTATCAAGATTTGAAAAGAATTTGTTCGCTAACGGCCCAAGGTCAATTTCAACATTTTCGTCGTCCCAACCATTAGTTTGTGGTGCTGGTGAGGGTGACGGGGGTGCATCCGTCTCCGCAGTCCCTTCCCGACCATCCTTTCTGGGGTTCCAATCACCATCTGGTGTGGCATCACAGGCATCATCGCTGCTGTCAAATACAATCCTACCGGTGCCATCGATTGAAAGGTGGTTCAGAAGAAGCCCCTTTGCACCCCCTTCGTCGAAATCTGCTGAAGCTTTCTTGAATAGTGGATCGACAGCAAACTCTAGTTCAAACTTCTTCAATTGCAGGGAAGCAAAGGAAGGTGCCAGGGTACTTTCGTGTGATCGTGTCTGGAGCAAAGACAAATAAGTTTCCGGAAATAGTCAGAAAAAAAAAAAAAAAAAAAAAAAGGTGGGCGATAAAATGCGACTCCTACCTTCTTCTGCTTTTTTCTCTTCGTGCCATCCTCACCAGTCTCCTCCTCTTCATCATCCTCATCATTGTCACCTTCACCGCCCTCGCCCTCATCTTGCTGCCGTTTTTTATTATTGCTATCCGCCAATCCACTGAGCAACTTGCCCGTTTCAGTCGCAACACTGTCAACCCTACTCGTATAGATTTTTACGCATCCATCAAGCGTGCAACTAGCCTTCTGGAAATTAACCCCGTCGCCTTCCTTTAGTAGTGACATATCATGGAAGTAATCAATGAGAGCGAAATTCCACGAATTGGCCGCGTTAATTTTATTATCAGTGGCCATCTTCATCCACTCCTCGAAATTTGCCAAGATAGGCACTCGTTTCATAGGCGTTACTGCTCTGCCATTGACGATCTGCCGCCCGCCTGAATCGGTTTCTCTGCCTCCTGTTCTCGCGCCGGAGCCGCGCGGGGTTCGCGGGCTACTGCTCGATGCTCGGTCATAGCTGTTGATCTTGCGCATTGGTGGCATGGGCGTCTTGACCGCCGCTTTTATCTGATTCATTTGAAGATCATGGAGGGCCTGTCGGGACTGAAAGCGCGCAACCTTCTCACCCGCATCGTCGTTTAGTGGGATCCTGTGGTTGTTGCAGAAGTCGGTATTAGAATATTAGAATGTGTAAACAGCGTTTATCAGCGCCAGCCCACTCCTTCCCTGCTTCATCATGCACTTGCACTTCCACCTCTTGTGTTGGTTATGTTGCATTATTTCACACACAGCTCCTTCTCTCATTCTAGAAAAGGGATGTTTCTTACTTCATCGGAGAATTCTTGCGCGGCGTGGTGACCTGTTTGGAAGATCCACGCCCATGGCTCTTTTGGGGGGGGTTGACGACTCGAGGCATGGTTCTCAGAGGGGAGGCAACACGCGAAGGTAAGATAGACCGGGAAAAATACAATCAATATTGGCAGCAATTAACCGTCCAGTATCATCTCTAATCGCGATATGGTATATTCGCTTAAGCTATCGGAATGTATAGGCGCGGGATATCAATAGCAGAGATTCGCAGGCACGTCGTCGTCTGTTATGATCGAAACTGGGCTGGAATTTGGGTTTTCGGTTTGTCAACATAAACATTCGGGCTGCAGGGCAGACCATGTGCGCAGTTCTGCTGATGTCACCAGCTCACGTGATCTATACCAAATCCTCTACTAAGCTTGCCCTAAGGATGCGCTAGGCCAAAAAAGATGAGTTAGGGTTTGTCATCGAACCTAGCATTTGTATCCGTCCCTCGAAGACTATCAGGTCGATGCCCAATGGGATCTACGCCTTCAAGGAAATATACTGAAGGAAGGGCTAAGGCCTGAAGCGTCGCAATGATATCCACAATAGACGGCGATTTACTTACATACGTGTCCAAGTGGCCGTTCGAGAGATATGTTAGTACTATACGTTTAAGCCTGGTTGGGATATCTTAAGTGAAGGTTTCATTGTACGTGTAACTTAGTTATAAATATGCATGATCCATCGAATTAAAAGTACACTACATTTAACACTGGAAGATAAATAACAACTTTTCCATCCCCCTCATGACATCTACGAAGTTTTTTTCAAGTTGTGAGAAGCACTTAGGCGTCTCCCTTTTGCTAAAAACATACCTGACCCATTTAAGCATGTTTTCTGTGTTGACATCCAGTAACAATTTTTTAAGCTTTCCGTCGGTATCAGTGACGATGACCTCCATTCCGAAGCTATAGCCATATCAATATAATGTGTGACAGTTGGGTATCTGACGCTTGAGGTGCCACCTTTCAAATCGAAGAGACCCCGTTTCCCAAAGGCTGCGGAGTTGAGCCGTGGGGATTTATTTGTGGTTTTTTTTGGCATACTGTGCTGCCCTGGGCTAAAAGGGAATAAAATGGGAGAAGGAACGGCCGTTTCCGAGACTGCTGCTAAATTCCTTTCGCTGTTCCGCTCCGTTGTGAGATAAATCAATAAATGTAGAGTATCATGTACGTACTTTTTCTATTTATCCCGCCTGGTCTGAGACACCATTTTTGCCACGGAGACTGCATAAGTGCAAAAGTTTGGCGAGTGAGGAAGACTTCGGAGGCTCCACCCAACATCTATACATAGTCTTGTATGTTGAGGAGTATGGATAAATGGAAACTAGAGAAATTTCCGCCGCTGTCTCCGGGTAACGTGCTCTATCAGCTTTAGCCAAATGTTCCAGCTCGAGTTGCTTTCTTCCTCTTTCTTCCCAGTCATCAATCAGATCAATTACGCCATAGTTACTGCCATAATTCATGTTGATGTCGATATCCTGGGTGCATTCAGAAGCATCATCTGCCACGCTGTGAGTCTTTAAGCTCTTCCCTCTTGAGCTGCGTGATCCACCAAATCCATAGAGAGATTGCAACTGTGCTCCGGTGAGAGTTGTCCCCTCGTATCCAAGCACCTCTCCCTGAGGTGATCGCTTCACGCGAACGACGGAGCGAGGCACGCGACGTAAGATGAATGGCTTAGCAAGAAAAAGGACGGCCCAGGCAAATCGTCCGAAGAGATAGGGTCCCGAGAACCTGTTGAGGTATTGAACAATGATATTATGATAGTTTGACCAAAACTCTTCCCCGCGGGGCTGGAGAATGTGGGCAACGAAGCGGTAAACTGGACCACTATCTGAACCTTCCTCGGATAGTTCTGGTACAATTACCATGAGTCGGTCATCGAAGCTCCTGTGGATATGGGACGCGAGCTGAACAGTATTGGCCAGGTTGTTAATATCACCGGGTGAAGCATCTGAATATAAGTATATAGCATTCATTGCGTACCACTCATCTGCCTCTCTTGGTACAAGATGTGCGGTATCAACAGAAAGCGAAATGCCAGAAATGCCGCACTGGCCCACACCCGCATCATTCTGAGGAGCAACATGAGTATGAGCTGCTAACCAGACATCTGGGATGTGGTCATGAGGGAAACGCCAGTCCAAAAAACTAGGCACAATAGGGTATTCAAATCCTACAGAGCAAACTATGAGAACCTCCAAGGAATTTTGCCGGTAGGGGTGTTTCTAACGCACCTGGGTCATCAATGACGAAGAAAAAATAGCTGTCCTCGGTGAGAATACTATCTAGTTGTGATACGATAGCACTATGGCCACTAGATTATCCATAGCAAAAAGCCAACATAACCATTTGTTAAATGGTTGCGCTCATAGTGATATGTATACCTGTGGGTGTGGTAGTGTGGTTCACGTCAACGATATCGGTATCGGAGAGTCGATCAACGCGTGGGAGTTGGAACAAGACGTTGGACGGAAAAGGGTAGGGTGAAGGAATTGGACGTAACCTCTTCTCGGCCCGCGATCGGGAAGCGGTGGCATTTTGAGCTTTGGAACAGCCATCGCGGTCGGGATGGTGAATCAAGCAAGCTGGATGATGAATGTCATACCACTGATGCCAGTCAGGTCAGGTCCATGGCGACTTGAGCAAAAGCTGTTCGGGCATCTCATTCTATACGAGACGATGTAGGTACGATGTCCGCGAGCAGGCTATATCTAGCGCCGATTGTGAATGAGTAGTTTGCACTCCTCGCTGAGGTCAGTGTTGACACCCTGGGAAATGGACCTCGACCTCATTCAAGGCCAGCTCTTGAGGATTTTAGATGCTCTTGCAAGTCGTCTGGTATCACATTCAATGAAAGAAGTGATTGCTGTTGATCTGCAGACAGGATCGAATAGTAATTTATAAGTTACTACACTCTTTCCCTCATTTTCAACAAGTCAGTAACTCAGATGTCAAGTTGATCACTGCTTCTTGATCACACTTGTTGCTCACACACTGCTATGAGAATTCTCTTTCTTGTGATTTCACTTTCTCAATTGATTCAGAACTGGTTCTAATAAGGGAACTTGGTGCTACTTTGTGTAATTAATTATTATTGTGCAGATCTGTAGATTTGAGTGATTTGAGATAGCAACCAACACAAGCACTCAGACGTCCAACAGATGGTGCCACCCGCCCAGCCACGTCACGTAATGATGTAAGAAAACTGTTTTCAGAATTCGTTGGCAACTGCGGTCGTACCCCGTGTATCATCATCATCGCATCATTGGCATCCTCCAGCCCATATTGATTTGTTCTGTGGCGATCGAAGCGATGGAAGGCCACTGCACCGCCTCAATGCCAAGTTGCCACGTGATCTCAGCGGCCTTGGCCCAATCACAAGCGCCTAGGAACGTAATCGCGGCTTTGATCGTTGATATTCCCAAGATAGATTTCCGTTGTTCGGCGCCCCGCAAGTATGCCATGGCGAGTAACTGACTGATCGTTTGCTTTCTACGCTCGGTTTCACTTCCCGATTCCATTTTGGCGGAAAAGAGAACCCAACAAAGGTACCCGACCTTCAAACCACCGAAGCGCTGGATGCCCATGATGTATCCAAGATGGCAACGCGGCCATCGTCATTGCTCACCGGGGCACTCACTTTCCGCAGACATAGGTCTCGGTATTCGAGCAGGCCGTTTTACCTGACTCTCCTGGTCCTGGCGCTTCTTGCTGGCGCAAGCGTTCTGCTGAGTGCTACTTCCAAACAGACCCCGTTGCTTGAGGTATCGCAACTTGTGAAGCGCAGTGATTTCGCCCTGGGAGGAGGATCTGATAGTCTACCTAGACCTAGCCTGGAGCCCTCTGATGAAGTATGTCCGAAAGAGAGATTGAAGCTGAATTGAATTGCCAAATGGACCCGGATATACTGACGAGCCGTCTCTCTCTAGTGCCATTTGGTCCACAAGGTGAAGGACCAATGCTCCTTCGTCCGGACATATTGCGGCGACCATGAAATTGGCATTTTCTCCTACCTACAACTATACTACTGCAAACTCGCACATGCAAAGCCAATCGCGTTTGCCATCCTGGCTGTCTGGCTAGCGGTCCTTTTCAATACCATCGGGATCGCCGCCAGCGACTTTCTGTGCGTCAACCTCAGCACCATCGCGAGTATTTTGGGGATGAGCGAGAGCTTGACAGGTGTAACCTTTCTAGCTTTTGGAAATGGCAGCCCCGACGTATTCTCGACCTTCGCTGCGATGAATTCGAACAGCGGCGGCTTGGCGATTGGTGAGCTTGTCGGCGCGGCCGGATTCATAACCGCCGTGGTGGCTGGATCTATGGCGCTGGTCAGACCGTTCCGAGTCGCCCGACGGAGCTTTGTCCGCGATGTCGTGTTTTTTATTTTTTCGGCGAGTTTCACCATGGTATTACTGGCTGATGGGAAACTCTACGCCTGGGAATGTGTCGCGATGATTTTATCTTATGTATTCTATGTCTTCGTTGTCGTGACCTGGCATTGGTACTTGGCCAAGAAACGACGGCAGCGGGAAAGGGATTTGACTGCAAGAGCCTACTTTCATATACCTGAGAACCAGGAGTTGGAGGAGGAGGAGGAAGAAGAGGACGATGATCCGGTGACTGGCCAAACCAGACCTCTACTTCGTGGCCCTTCATCTGAGGATTTCAATGCTTTGGAACGCGCAGATGTTCCGCTATGGACAGTCGATGATGTTGATGAGGACGCAGACAACCGGGATCTTGCCGAAATACAGGGAAATATGCGAGTCACTCGCGGCCCATCAGGCAGTCGACGACCTACCATCACACCCATCCGGCCCAGCTTGGTCGGTGCGCTAGAATTTCGCTCTGTCTTATCATCTTTGCAAAAAGCCAGGCAGCAGTCAGGACCGATCCATTTGCGAAGATACTCTGATGAAATTGGCCTCCCAAGACGACAGTCTAGTGTTCAACCCGAACGACCGCACGCACAACTTCATTCCGTACCTAGCCGTTTACGATCTTCTTCTGTTAATGAACCGTCAAATCGTAGTGATGACAACGGCCAAGTTTCACCGAATTTCGACTTGCTACTACCAATTCCACAACCCATGCCTTTGGACGATGCACATCGAGGACTAGAAGGCCATCCTTCAACAGCAGCGCATATATTCCCGCAAACAGGGCTCGTTAATTCACCTTCATCATCAGGCTTTCCCTCAAGGTCCCAAAGCCCGGTTGTAGGCGAATCCTCCGCGTCTCCAATACTATTAGCACCACCAAAAAATGGATTCCAGTCGCCACAGCGTCTCTTAGAACCAGTTGGATACCAGAGTGCGGATATCTCCCCAGGCACCAAACTGCAAATTGATACCTCAAACTCGCGGCCCACAACAGCCTCAGTGAGCCCAACCTCTGCTTTCCCTCCGTATTCTGACACTTTTTCCATGCGTTCCCAATCCCGTAGTCCTCGACACGCGAGACGTGCAAGTTTGTCCGCTGCATCATCTTTTACACGGCCGGGTTCCAGGGACGTTCAAGCAGAACCCAAGCCAATAAGTTGGTGGCCTTACCGATACCTACCCTCTCCTCATACTATAGCTGCGGTTTTATTTCCAACCTTATACGACTGGCGAATAAAACCCGTATGGGAAATTCTCCTTGGAGTCGTTGCTGCGCCCAGTGTCCTGCTCCTAACTATCACGCTTCCCGTTGTTGAACCAAAGGAGTCTGAGCCGGAGACTCCTCCAGAACCGGAAATCAATGTATCTGGTGTCCAGGAGAGTGGGACAGATCCTCCTCAACCGAGTCATCATGCGTCTGACATGTGTCGAATAGCAGTAGTACCAGATACAGAAGGATTGGACGGTGACCACGACCGCGCTACGAGAGCTTCGCTTCTCCCAACTGGGAGCCGGATTCGACAGGACTCCGAGGCTCCCGTTCCACCAACGCTGCCGAAAGACCAACCAATACCATCGTCGCCCAAGGAATTCAACCGGTGGCTCCTAGTCCTCCAACTCTTGGTAGCTCCATGCTTCATAGCACTAATAGCCTGGTCAAGTCTGGATAGCAACCTGAAACCTCGAAACCTCCTCCTTTCCACCCTAGTCGCACTCCTCGCCTCCGCCATCTTCCTCACCATCCTCCTCCTCGCCACAAAAGCCAACAGCACCCCCAACCAACAACTCCCCCGGCGCTTCCGCCCCTTTGTCGCCTTCCTCGGCTTCGTCGTGTCCATCGCCTGGATCTCCACCCTCGCCTCCGAAGTTGTCAACCTCCTCAAAGCCATCGGCGTCATCCTCAGCATTAGCGACTCACTCCTGGGCCTCACCATCTTCGCAGTCGGCAACTCCCTCGGCGATCTCGTTGCCGACATCACCGTGGCTCGTTTGGGATACCCGGTCATGGCGCTGAGCGCCTGCTTCGGCGGGCCCATGCTGAATATCCTTCTCGGCGTTGGCATGGGCGGGTTGTACATGACGCTTCAGCCGACGAAATCATTTCCTGTATCTACTACAGGAAGTGTTATAGCGCAGACGCTCTCTGCCGCCTCTAACCCGTATGAGATCGAACTAACCAAGACGCTGTTGATAAGCGCAGCAACGCTGTTGGTGACGCTGGTGCTGCTACTGATTATCGTGCCGCTGAATGGGTGGTGGATGGACCGGAAGATCGGCTGGGGTCTGGTGGCTTTGTGGACGGTGACGACGGTTGCGAATGTGGTGTTGGAGGTGGTTTCTTCGAATTAGCTTAGCGTGTATTCTTTTTTTTTTTTTTTCTCTGTCTATATATTTTACCCATTCCCATTTTCCCTTTCTGCTTCCATGCCTTTCTGATATCTTTTGTTTGGCTTCTGGGTCGTGTTGTGTATGTCTGTCTCCCCGACCTACCAGTTTTCACCATCATTTCTTTTATGTTATCAACCTTCGCCCTTCACCTGATAGTCTATGGATAGAATACGGATATTGTATTGGGGGAGATACAGCCATTCCCATTTTCTACTTTAGAAGACCACCCTCACTGGCAGTCAGCCTGTTACGATAAAACAACGTATGTACAAGACCGAGTCCAAAAAATATATCAATCAAGAGACCTAGAAAGAGAAAATGTATATCAAAAGCTACTATATCCTACTATAGTCATCTCAATTGCATACATACATCCATCCATACACCAAGCATCCGTCCCGAACATACGTAGCACACAATCTCGCCAACTTCTCAAAACTCAAAACCACAAAACTCAACACTCACTCCCATCAAAGTCAATAAATGCCATGTTAAACAACCCCTCCACCCGCCTCAACCTCACACCCATCCACACTCGTAAAGCCCTCCCAGAAAGAGTACCCTCAAAGAACCCTGCCCGAAACTGAGGCCGCGCTCCGATCCTTAGTCTCCACCTTCCTCAACCCTTTCCCGGCCTGAATACTAGCTAACAGCGCCCCTCTCCCAGCTCCAGCATCTGGGCCCGCTGCCTTGGGAATAGCCGGCGCATCTCCAGCAGGAGGCGGGGGTGGCGGAGGACCTCCTGGGGCACCACCGACAGATGGTGGAGGTGGGGGTGGGGGTGGTGCAGCAGCGCTGAACGCTGGTGGGGGTGGCGGAGGAGGTGCGGTTGGTGGTGCATCCGCGAATGAAGCAGGAACGGGAGGAGGTGGAGGAGGTGGAGGCATTGAAGGCGCATCTTGGAAGTCATTTTCATCGTCGTCATCATCATCCTCTTCCACATCTTGCGCAGCGACGGCTGGTGGTAGCGCTGTGACTGGAGCAGGTTCCGACGGAGGTGGTGGTGGTGGTGGCGGCGACGCAGCCACCGTAGGACTCTCCTGGACAGGAGTAGCAGATTTAGACTCCGGTTTCTCATCCATAGCGCTGAGGGGACGTGGAGGGCCCATGGTGCCAAAGAGGATGCTGGCTAGATGTTTAGCGCTGCCACCGGCAGGTCTATCGTCATCATCATCAGAAGAGTTTTCCGATTCGGCGATGGACCATTCATCGTCTTCAGGGCGCGCACGGGACTTGCGGGTTAGAGGACCAGGGAGAGGCGCAGCAGCGAAGGCGGATTTTTGGCTCTCCTGTTGCTGAGCTAGGCGGTGGAATGGGTTTGTTGATTGAATCTCAGTCTTAGGAGGTGCAGGTGCGGGCGCAGGCGGGGGTGCAACTTCAGTTGTCGAAAGAGGATCTGGTATTTGTTCTGGTGGCGTGTGGAAGCTAGGTGGTTGCGTATCTACCGACTGGCCCATTTTACGGAAGTAAGGGTTCCTCGATTCTGTATCAGCCGCTACGCGCTGTTTGACAGATTCTGGACTCGGAATGGAGGTACTCGTAGCAGAAGCAACCTCAGACGCTAGTTCTGGTTCAAACGGCGCTGCTGGTGGTGTTGCAGGTCGTGGGACAGACGGAGGTGACGCCATGGTAGTAGTAGCTGAAGGTAAAACAGCACTCTGTGTAGGAGTGCTATTTTGTGGAGTAACCTCGACGGGGCCTTCATCATCTGATGATTCTTCTTCATCGAGACCCTCAAGCTGACGCTGTAGCTCTCTCTCCCGAGCCTGTGCAGCCTCAAGCTCTGCACGCTGAATGGCAAGTCGTGCCTCCTTTTCTTTAGCTTCCTTTTCAGCAAGTTGCTTCCGGCGTTTTTCTTCTTGCTTCTTAATCTTGCCCTGTCTAACCTGCTCCTCTAATGCCCTGAGACGGGCCTGGGCAGCTTCGCGTTCTCTTGCCAATTCCTCTTCTTGTTGTCTGGCCTCAGCCCTATATAACCAATTCCAATTAGCGTTCAATCACATTTACAAGATGTACATGCAATGTACTTACTCTAAACGGCGACTCTCAGCTTCCTGAGCTAGATGCTCCTCTCTCAGAGCCTTCTCTCTCCCCTCATGCTCAGCCTTCTCCCTAGCAGCATTCTTCAAATCACCGAGCTTCCTCGTTTCCGCAGGACCAACGCCATCCGCCTTACCCTTTCGCGATGGAGGCGGAGGAGGTTTCTTGCCAGTGGTAGCGGCTTTTACAGGGGGGCCATTTTGCTCCTCAGCAATGCGTCGTTGCCTCTCTTGCTCCCGTTTCGCGTCTTCCTCCTCCGCTCGTTTTCGTCGCTCTTCTCGTTCACGCTTTTCTCGTTCCTGGCGTTCGAGAAGGGTTTCACCGCTTCCATCAGAGTTTGGCTTGAGTCCAGCTGCGGCCATGCGCTCTGCAATACGTTTCTGCGCTCGCTCCTTGGCGGACGTCACACGTTCCTGATGGGTAAGGCCAGCCAATGAAGGAGAGCCAGTGGATTGGGGCTGAGATGGCCGGACTGGCAGAGTGTCACCGTTAGATGATGCATTATCATAGCGGTTATTAGATACGGATCTTTGGGAAGATGCGGTTCTCCTAAGGCATTATGTTAGCGCCGTAGAATCAATAATAACACCATTAAATTAGGTTAATGGGAAAAGAAATATCCCGCGATCACCGAAACACGCGAAGAACCGGTCTTGCGCCCGATGGTTGATGGTGGATGATGGTATCCTCAACGCCCAGAGCCTCTTCCCACCGCCTCCTTTCATGCTCACGCGTAGAATTCTCATCGACATCCTTCAGACTATCTTCAAGGCTCCGCGTAAACTCTTTAACACTCTCCTCCACATCCCTAGTCATAGCATCATTCCGCTCCCGCTCAGCCTTAACAGACGCTGTCTCCTCCTCGAGTCGCCGGGCTGCAGCCCCATCATCGTCAGTAGATGGTGGCGGTCTCCCAGCTAGCTCAGCAGCCCTGGCTTGCATTCTGGCACGCGCGCGGGCCTTGATCCGGTCAGACTCTGTAACAGTGCCACCAGGGCCAGTTCCAACAATCGCAGCGGCAGCACTGGGGTGAGCCTTTGCGTCTTTTAGACGGAACAACTCAAGCCTAGCATCCGCAATGCTTCGCTCAACCTTGCGAACATTAGAAGCTAATTCGGGAAGTTGGTCCTGGTAGGACTGGAGCTGTCTTCGCAGGGAACGGCGTTCAGCTCCCGAATCCGTGATGCGGAACGCAGCCTTGGGATCGGTATCGATATCATCTTGAACACGTCGAATTCTCTCCATGAGAGACTCAGCCTCCCGACGATCTCTACGGCTAAGGGCCTCCTCTTCCTCTGCACGATTCTGGTCTCGGAAATCAGTAGCATCCAGCATGATTTTCGTTTCCCGGATTTTCTTCTTCAATTGCTCAACTGAAACGTCGTCATCAGAACGTTCTGGCGTTGGGGACGGAGAGGGAGAAGGTGTTCCACCCCCACCAACACGACGGCGCGCGCTTGACCTATACCCTATAGCGTCATCATTATTTTTAAATACGGTTGCGTCTTTCCTCCCAGCACCAGGCGTGGATGATCCGCTACGGAAAGAGTGATTCTTCAAATAACTAACACCAGTCTGCTGAGGTTGTAAAAATGCACCAGAAGACTTGCGAGACTCCGCATCCTGGGACAGTAGAGACTTGACGGTTCCAATAGAGTCGTTAAAATTCCTCGTTGAAGGGGGAATGAGTTCGGGCGGGAGACGATTTGGCACAGGATATCCGTTGAGTTTCCGGTATATCAGATGCATTGCGACGGCAAATTCATCCATGTTCAGTCTTCCCCGGTTGTTCGGATCAGACAATGTCCAGATGCGCTCAAGATCCTGACGTTCCAAGCCACTCTGACCCATGATTTCGATCGCCACGTCGCCTCCAATGAACCCTTTATTGAAACCATCCCATGCTCTGAACAGCTGGTCGTAGATCTTCTTTTCATCCTTGGTCACTGCCCATGGAATCGTCGCGTTCCCGGATAGGCCTTGCGTCGTGAATCCGCCTTCACGTCCCGGTTGAGGCATCAATCGTTGCTGTAATGCTTCGATGTTCGGCAATCCAGTCGCGGGAGCGTTGACAAAACCCCATTGGCCAGGGACCCCAGTTGGCTGAGCGTTCAAAGGGGCAAGTCCAGTCTGAGATGGCGAAAGGCCCGAGCCATATCCTGTAGGCATAGGCGGCATAGGCGGCCGTGGTCCGTTATAACCAGTTGGCTGAGGGTTATTCAAAAACCCAGTTTGTTGTGGACGGAGACCAGCATTCTGGGCTGGAAATCCAGTTTGCTGAGGCTGCACAATCGAAGGAGGTTGAAGGCCGGTGGCCTGGTTATAGAATCCGGTGGGCTGGGAGGTCAATTGGGAGAGCAGTTGGGTATTGGATGGCTGTTGTGGCTGGGGTTGCTGCGGTGCAGGCGGCGCGGATGCGTTCTGCATGAGCGGAGCATCAAATTTCGGTACATTCGTTTGAGGAGGGGCAGGTCTATCATCTGGGACAGCGAAAGATATGATATCGACCATACTGGAGACTTCATTCGCAATGCGCTCGGGAAGGACAGATGGAAGCTCCTTGCCAGTTAGCTTCAAATTGCAGAGGTACATCGCCAACGCAAATTCGGGGAAGAGGAGGCGGCCTGATTTCGTGGTATCGGCAAGCACCCTTCATTCACAGTCAGCAAGAGATGGTTTCCATTTCTCATTTACCATAGCGTGATCACGGCATGCCTTACCAAATATTCGAAAGATCACTTCCAGGCAGCTTGGAACGCATAAGTAGATCCTTCGCCGTTTCTCCTGTAGACACTGGTCAGCACCGCTATTTTTAGAACCAGTAATAGAGCCTATATATCCTATAGCACGCACCATCCAACGCCTGGTTATTCCCCACAGCTGATTTGAAAAGTTGCTCGAATTTCGCCTGGTCCTGTGCGGTGATGAAAGAGAGGCGCATATTCGGAATCTTGGAGCCTGAAGAAGCGTGTTGTTGCGCCGGAACAGCTGGAGTTGCCGGCTGCGCAAAGGAGTGTGCAATCTGTGTCGAAGTCATGCCTGTTTCATGTGGGGGGTTTGGCAAAGGCGCTGACAGCTGCTGTTGAGTCACCGCCGTGACTGCACTTGGGGGTTGTTGATTTTGGAGAGGGAAGCCAGTAAACTGATGCGAAGGCGGAAAGCCGGTAGGTTGTGGCTGTTGCATTGGCATTTGCATTTGCATCTGCTGCATCGGATTGCTGCCAGCAAAGCCGGTAGCTTGCGGCATGAACGCGCCTGGCTGAAGATTTTGCTGCTGAGGTTGAGAGAATCCGGGGAAAGGCTGCTGTTGGGGCTGTTGTTGCTGTTGTTGTTGCGGCGGCGGTGGTTGTTGCTGGCCAAACCCAGTCGGGCCAGGGCGGCTGCTGGTGCCGCCGTAAAAGGTATTCGAATACATGGCTAAAAAGGAATGATTGATGCTAGAAAAAGGAATGAACGGAAAGAAAAGAAATAGAAGAAAAGCAGAGGGTTGTGGTGGGGAGGCAAAGCAAGCCTCAGCTCAGGGGGAGTGAGTAGTTGAAGTTGATCTTGACATCTGCGGCGGTGAAATCGTGATGCCTGTGGGGAGGACGACGCGGACGGACTAGGCCGAATGTGGTTAGGGTGGGAGTCGCGAATATCAACCCAGCAGTAGGGGATGAGACAGGATACTACGCCGTATATTTTCCGATGAACTGGAATCTATTTGTCTGGTATCAAAGTAATTTTAATTGCTGGATTCACGTGGGCAATGGCGTGTCAATAGCAGCTGAGGTACATGTTCAGTCTCGAAGCAACCAGCAGAAAATTCGTGGAGTATATCCGTCTGGCTCCAACTCTGCATGGCAGCAAATCTTCAAATTGTGGGTAAAGGTGATCATCACCGTGTCCAGGTGAAACAAACAAATGAATCAAAAAACAAATAAGCTGTAATTCTGCGGAAGATCACCAAAGTCCTACCGGCCAGTCCCAACGCCGTGTCGCACCCAGAGCTGAAAATTCCAGAAAATTACATAAGAACTATCAGCTAGAGGAGGAACTGAAGAAAAGAAAGGGAAAAAAAAAAAAAAAAAACCAGAATTCAACCGAGAGACCCAGCCAGTCTGCAACACCACCATAAGGATCGGATCCCAGGCACCAATTCAAAGCTACCTAAACACCGTTCTGCGCGTTCTGTTGCTGAGCACCCGCCCCAACCATCTTCCGCAATTCGTATTCCTTCGTAAACTCGCGGCTGAGGGAGCCCAAATCCTTCACTAGTTCGTGGCAAGCGGTGATAACGGCTTCCTTGGGGGTGATTTGACCGTCTGTTTGTACCCGTAGAATGAATTTTGGGACCAGAGGGTGAGGGACCTGCGTTGGTACTTAGTAGAGATACACAAATGCTATACGTTCGCATAGAATCATTTGTACTAGGAAAAGCGAGGCCGGCTGCGAGCTGGCGGGTGGGAGTGTGTATACGTAGATCAAAACGTACCTTATAGCCCGAGAAAAGGACGTGTGAGCTGGTAATAAGACGCGAGCGGATCATATTGCCAAGCGTGTGGTCCTCCTTGTTGAAGGTGAAAATGGCGGTGGACGGGATGCCTAGTTTGCAAATAGTTCACCAGCATGGATTAGCGATTTGCCATGGGGTGGAAAGCATATATAATGGGTGTTGAAAACAACTTACGGGTATCAACCTCAACCTCGACCTTCTTCTCGCCTGGGAGAAGAACGAAGGATTCGAATCTATAAGCGACAGGATACAGGATTTAGTTTCGCAAGAGCCACACCAAAAAAAAAAAAAAAAAAAAAAAAAAAAAAGACATGTACATATCCAAGGAGCGAAGAAAGGAACTCAAAAGGCATCGAAGACCCTCCAACTAATCCTAACAACCCCCAAACGGAAAAAAAAAAAGGAGAAAGACAAGGAGGAAAAGAGAATGCGAACTCCAAACACGGAGAGAGCAGAGCAAGTCACTCTAACCTGGCTACCATGTCCAGGTGCGGACGAACTTTGGTCTTGCAAGGGTTCTGGCGGTAGCTTGCCGCAGAGGAGTCGAAGAAGGTCATGGAGCGCTCCCGTTCGGGATCAAGCGGCTTAGTGGGTTGTTGGTTTTCCATGATCAACGCACAGGGCTGGAGATAAAGGGAAAGAAAGGTTTGGTATAAGGGGTGAAGGAAATGAATGCCGGGTAAATGGGGATCTTTGGCCTGGTGATGGAAGAGAGATAGAAGAGAGCTGCGATATGATACAATATACCAAACGCGGGGGTTAGATGGAAAGGAGACAGGAATGCAGGCATGCAGACGAAGAAGGGACAAGACACGATGACACGAACAAGGAACAAGCCCTTGACGCTGGCAGGGCAACAATGACGGCGGCCCCATTTTGCAGCATCCAGTATACGGTCGAAACATCGCGGAAATATATTTCATTCATTCATCCCTTATGCTTCAACTGCATGCTTGCATCTTCGTCTCCCTCGCGATTTCTCATGCTCCGTTCACCCAGGGCAGAGCGGATATGACTCTGAAAATACGAATGAACAAGAAAATGAAATATCTCACCTTTCAGGCGCATTCATCTTGAATTATTCTCAACGACAGACCGACTCGTGCAAGCAGTGGGGCAAGATAAAGATATATATATAGCGGCTTGTTCAAGGCTGCCTGCTAGTGGGAGTCCCCGAGCTCTCCCTTTCCCCTTCGTTTACTTGTGCCTCCAACGAGCTTCTGGGGGGAGCGGGGAGGGAGTGAATATACGGCCCAGATTGAAGCTTCTTCTTCCTCCCTCAAAGAAAAACAGCAAATGCGAGTATCCAAACAGAGAAAAAGGAAATGAAATATCACAGCTGGAAGCTGCAAAAAACGAGGAATAGTATTTCAAACGAGCAGAGGGAATGGGGGAAACAAAAATCGAAAATGAAGCAGGGGATCCAAAAATAAAATAAAAAAAGGAAAACGATGAAAGGAATGTGACTGAAGCACAGTATATTGCCCGCGCAGACAACGGCGTGGATATAGTTATTACTATTGGTATAGCAACTGTCGTATATATATATATATATATATATGAATATATATTCAACGTTTCTTTTCTTCTCCAGAATGAATTGCAGCGAAAATACACCACGATGACTAATCTCATTTCCGGATTAACATATCCTCCGCCGCCGGTCAAATTCCCATTATGACGTCATTGTAACATCCCCCAAACCTCAAGATTTCCCCTTTCGGAAACTCCGCCAGCCTTCAGAGAAACGTTTACGATAGCGTTGATATACTAGCATTCACCAGGGAACGCTCCATACGGAACAATGCTGCGTTGAGGAGAAAGAATAAGCGCCTGTTCCCCGTAAAGAAGGCCGGCTTTTCCTAACAAACATCATAGCGCGGAATCGGTCTGGATCGGAACCCTCCTGGCAGCCACCGGCTCATCCGCCTAAGCCGCTCGACAACGACAACCAAGCGCTTCCCTCGTAGAATGTGAAGAGAGTGGGGTTCAGCAATCCTTGGACATGTTTTGCTGAGCTGGATAATGCTGAGTCGCTGACTGAAGTGGGAGTTTTGTGCTCCTCCGTGAATGCCCCCGGCCCCGCATCTTTGAATTAACCAGGCCCTCCCCACTTTGATGCCTCTCTCTATATATAAACGAGATCTCTCATCCAGTTTCCAATTTCCATTCACAAACCGTATATATATAAACGTTACATACAAAAAAGGCAAAACCCATCCAACATGCCGACCCTCCACGCCCTCCACCCCACCCTCCCCGCCAGCACCCCCGCCATAATCAGCGCGCCAATGCTCGCCATCGCCTCCCCCAACCTCGCCGTCTCCGTCACCCGCGCCGGCGGCCTCGGCTTCATCGGCGCTGGCTTCGGCGTCTCCAGTCTCGAAACCCTCCTCTCCCAAGCCGCCGAACTGGTCTCGAAGCCCTGCTCCTCCCCACCCATCCCCAACTACACCTACAAAAAAGACGACGACGACGACGACGATACCTCCTCCTCCCCCCTCCCCATCGGCATCGGCCTGCTCAACTGGGGCGCAGACCTCGACCTCGCCCTGCCCGTTCTCGCCAAACAACCCCCCGCCGCACTCTGGCTCTTCGCCGCCCGCGACCCAGACCCCGCCTCGACCTTCGCGGCGTGGGCGCGCGAGGTCCGCCGCGCCACGCACAACCGCACCCGCATCTGGATCCAGATCGGCTCCGTCGCTGAGGCGCTAGAAGCGGCCGCGCGCGCGCAGCCGGACGTCCTGGTCGTGCAGGGGAGCGATGCGGGGGGGCACGGGCTGGCGCGCAGCGCGAGCATCGTCTCGCTCGTGCCGGAGGTGAAAGACGCGCTGGTGCGGGCGGGGCACGGGGGGATCCCGCTGGTGGCGGCGGGGGGGATAGCGGACGGGCGCGGGGTGGCTGCGGCGCTGTGCCTGGGGGCGCAGGGGGTTGTGATGGGGACGCGGTTCCTGGCGAGCGCGGAGGCGGCGGTGTCGCGCGGGTACCAGGCGGAAGTGCTGCGGGTGGCGGACGGCGGGGTGAGCACAGTGCGCACCACGGTGTACGACGCTGTGCGCGGGTATAATGCGTGGCCGGCGCAGTATGACGGGCGCGGGGTGGTGAATGAGACGTTGCGGGATAAGGAGGCGGGGATGGACGATGCGGAGAACCAGAGGCTATATAAGGAGGAGATGGCGAAGGGGGATGCCGGGTGGGGCCCGACGGGGCGCATGACGACGTATGCGGGGACGGGGATTGGCTTGGTTAGGGAGGTGAAATCTGCGGAGGAGATTGTGAGGGGGGTGGTGGCGGAGGCAAAGGAGATTTTGGAGGAGGTTAAGGGCAGGTTGTGGGGAGGGTTAGATGAAAAATGATGGGTAACTATATTTATATATATATATATATATCCCGGGACGCGCTTGGTATATGATTATACGCTTCAACCACACGGATGTATTTGATTTTTCGCTTCTGTCTGTCCAATGTGGATATCCCATTTCCAATTATGATATTATTGATTATTTAACTTTATATGTATAGTTATATGATATATATGATGAAATAAGGAAGGGAGAAAGAGAGGGGTGGGGGAGGAGGGGAGAAACAAAAGGCAATGCTATTTTTCATCAAGAAACAAACCAAGAATAAAACGGAATAAAATAATCGATACAACGCAATTTATGGATGGAACAGATCAACAGGAAATCTCGTATATTTCCCCAGCAAATCAGCAAGCAGTAGAACCAAAACAAAGAGGAAATGCCAATAAACAAAAGCACAAGAATTTCAAAATCAACCTGGGCGTATAAGAAATCAGCAAATGACAGGGAAATAAAAGCACTCAGCTTCACGCTCACGTAAATACATCCTCCCAACCCCCTCGCCTCCTTTCTCCCTCTTTATATCGGCTGTTTTATTTTCCACCGTTTTGCACTATCTTCCAATAACCCTTCCCCTTCCTTCCGTTGTCTCGTCTCGCGCCCTCCAATTTATTCCATGCATGCCATGCTATTTTATACCAATGCCATAGGAAAATCCATCCTAGCTTCGATGCGTATAGAACCTCTGCATTTTTTCCTACTTCTCTCAGTCCACAGATGCTGCCTAATTCCTATTCCAGTTTCAATCCCAACTCAATCCCAATAAATTCACAACTCACAGCGGAGGCGAATGCGAATGCGAATGCGAAAACAAATCCCCCAGCCCGGCCGACATCGTCTTCCTAAATCGCCACCCACTCTTCTTCTTCTCCCGATTCTTCATCATCTCTGCCCACGCCCCTTCTTCATCGTCGTCGTCGTCGTCAGCGTTACGGTGGATGACGTGGACATCGCCGCCCTTCGCACCGTTTATATTCATGTCCATATTCGTACTAACCCTCAACCCACTAAGGGGTCTCGACCCACTCGTCCCCGGCACATTCAATCCCTCCGTCCCCACCCGCAGCATGTCAATGGCGTTGCCATCGCTATTCAGATTCATGGTTGAGGTACGCGATATCTTCCAGGGCTGTTCCTCCGTCCACGGCCGGAGTGTGGAGGCAGTGAACGTTGACGAGCGCGCCATGGCCTTGTCATGGGGCGGGGGCTGGCTGGTTGAGACGGGGCGGTAGCGTCTGGCTGTGCCGATGTTGCTGCGCTCAGACGGCGCGACCGAGGGGGCATAGCCAGGTTCTGGTCCTAGAGGTGAATTTGGGAAGAAGGCAGATTGTCTATTATTCCATTTGGGATCGAGGAGGCTTAGAGTTCTATGGTCAACTTGTGGGGGTCCTTGGAGGTGGGGTTGGCTGGGGTTGAAGTTGGAGAACATGGATACCGGACGGGGCAGGGAGGGCGGTGGAGCGTTATGAACGCCAGGACCCATGTTCATGGGCGTTTGCATCCCCTGCATCTGCATCATGGATTGCATCCATTGTATCTGCGTCTGCATCATCTGGGTCATCTGTGACACCTGGTCTGGTTGGCCAACAACTGGCTGCTGGCCTGGTGGGGCGCCAGGGACGTTTAGGAATTGTTGTTGTTGTTGCTGCTGCTGCTGCTGCTGCTGGTGTAGAGGCAGAATATTATTTTGCGGCCCGTTCATGTTCATCGCGAGCAAGCTTCCGGGAGGTGCATCATACCCACGAGGGGCATTCGGGCTCCCTCGTCTCATGGCCTTGGCGCGCTCTTCATTTGCGATTACGCCAACTAGTCCTCCAGGCGGTAGGCCAGGTGGTGCGCCGAAGATCGAAGGAGTGCCTCCACCCATAGCCAGGGATTCCCGGTGAGAAGGGTTTACAAGACTAGCGCCGACGTTATACGGATCACGGGGAAGATTTCGAGCAAATACCGGGAGACTGGCACGAGCCGTTGGCGGTGTTGCTACTGGGGACTCGGCGGCGACAGAGGGCGGACTCGCAGCAAACGACTGCATCGATGCGCGAAGATTAGGATTTGAAATCGACGGGGTGAGGAGTCCGGGTGGTCGAGTTTTATTGGGGAAACCGTGCGCCGCCAGGATGGCAAGCGGTATATCATCATCGTCCTCCCCATCGCTGACTTTCCCGGTGGTCGGTTGCTCTGGTGCCATGAAGGAAGACGTTCGGTTTATATTGTTCAGCAGACCTGGTGGACTGGCATTATCCACGCTATTCTGCTCGGAATTGCGCAACTTGGCTGCCTCCCCTGTAACTTTCATCATTTGCTGCCTGTAAACCGAGAGATGGGCCTCCTGCTTCTTCCTTTGCTTTGCAGCCTCGCGAGCCTTCTCCACCTCATCCTCTTCCTCGTCATAATGATCACTATCGTCGTCATCCGAATGGCGAGTGCTGGAAGCATTACTTTCTTTCATCGTCATCTCCTTCTGCTGTCTATACCGTTCGAACTGCGCTGGAGTCATGACCTTCGGAGGCTGATGCCCCTCGGAGTTGCTAGCATTTTCCTCATATCGTTCAGCTAAACTAGCCTCGGCAGCCAATGCAGCTACAAGGTGAGCGTCGTCGTGGGTGTCGTCATGAGGGTCTTCGTCCTGTGGAGTTGGACGACGGGTGATCTGTTTCGCAGCATTACGCTGCTTCCATCTGCTCCCTGAGAATGGTAGAGAGCTAGGAGGGTCACCGTCAGGTGGAAATTCGGCAGGTGAAAATTCGGCAGTCATCCGTCTTTGTGCAGAAACGGAATTATTAACAATCTTCGCGTCCTCATCTTCAACATCAGCAGCGCGGCTAAGCTGTACCGTACTTCTATAGTACCTAGAGCTGGGACCAGAGTTGTGCGTCGGCGATAGACTACCGTTGGTGCTTGGCAAGACTGAGGTTCTTACCCGAGAGGCGGGCGGGCGGGATAATATAGGGTCGTCTTCTTCCCTACTCATTAGACCGTCTCGTGAATTCTGGCTGTCATTAGTATGAGGGGAGGGTTCAACATCTTTCGAGGACACAAATTGTAGGGGAGGAGGATGATTCTGAGAGCCTTTTGTAGGTATTAATGGGGTTACCGATGCGGACTCCTGGTTTGTGGCCAGTGTGACATTAGTGGCTTTTCCGATATGCTAACTCAAGAAATTGAGCATAAAAACAAGAAAGAGAGAGAGAGAGAGAGAGAGAGAGAGATAAATAGATAATAAAACCTACCCGGCGAAGGGAACTCTGTAACAGGGGAGCCGCCGGCTGTTCTTTGTGGTTTTCCTTCTCCCTGTCGAGTCCATCAAACATATTCCCGAAACTTAACGCGTCACCCATGTCCAAGTTTGTATCTGGTAATCTGGGAGGGGTGGCAGTGCTTGTAGTACTGGCTGTGGCCGCACTCTCTCTGGTTGCTACGGTCCCCCTAGACCGAGGAGTGACGACGTCCTGGCGTTGGAGCGACTTGGCCGAAGAAGATTTGTTTCCGAAGGAAAAAGTGCGACCAGAGGATCGAAGGGAGAAGAAGGAAGAATCATGCATGGGGGGGACGGGGACATCTTGGATGGGGATATCGGTGGAGCTTGGTAACGTGGACGAGGAACTAAACTTTGCGGAGGAAGCAGAGCTATCGTACAAACGACCAGTGGAGGCAGAATTATTAGTGCCTCTGCTCCCACCGAAACCAGTCAATTTCGAGACCCGTGTCCCTCCACCACGTAAGGGATCTGCTGTGGGGGGGAGGCCAGGTTCAACATACCGGTTTTCCACAGAAGAGGGCGGGTCGATGTTTGCAAAGAGGTTGTTTGCGTACGGGTCTTCCGACGAGCGTTTCGTACGGCTGCTGTTGCTGTTGCTGTTGCCGTCGATGGAGTTTAGAGTGGTAGATCCATCGAGGGACTTTCTACCGGGAGCAGGACGCTCGAAGACCTTGAAGGAGGGCTGGGGGGTCTGGTCCAACTCTTCCAGGGCATTTCCAGAAGATTTCCGCCGAGCAAAGCCTTTGGGTAGCTTGATCGGCATGGAGAAAGGGGCGGGGGGACCTTGCTAGATCTTGAGGAGAGAGGGGGGGTGGAGAGGCGGCCCGAAATATAACAACACAAAGGCCCTCTCGAGGCGCTGGCTGGCTGGCGTGGGTGTAGATCTTATCTTCCTTTCCCGGTTCCCAACTCAATTCTCATGTGGCGGGAAATCCAAGGTGCAACAAAAAAAAAAAATTAACTTTCAGATGCCGCGAACCACTGAGCCAGTCGAAGCGAATGGAAGGCGGATAATCAATTTACAACGACATGAGACAAAGAGAATTGATGGACGGCGGATCTATGCATGAAGGTATAATAATAGCACTGTTTGTTAGAAGGCATGCAACGCGAGATCAAAATATATATAGATAGAAAAGGCGTAGGAAAAAAAGAGTCGTTTGTCATGAAGGGAGCTTGGTCGTAAACAATGCCAAAATTTTAAATTTAAATATCCTTCTCACACTGTGTCTCTTTTTTCTTCTTTTTTTCCACTTTTGTTTTCGATATAGAAGGAGAGGGAGAGGGAGAGGGAGAGGGAAAAAGAAGGTTCAACAGGGCATAGGATATACACACCTCTGGTCTCTCTTTGTCTGAGGTCCCCCCTCGAAGGACAGAGACAGCTCCCACAGCTACTCACAGTCGTGGCATAGAAGACGGCCAGGTGGACAGGTCCGCAAGATGGCAAGACAGTATTGCTGGGTACACGGACGAAGAGCAGGAGGTAGGACGAAGGCGTCGATCGAGCGAGTCGAGGGAGCCGGGGGGGGTTGGAGATACTATGCTTGTACGAGCGAGTGATCGGGACGCGAGCCCTCAGCAACCAATGGGAGGGAGTGAAGAACAAAGCGAAGGAGAGTGAATGACACGAAGAGAGAGAGAGAGAGAAGATGTAAAGAGGGAGGGAGGGAGGGAGAGACTGGGAGGGAGCAGTGAAGCAGAAGAGAAGAGGCGATGTCGAAGAAGAGACGATGTCGTTGTCGTTGACGCTGGATCTGGTGCGTGGTCTGCCAGTCACCTGCCCAGCGCTGCCCCAGGGCTGCCTCAGGCTTAGGTACGCACACTCAGCTGGCTTGCGGCGCCGGTTCTGGGCCGATCCAGAAGAGGAAATCCATGGCGATTATTTATTCTTCTATTCCATTCAGTTCAACTCAATTCAATTCAATTCAATTCAATCAACTCATTCAGATTCCATTCCATTCAATCCAGTCAATTCAATCCATGGAGATGAGTACAGTACATGCACGACACGGCCATCCCTTCTCTCCCTCCTCCTTCTTCTTCTCTCGGGTGGCAAATGTCTCTGCCCACTAGCCGGCACCAGGCTGAGCCAGCATCCGTGACAGCGCCAGATCGGGAATGGATGACTCGGAGATGTTTAGATTCTGATGTCGCTCGTCCTCGGTGAAATTCATCTCTCCGCCAGGGAAAACAAAACCCACAGAGCGAGACACTGGCATCCCGCCACTCTCCACCGTCTCCAGCCCCGGCGCTTGTCTGTTGACGACATCGTCTGAGGTATGATCTGTAGTGTTTGTTGTATGATCGCCAGGCCTGGCCTGTTTCAGAGAATGCCCTGCTTTGCTTTGCTCTGCTCTGCTCTGCTCTGCTCTGCTCTCTCAGCTCTTCCTTCCACGCGCCGTCCTGAGTTTTTTTTTTCTTATTCTTATTCTTATTCTTATTGTTATTGTTATTATTATTATTATTATTATTATTTTTAGCGCTGCAAGCCCCCAATCAGGCACTTGGGAAGTTTTCTCGCGTTGGTTGTCATGGATATCCGCAGTGGTCTACGCAGTATATGCAGAGTATCTGTGCAGCTGCATCCATACGATGTAGACTAGCTGCATCGCGCGCGCCGCCTGCTTCGTTCTATCCTTGCAACGGGCATTTCTCAATCCACCTCACACCTGAACTACTGCATGCTCGATAATATTTTTCCTTCTCGGCAAGCTGCCACGGGATGCACTCGCTCTATTTATATCCCTCCTCCTCTCCCTCCTCCATCTGCAATATTGCACTGCTTGCCGCCGTAGCTGCTACAACGTACAGCGTGCAACCATTTAACTCCAACTAACCGCCCCTAACGAGTTCCCTCCCCTGCAACACTCGTCAGCATCCCTGGAAGTTGGAACTGGGGAAGGCAAAACGCGCGACTTGACCCTTAGAGTTGAACTACTCGTACTAGTCAATCCCTCCGTCGAAACTCTGATGCACGCGAGTTGTGATGCCGGAGCCACTCGATGAACGAAGGCAGAGCACCCGATCAGTCAGATCGGCGCATTCTTCCCCTGTGGAGTCGCTAACGACCCACAGCGCTTCGTTTGACCATGCCATAGTGCGAATCTGTAGTTCCTGGAAATACAGCGTAAATAGGGACAAAACGGACTCTGCTGCTAACCTTCTTCGCGTAGCACATGTCAATGGATCAGGCCATCGACAGGTCCATTCCATCGACGCCCCCTGATTTTATTTAACTATTTTCTTCTGTATTGATGAAGAAAAGAGCAAAAAACATGCATCTATGTATATATATAATTAATATATATATATATGGCTGTTATTTATGACATGACACAATGGGGACCTTAACAAAAAGAAGAAAAGGAAAAGGAAAGTGCTTCAAATTTTCATATACTAAGTCCAGGAGGACAGAGGATCAAATCAACGATTTCATCGATTCTTTTCAAGAGTCAAAAATCAAATTATGAAACAGAATTGTTGACATTCAATGGAGAGAGGAAAATACAGTACAGTGTACAGTGCATTGTGTGGACAGAAGATCTAAAGATCACTCACTAACCCTAGGTGCAAAAACCCGAACCAATCTCTCACTTTGAACGTTTATACATGATAGGAATCTTCAGGAAACAAAAATAAATAGACAAAAAAAAAATGGGGAAAACCACTCTCAATCCCTAACCAACACACATTTTCAAATATACGTCCTATCAGACAACAGCAATGGGAGCCCCAGCCGCCGACGAACATTCCGCTTCGTGTAGAACAAGATCGAGCCCTGGAACTTCCGCTCCCAGCTCCGAAGCAGGCAGTGGAACGACGCATACTTTGCCTCGTCGCGGATGTTGTCGCAGTACACTTGGCGCACTATCATCGGGCCCACCGCGAGGCCGAACTCGCGCGTCTCAACCACTGGCAGCCCGGCGGGGAGGAGCGCCTCCCAGTCTTCCTCGTCGTTTCCGGCTCTGTCGTTGTCGCTGTCGTTGTCGTTGTCGTTGCCATTCCTCTCCTCATCCGCCGCAGATGCAGATGCAGATGCAGATGCAGACGCACTCGCTGACTCCAACCGGCGCCGCTTCGCCGCGTCGTTCAAGCAGACGGCCACACAGTGCATGTCGCGCAGGACATGCATGCTCCGTCAGCCCAAGAACCCCGGGTACTTGTGCATGATGCGGCGGACTTGCTTCCCGAAGCTCGACTCGCTGCCGTCGCGCGCCCATTCGCGCAGCGTCTCGCGCCGCATGAGGTCTGCGGTCGTGCTGCCCTCCGCGTACGTCCAGAGCAGCTTGTGCATCCAGTAATACTCAAACGCGTCCCTGCGCTCGAGTTCGCTGCGCGCGGATGCGGGTCGTGCGGGTCGTGCGGCCCTGTCGCTGCGTCTGCGCTTGCGTCTGGCGTTGGCGTTGTCGCTGTGGCTCTCATCGTTGCTCTCGCGAACAAGCTTGACCAAGCTGTCGATGACGTCCCAGTCCATCAGCTCCGCGAGCTCCTCGGAGTATGTCTCGACTCGCAGCGACGCGAGGTTGCGCAGGGTGCAGAAGGGGAGGATGGGGACGTCGTGGTCATGTTGGCAGGTGGAGTGGGCGAGGGAGGGCGTGTAGGCCTTGCTGGGCAACTCGAGGTCATCGATCCAGTTCTGCCCGTCGCTCTCGCGCTCCAGCAGGCGGATGAGCATGTGCTTGATCTGCGTGCCGCCGCTGAACAGGCTGACCAGGCCGCGGACTTTCCTCCACAGGCAGAAGAGTTCGCCGATGTCGTTCGGGTCCGGAGAGGGGATGTTGACGACCACCTGGTCGAACTTGTGGAATGCGACGCTGCCAAAGCCGCGCGCTCGGGCGCTGGCGACGCTCTGCAGGGTCCAGGAGGCGGGGCATGAGTTGGCCGCGTCGTCGAGGGCGCGATGTCTGCGCCTGAAGAAGACGGTGCAGAGGTTGTTGGAGCTGGGGTGGTAGACTGGGTCGATGTTGAACTCCAGTGTACCGCGGCGGTAGATCACTTCGTCGATCTCGTCGTGCAGGTAGTGGCTTGCACGGAGGACGCTGAGATCGGTTCTGGGGTTGTCCATGTCTTGAGCTGGAGACGGGGCGAGTTCAGCCCAGATCTGCTCACGCAGCTCGTATGGGAGCCTCGCGAACAGTCCGAGGTTGGGCATTTCTGCCACCCGGGGGGAAGTGTGTGGTGGGTGCTGATGCTTTCAGAGATGCTTTCAAAGGTGGTCTCGGGTATTTGTGGAATAGCCTTGAATGCTCTTGAGGCCTGTATGGAGGATATTGCGTTTTGTGGATGTATGGATATGTGTATGTAGTTTATATAGTTTATGTAGTATATATCTTGGTTTGAAGGAACTGTTGTTTTGTTCGTGGGATGCAGGCAGGTATTTTCGAGCAGGCTTGTTGTATATATGTTTGTCGGCTTTAGTAGAACGCAAGTACAGTTATCTCAGGAAAGCTTATGTACCCGCAGGAAGGCAACAAAAAAGCCCATGGGCAGTTTGTATGGAGAGCGTTGTAAGAAGGAAAAGAGAAAAACCACAGGAAAAACCACAGGAGGACCGTTATATAGCCCGTTCGTGGGAGTCTATTTATCATTTACTACAATGACGCAAAAATTAACGTCGGGGGAGAGCTTGTATATAGATTAAAGTTTGATGCGGTCATGGACGTTTGGTCTATTTTCGCAAGGGGAAAGCTTCCCCCTTGAAAGCTACCGAGTTTTCAACATCTCTATTTGGCTTTGGCCCCCGTACAGAGAAAGGGGATGACGAAATTTTTGCCGGGTGGGAGAGCGCATGCTCTGGGTGTGGCGGTTGGGCGGGTATATTGGTATGGGAAAAAGAAAGGGGTTTGCGGGAATGAATGAGTGAGAGGTAAGAAGTGGGAGCAAGATATCAGCAGCAGTAGAGTAGAGAAGGCCAGCGTAGATGAGTTAATCTACCTATCGTATTACTCTATTATATGCTGCCAGATATGAGTGGAAAATTCCGTCTACGAAAAAAAAAAAAAAGGCCAGTACAAACCGTAGTGAAGGCCGAAACCATCGATATAAGTCCTAAGCAGCCCGACATAAAACGAGACACTTGACACTCAAGGCAGTCAGCGCGTAAGAGCTGCAACTACCATCGTATATATCTGTCGGGCCAGCACCGTCAAAGTCGCGACATGCCGACGCAGAAACCCCCTTCACCCTGCACTAGTATGCTGGCTGGACTACTCGGAACACCTGCGCACGACGCAAATATCGAGGCGCTGGGGCTTGTAGGCACCTTTTGTGGTCGGAGTTGAAGAAGTCGAAGTTACGGATATCAATGAGATATACGTTTCGACGACAGTTCGCAGACAATGTACCCGGCGTGGTTGATTAATACTTGATATATGATAACAACAATGATGAAATAGATATCGCTATAGATATATAGATATATATACACCTCCCTTGGTAATATACATTGGGCTCCCTTTGGTGCACTTGCTCTTGTTTGGTCGCTGCGTTGTGCAGGCCAAACATCTCCGTCGTCCGTAGGGAAGCAGCGATCAGAGAGCATACTTGTCCGCGTGGTGGATGTATGAGTAATGATGTGTAACCCAAAGAGAATTAAGGGACGGAATAATGGGGTGCGGACGTCAGGGTTGAGACAAGACGATATACATCATGCCCTCGCCCCCGCTGGAACCCCTATGTGCCAGCCTCTCCTGATGACAGTCAGACTGTGGACCCTATCTACCTCGATATGCAAGCGGCGGCCCCTATCCTCTTATCCTCTTCGCACGCTGCGAGGAAGACACAGAGCTTACACTTAACCGCAAAGCTTTATCCGGCTGGGTTCCAGTCTGACGAGCCTCGTCAAACCCTAATACGGGAGAGAGACAAGCTGTGCCAACAGGGGATTTATCACAGAGGTCTGATCACACCGGTAGCCTGCTGTAAAGGAGTTTGTTTGGCGGGTGATTTATATTAGGATAGCTGGATCACAAAGACATCGGACAACTATCACTATTGCAGGGCCTTGAGCTAATAGTTAACATACATTGGGCCATGTCCGAAGTAAACAGACCAATCAGCCAGGTCACTTTAGGATATATGGTAAGCAGGCAATCGTCAGAACGAAGTGATGGGATCCAAGGGTATGAGGCTTGGTAACATATACAGAAATAACATATAGTGAAAGGTGACCAAAAAGGGAAAAAAAAAAAAAAAAAAAAAAGTGGTATGGGAGGAGAGAGCTCCCCAGACCCTCTCAGGCCTATTTCAGTTCCATTGGAAAAGGATGTCATAAAAGCCATGGAAACTTCTTGGGGATATATCGACAGATACGTCGGATACACACAATCTCGAAGCATAATGCGTCCCAATTCTAGACAAGGCAAGCATATCTAAAACACACTCACGCCAGCAAACCTCAAAACATCTGGTCAATAACCTTCATGGTATCCTGCTGCGCTGTAGTATGGTGGGCATTCAACCCCCCAATCAGCGCAACGCCAGGCGGAATACTCACATCTCGAATGCCAAAACAGGCAAACGCAATAACCTTCCTTAGTGCAGGGCAGGATTTGAAGATGGAGAGGACAAGAAAATCATCCGCAGACGTGTGGAACGAAATGTCAAACTCCCTCAAACAGGGATACTTGTTGCGGGTCCCATCGAACGCAGCAGATAATGAGGTATGCGAGATGTGTCGGCATGAGCAGATGTTGAGAGTTTCGAGGTGCTTCCCTGAGTGGTTCATTAGCGCTTGAAAGCCTGCTGAGGCGAGTCCGACAGGGTCTTCAGGGCCGTTGGGATTTGCGTTGTCCACATCACGGGTGCCAGAAACATCCACGTATGTGAGAGGTGGGTTCTCCCAGTCAGTGAAGAGGAGCGCAAACGCCGTATCGGTGCAGATGCAGTTGTCCGAGAAGCGTAGTTTGGAAAGCCGTCTGCAGCGCTGATGTATCATGTCCAAGACAGTGTCGTCGGCGTTTTTGAAGCTGCTGAGCGACAGGGTCTGAAGATTAGGTCCAAGTCTGTCGACTACCTCCAGCAGCGCTGCTGCAGATGTCTCTTTGAGAAAATCCAAGGACAAGTGCTCTAGGTTGGAAAGCGTTGAGATGGAACCGAGTGCATCGTCGCCTAGTAGCCAACAGGTTTTGAGCTTTAGGCGACGCAAGTTCGTGCAATGCTTAGCCATTACGGAGATCGACTTGTCATCCAACGAGTAGTCCAAGTTGTATAATTTGAGGCTTTCAAGCTGCGAACCGTATGTTTTGAACAAATTCTGCCAGCCTTCATTTGAAATAAGGTTGGATGCATCGAGATGGATATGTTTTATGAATTTATTGTGATTCATCATGTACTCGAGCTGCTTATCTTTCAATTGACCCGCAAACCGTAGATTTACCCTTTCAAGGTATGGCATGGTAGCAAATATTTTATGAAAATCGTCCTCTTCCAGTTCTATACTCGTGTTAGCCAGGTCTTCTTTTCTACTATTAAGAACAGGAGGGGAAAACATACTGCCACAATCATATATATCAATGGCGGTGACATCACCACGGAGGAAAAGGTCCAGAGTTAAAGACGTCAATGCCCGTCGCTTGGACAAAATGTGGCTAAGGCTCAGGACAAGATCAGGAGGGAGATCACCAAATTCATCAACATCGGTGATGTGATCAGCAACTTTCTGTGGAGTAGCACATCAATCAGTACACCAGCTCTGGGGCAAGAATCACGGGATGGATAGATGGAGTGCAGGCTTACTTTAATGCAAGTCTCAACAAGGCTTGGGGCGCCGGATTGGACAATGCCATCCAGGATCTTGCTAACATTCTGACGCCGGCCCCGTTTGTTTTTATTTGCAAGTGACTTTTTGCTTTGTCGGTCCCGAAGTTCTTCTCGTTTTGAACAAGGAGGACACAGAAGGCCACCCTTCGATCCTGTTTTAGAATATGAAGTGACAGTGAAGCGCTTTTTGCAATATTCGCAATTCTCAAGCTGACCAGGAAGCAAGCTGCCGGATTTCTTGCCGCTGGCCATGGAATTAAAGATCCTTGCATCGTCATTTTGTTTGGCTTGCTCTTTCTTCTGCTTCGCGGCCTTCATCGCTTTCAGCGCGGCCTGTGATTTGCGCTTCCGTGTTCCTGTGCTCTCCACGGGTTCATCTGGCATTTCTTCATCGTGCTCTGCGTCTCCCTGATCGTTGGTACTGCTGTCTTCAGTGCCATTTGCTTGTTCCCCATTTTCCCGGGCTTGCCTCAGGCGTTGCTCGTAGTTACTACGGATTTCTGCTGCAGAGATATTGTTGGACTATAATAGGGGGAAATTTAGTCAATCCATCTTAAAAAAGTACATCTCCCCAAACAAATACAACCAGATATGGGGTAGAGCATACAGCAAGGAAATCCGTCAGGGCCGAATGCCTTGAGAGGAAATGTGAAGTTAGTAAATGCTTGATCCCAAGTGCTGGTCAGAGCATTTGAATCACTTACGGTCCCCGAATGCTTGAACGCTGTGGTCTTTGCGCCCTTCAAGTCCGTCAGCAACAATTCTCAGTGAGCCCAACAAGCACACCACCACCAGACAAAGGGTCACATACATGCTGAATATCGATAAATGTCCAGTATCTGTTGTTCTCAGTCTCCTGTCCACGGGTCTACTCTTCCCCTGGCTGCCTGCCCTGAAAAGGGTTTAATTGAAATTCTTCCACGTGACTTCGTGCCTCGTGTGCCTCCTTGGAACGCGTTGCCTCAGGAACGAGTGCAAGAACGAGAAGAACTTAGAACTTAGGCAGAAATGGGCGACGGATGCACTGGCGGCAACACGATGAGTCATTGGCCTGTTCGTATTCAGTAAGTTGTGCGGATTGTGGGAGAACTAACCAGAAATCCTGCTACCAGCGGTGCAATCGTCAATCTTGGCCAACTCACGTTGACCCGACTGGCTGCCTGAACTTTGTGTGAGGCTTCCAGGGGTGAGCGTTGGGCAGTGATAACCACTCCAGAGACTCCGCTGGACATCACCAGCATCGTGCTATTGTGTTATTGTCCGTGTGAAGTGGACAGCTTCCTCAGCTCTGAAGCCAATCATAGTTGCCTCTCCATTCACCTTGTACTGTGGAAGTTCAATCTTTCATCTCTACACAGACACTTGCAACTCTCAGGCCCGCTTACATTTCATTGAATCCTCGAGCCAATCTCGACTTTACATTGAGAATTCAGCTACCTGGCTATTCTGTGGGCTTGTTGTTGGACACCATGGCCAACGACCCTCCGTCCGAAAGGGCCATACCCTCAGGCCTTGCTAACAGTGAGTGCAAATTTGGGTTTTCCAAAATTGGATAAAACTAACCATCAGGTAATGATATCAGACAAATACTCGGCCTCATTGAGAAAAAGAGGCCCAGGCCAGCGAAGCCGATCCAGCTTAAATCCCTCTGTTGCGAACTCTGCTTCTAGCGACGGTGACGACTCCATTGACGAACTCCTGAAAGCTCCTCGCAAGAGAGCGAAACCCTCGGGTCGGATTCTTACCCCCAATAATGGTAACAAGCCAGCAGTCATGGTTGAAGTGTCGATAGGACCAAAACTCCCATTTACTTCCCCTTCGTCCTCAACAGATGCGGGTGGTATCAGCACGACAAACGGAGACACTACGCCTGCCACAACTGCAAATGTTACCCCAGCAGAGCCTGCCAACCCTAACAAAAAAAGAGTCAACGCAACAGCCCGTTTTCTTGAATTGCGGTCAAGTACATTGGGTCTAATGGGTTCGAAACGTGTTGCCAATTCTATGAGTACGGATGTGTCACCTGATGAAAGCGCAGATGAAAACTTAGCCCGTGCGCTTCAAGCAGCAGAGTACAGTAAAAATCCTAACCAAAATCCGAGATATTCCGGCGGCAGAAGGCGTTCATTGCGGCCAAAATTGATCGCTCCTCTCCCAGCTCGCCGCAGGGCTAGTCAACAGTCTCTTGCGCTTGCCTCCACCAGCACCCGTGGAAAGTTGAGGGCAGCAACACTGAGAGATAACATCCCAGACAGTGAAGAGTCTTCTTTATCCGAATTAGACTCTTCGGCCAATCCAGATACCGGTGACTCTGTAACCGAGAGTTCTTTGAGTGATGAGGGTTTTAGTGAAGGGGATGCTACTGATGGAGATGCTAGTGATCCAGATTCTAGTGATGGAGATTCTGGTGATGGAGATTCTTCTGTTATGACTACCAGACGTCCACGACGCGCAATTACAGTTTCAAGGCATCCCAACCCTCGGATTCGATCGCGGAACGCAGCAGAATCACGAATAACTCCACGTGTAAGGGATTACCTTCCTACATAGAGCTTTGATCTTAAGCTAACCAATCTATAAGACTATCCGGGAACGCAGAAAACTCGAGCAACAGCATCCAATTATCCAAACAATGTGGGATGATCTTAAAAAATCCCCCATGATCACTCTCACTCCAGCCGTACAACCACCAGGCATCTCCCGAAAATTGAAGTCATTTCAGCTGGAAGGGTTAAATTGGATGATACAACAAGAAAAGTCCCAATGGAAGGGCGGACTCCTTGGTGATGAGATGGGAATGGGAAAAACGATTCAAGCAGTCTCATTGTTGATGTCTGATTACCCTATTGGCAGACCCTCATTGGTCGTCGTGCCCCCTGTTGCTCTGATGCAATGGCAGTCTGAGATCGAAGTACGTTCAAAGCTCATAATTTCTAATCCGAGAACCTGCTAACTCTGGGCTTGCTAGCAATATACGGACGGTAAACTGAAGGTGCTTATCCATCATGGTTCTAACTCGAAAGTCAAAAATCTTTCAGCGAAGCAGCTGATGGCTTACGACGTGATCATGATATCCTGTAAGCCTATTCACCACCTACGAGAATTTTGGCTCATTACTAATGTTTTTCGATAAGATGCTGGACTTGAGTCTATGCACCGGAAGGAAGTAAAAGGATGGAAAAGAAACGACGGTCTCGTGAAAGAAGACAGTATGTGCTCTCAGGTCCATGCTTCTTCTCATCAGGGTATCCGTCCTAACTGTTGTAGGCGTCATTCATTCTATTCATTTTCATCGTCTGATTCTCGACGAAGCTCATAACATCAAGGTAAAGAGGCTCTTCATAATCGATTCCAACATATTTACCCACTAACTTTGCCTCAAGCAACGTACCACTAGTGTAGCAAAAGCCTGCTTTGCCTTGAAGTCAACCTATAAATGGTGCCTCTCTGGTACTCCAGTTCAAAACCGAATCGGAGAGTTCTTCTCGCTTCTGCGATTCTTAGAGGTTAAGCCATTCGCATGTTACTTTTGCAAAGTATGTCCATGTCAGGAATTGCATTGGTCACAAGATGCGGAAAAGAGATGTACACATTGTTATCATAGGTACGTTAGTTAGCCCAGACCATCTCATCGTGAACGCGTTTAGAATCTGACCTCTTGCAGTGGCTTCAGTCATGTTTCTATCTTCAATCAAGAGATTCTCAATCCAAGTAAGTGATCCGGATCATAGAGCAAGGAACTGGTTAACATGAGTCTAGTTACCGAGTCGAGACGCCCTGCCGATCGGAAGGCTGGCCTGGAAAAGTTGAGATGCATCACTGACAGGCTTATGCTTCGTCGTGTTAAGCAAGACCATACAGCCTCGATGGAACTCCCACCCAAGCGGTAAGAAATAATAGTGTTGACTTAATATGGCTACAAGTTATCGCTAATATATGTACTAAGGGTAATACTTCACAATGAATTCTTCGGGGAAATTGAACGCGACTTTTCCACTAGCATTATGACCAATACTGTTCGGCAATTTGACACATACGTCAGCCGGGGCGTTATGCTTAACAACTACGCAAATATCTTCGGTCTGATCATGCAGATGCGTCAAGTAGCAAATCACCCAGACTTGATTTTGAAGAAACATGCCGAAGGCGGTCAAAACGTCATAGTTTGCGGCATCTGTGATGAACCTGCGGAAGAACCGATACGCTCTCGCTGTCGCCATGAATTTTGCAGACAGTGTGCCAAAGATTATATTCGCTCCTTTGAAGTCGGGACAGAACCCGATTGCCCACGCTGTCATATCCCGCTTTCTATCGACTTCGAGCAGCCAGATATCGAACAGGAGGATGATCAAGTCAAGAAAAACTCCATCATCAACCGTATCAAAATGGAAAACTGGACATCATCGACGAAGATCGAAATGCTCGTTTACGATCTTTTCAAGTTACGCAGCAAGAAGCGGACGCACAAGTCCATTGTTTTCTCGCAATTTACGTCAATGCTCCAGTTGGTTGAGTGGCGTTTGCGGAGGGTGGGTTTTAACACAGTCATGCTGGATGGAAGCATGACCCCAGCCCAGCGCCAGAAATCCATCGAGCATTTCATGAATAATGTCGATGTTGAGGTGTTCCTTGTTTCTCTTAAAGCGGGAGGTGTCGCGTTGAACCTTACTGAGGCATCGAGAGTCTTCATCGTGGACCCGTATGTAATCACGTCACTCCTTGATGTTAAAGCGCTTCTTTGTGCTTCTTTCTAATTTTAATCTAACAATTGACTATTTCTCTAGATGGTGGAACCCGGCAGCCGAATGGCAGAGTGCAGATCGATGTCACCGAATTGGCCAGCGACGACCGTGTGTGATAACTCGACTCTGCATCGAGGATTCCGTGGAATCGCGCATGGTTTTACTCCAGGAGAAAAAAGCCAATATGATCAGAGGCACGATTAATAAGGACCAAAGCGAGGCGCTGGAGAAGTTGACGCCGGAAGATATGCAGTTTCTGTTCCGGGGAAATTGAGAAAGAACGAGTTTTGATATAACTCCAGTCGGTGTAGTATTTGGTGATTGTGCTATTAAAATGAACGGCACTACGATGGATATATGTTAGTGTATAAACTTGGACTTAGAATTCTGAATTTTACATTTTAGTTAGCTAGACCGTGGTAAGAATGCATTCGATGTTTTCTATACGAACAAAACTACAGCCAGCGTCAATTCAGAGCTCAAACCCTATGCACGTTCCTCTGATCAAACCCCATCATCACCCCCACATCCTCAAATCAACATAGCCCTACCATCCTCTAGCCCCCATCACGCCCAAAATTAGCCGCCATCCGCGCCAAAGTCGACACACCATCATTATTCCAACTCCACAACAGCAACGAGAGCTTACATCGTGTTCTTCTCGCGACGACGCAGCATGGCCATTCTTCTAGCTTTATTCTGATCAAAGAGCAGAATCGACATCTTCCCAAAACACTAGTTTGGGATGCCATACTAAATGGGTGCTGCTATGCGCTGGCATGACAAGGGGTGGAGAGGGGTTGGCGATGCATGCTATCATATAACTCGATGACCGATTTGAATAATATAAACGGTGTTCACCAACAGTTTTTGCCATCTTCTAACCAACGTTCAGCTTTTCTTTTTGCTCCATTCCACACAGGCGACGGCAGACGACGGAGGAAACTCGCCTTGCATGATGCATTATTTTCCATGTTTCCCTGGTCGAAACTCGGTCCCCTGCATGGAACCGTGAATCCATTCCCTCAACCGTGGTATGGGGAACGGAGTAAGCGAGGTAATTCGTTTACACAACGCTTCTCTTGTTCCATTCAAGTTTCCACTGTTCCTGATATAGCTTGAATCCGCGCGCAGATGACGCAAGCATGGGTGAGATATATGAAGCATCCAAGCTCAATCGCGCGTTACCGCAACAGGCAAGCAGTGGAGCCGCCATGAATGGCTAAAGCCACCGTCCAGCTTCCCGCCAAACTCAGCGACGGAATAAAGTATGCACTACGGAGTAGCCTGTACAGATCTGCGGTGAAAGGTCCAGGTTTGGAAGGTTAAAAAACACCTAATTGACAAGCAAATTTCATCACACAATAGTTATCTTAGGAATCAGGAGAAAAATGACGCCATTGGGTTTGGAATGCCATATCCTCTCTACGAAATGCATCGGTGATACCGAACTTTGATATCGAAGAATTCAAAGTCTGGATATTGGGTTATGCCAATCAATGCCTGGCCAACCCTAGTGCAAGCAATGTTTGCGACTATAAATAGACAAACTAGTTGCGCGAAACATTTCCTGGTTCATCATAGAGTCTCCAAAGAAGGCGTTCTGCCATGAGCTCATCTGCATATGAAGGAAGCTTAAGTTTGATGCTCTCAGGCCAGTCCGGTACCTTGAATGAAGTGTAATATGCTTTTGTTAGATCCCAATATTCTGGGTACCAGCCTGCAAGTGCCCAGTCAACAAGTCCCACAATTCTGCCATTGCGAATGATAATATTCCGTGGGGCCAAATCTGAATGTGAGAAGAATGTCCGATAATTGTTGCTATGACAAGATACAATATCTTCCCCATAAACCTTAGCTGTGTTTTCCAGTGGAACACCACCTCGTAAAAAAGAGTGGAAGCTGGAATGTGACTGAAATGGGCCAACTAGTTGACTACCAATACGGTAATCAAGAATGGCACCACCCTGCGCAGATGCAACCACTCCTTCTTTGGGGGGTTGAAGTGTTCGAAGCTGAGTCAGGATAGCTGCAATATCATTGAGAATGGTTTCCTTTTCCCCAGGTTTCAAGCCGCGCATCCACAGAGTTTCAAGGTCGGTGCCTTGAATGTGATCCATCATTATATATATGCCCCCTGGTCCATTGTAGGTACACCTAACTCGAGGAACAGGAATTGTGGTGTGTTCTGAGATGTAGAGAAGCGCTTCGAGTTCTGGGAGCTGACATGGCCCTTTAATAACATGCTTCCGCCCGACCCTAACAACAGTTGGACCTAGGGATCCAAAAATCGACCGGGCGACTCTAAATCGAGTGTGAAGAATGATGGTCTTCAAATCTAACACCCACTCGAGAACAAAATTAGCGTCAGTATTGGTTTCGTCAGGTGATAGGGTTTTGATTGAGCAAACCTTGTAACACCATCATTCAAAGCTCTGAGGGTCAATAGAACGGAATTAACGGGTGGTGTACACAGGAAAAACAGGTTCAGTATACCAGTGTTCTCGAGGATTCTGTGGAAGAGATTAAAGGGAATTGATGAAGAGAAGATTTGCGTGGAGCAGATGATAATGATTAATGTCATGTCAGCACAAATTTGATCGCATGTTCAGTGCCTGCCATTCTAGTGCTAGCCAATTCCCTAGAGAGCAAGAAACAAGAATGAAACAAGAATAGGCGTGTGTCAAAATGTATTGCAAAAGAGAATGAGGATCGCTTGATGCAAGAGAAGCAGCCTTTATACCGGAAAACTTAATTTGGCGAGAAATACCTTTATCTGCCGTTAAACATATCTGCGATAATATATATCGGTGATGATATGTATTGATGATATTTAGTGATAATATATCCAACAATTTATTCACTGGTGATATATATAATATCTAACAGCATAGGCTTTTTGAGCTTATTGTTCTGTTCTGCCCCAGCTGCATGTGCTATGAAGAGTGTTGTCCTGAGCTTTCCAACTCTTCGAACAGATCAAAGATATCTTCATCTCTGAGATCAAGAGGTTCATTTGCCCACTGTCAGAAGAGGGATGATAGAAGCAGGCTGTCTCTAGTAACTATCTAAGTCTCAATGAGTTTACATATTACAGCTTAAATAGTTCAAAGACAATGTAAATAAGATGTATCTGCTAATGCAATCACCCTAAAAATTGATTTATCTATTAATTCATATAAATAATGTTAAATTAGTCAGTAGTTCTTCATTGCTTATAAGGGCTTCATAATCTGTAGCGGAATACCCTCTACCATCAGATGGCGCCCCAACAGTAACCTTGGAACAGTTCTGCTCACCCCCTTTTGTTTACAGGACACCCAAAGTAGCTAGATAGCAGGAGCAACAAAAATAACAGTATCAAGTTGATCACCAACATGATCATTACATACCTAGAACTTAGTTGACAGTATCTGCCTGTGTTATAGGCCTCATTCAACCAAGTTTCCTCTTCCTCGAGTTAGCATTGCTTGTCCCTGGTATAGATTTGTAGATGGGAAATTGTTGTTCCACAACTCCTTAAGCGGCACATTCTGTCAACCATCTCCTCGCCCGAGACCCAGGAGCGATTCCTTTGGTGGCTACGGTAATTTGTGCCTTACTACGTCTTGTTCCGTATTAGCGACGTTTTAAGTTCCAGGATCATGCATGTCAGACGTATGTGATGAATGTGTTAAGTTTCACCACCGTTGCGTCACGGACATAAATTGGGATCTACCCTATTTTTCTAGCTTTTAAGAAATGAAATCCCTGATAGCCATTCTCTATAAAGGCAAAAATGGAAAGATAGGGAGGGAGGGAGGGAGGGAGAAGGATGTTCTCTAGATTCTGTTTCTGCCTTTAAGCTGTGTGCAGGGCTGATATACGCCCCACTGCGAGTCCGCGACCCCCTTTTCCGTGCCAATTGCAGCGCTTACGCCTATACGTTAAACGAAAGCCGCTCACCCGCGGAAGACGGGTCCGGGTGGCACTCGGGCTGATCTCCACAAATGTCGCTGCGAAAGGTGGAGCTGGTTGAGTCCGAGAAGGCTTGCGGCTGCTACTGAGTAGTCAGAGTCAGCAAACTCGACCCTGGTCGAGGGGGGAAGGGGAAGTGATACTAAGTGATACTCCGTATTCATATATATTATGGACGCAAACCGTTCTGTCTCTGGAATGGATTTCCCCGCAGTCTTCGTAGCGATCTTCCATTCTGAACGCACATCTTTGATGTCCATCACCTACTCGACAGAGCGAGCAGGCCTCTTCGTTTCTGTTCCCTACGGCTGGCTGCCGAAGCGCCGTCCGCCATGACCGCTGCAGAAAAACTCAAAGCGAACTTTCCGGTCGCTATGACCATGGCGGCGTTTATGGGCATTTCGTGGTACATCGCCGTTGAATTGAATGTCCGGCTGTTCTTGATCTTCAAGTACGTCCACCTCGAACAGCAAGTTCACCTGTGACCGACGTGCGTGCTGGGAAACTGATCAGTTTTTCTTTGCTGCCTTGAACAAACAAGGCGAAGGCAGGGCCTGTATTTCTGGAGCTGCGCTCTCAGCTCCTGGGGGATTATCCTCCAACCCCTGTGTATGACGCTCTTTGATTTCGGCGTCCTGAAGCAGCCATGGGTGGCCATGGTCCTGATCTATGCCACCTGGTGGATCATGGTGGTGCCGCAGGCGGTGGTTCTGTACTCGCGACTCCATCTCGTCATCTGGAATCGGCAGCACCTTCGATACGTGCTGTATATGATTATCTTCACCGTGGTTTTCATCTCGATACCAACGATGCTCCTGGGGATCTTTGCGGTTGAGTCTCGCCCTCCGATGCTGCATGCTGCAGGAACCGTTTAAACTCCCGCACTAACTCTTTGTGGCCTACAGCAAGCTGGCGAGCGCCCGGACGTGGTACACGCAAACTCAATCTGGGATCGCATCCAGGTCAGCATCTTTTTCGTGGAGGAAACAATTATCTCCGTCCTGTACGTCATCGAAACGCGGCGCCGGATGCAGAACCTGCATACGCTGGGCGAGCGCGACCATAATATCTACAAAGTAATGCACCATCTGATCTACGCCAACGTCTTCGTCATCTGCCTCGACATCTCCCTTCTCGCACTCTCCTACTCGACGCACTTCTACATCCAAGCCGCCTACAAGCCCTGCGTCTACGGCCTCAAATTGCGCGTCGAGTTCTCCATCCTGAACCGCCTCATCGCCTCCTTGCAGAATTCTACACATCTTTTCTCCACTACACCTTCCGCCCACCAGCATTCTACAGCTCACAATCTCGAATCAAGGAACCCCAACTGGCGTCCAATCAAGCCGCTGAACGAGATAACCCTGAACACCCTCTGCGTGGAACCTAGTCCGCCCCCATCCAAATGACGATAGCCCAATGAGGTTATTGGGTGCCAACATATCTACCGCACAGACCATCGAAGCTAACGGAAAGAGGTTAACGGGCTAAGCCCTGGCGGGGAAAATTCGAACAGGGGAGCCTTGCCATCCGAATTGCTCCGAGCTTTTCGATCTGCGTATCGAAGAGAGTGAATAAATCGATATGGCAACCTGTGAATCAACACAAGTCGACGGACGCTGAGGCTGACGCTCAGTTAAAAAATCATGCTTCACAACAATCATACAAATACACCTTGGGATTCCAATCGTCAGCTAGGCAGGTCCTCGATTTCCAAGTGTGTTTGACTTTTAACAGAGTTAAATATCTGGGATCAAGCAACGTCCAGGCAGCGGCTGATAATTTACATCAGCCACCCTCGGAACCATGACAGCTCCACCCACCAGCCTCTTTCGCAAAGCTCACGTCTTCTTCGTCGCCAACTCTCCCCTCCATGCGAACTTGGCCGTCCTTCGAAATTCACCCTACCCTCCTATCACTGTATCCACAGGCAAAGAGAGGGCTACCCTATCAACTGCCAACCGCATCCTCTTTAGCACCAGTAGCACCAGCAGCACCAGCAGCCGATCAGAAGCTCCGGACCAAAAACAACAGCAATGTCGACGTAAAGTCAAGCATACCAATGCCCAAGGGTCAGCTGGTATAAACAACAATCCCGAAGTCCCGACCTTCAGCTTTGAAGGATTAGGCTTAAGTAGGAACATGAAGATGGTGGTGTTGGGGTTAGTCGGGGTGTTCGGCACGGTGGAAACGTGGTTCTGGTCCAAGGCGATTTGGAGATGGTGGGCGGGATCTGAGGATGCGGGGGATGGTGAATGAGGAGAATATTGGTGGGATGTGGAGAGCTGGTTTTTCCTTCTGAGGAATGAAAGCTGGATATAATCAGATCTCCCTAATATGTGCTAGTGCTGGTATGAATGGAAGCTTGGGGGTTTGTTTGGTGCGATTAGGTGTATGATCAGTGTAAAGTAACACATGTATAATTAACCTTTTAGTTTATGAAAACAATCTCCCTTCTATAGTTACCTAAGAGGTAAAATCGGTTAAACTCAAGTGCGAACCATGGAAAGTATTTGTCTCAACCTCAGAACTGGGCGGCTTATTGTTTATTCAAATAGCTGCGACAACAGCAACTTGTCGCCAGCCATCACAGATTGTCTGTCTGCCTCAGGCGCCGATGCCGTGTCGATGTCTCACCTGCCCAAGCCTTGTCCCATCGCAGACGTGTTTCTTGTGTCGCCTTTTACCTCGCCCCTTTTGAATTCTTCTCTCTTCCCCAACATACCCATTCAGAAAGGGAGGAAAATAAACAAGTGCCGCACGCTGTGGGGGAATATGCATTCACCGTTTATGTCCATGAGCGACTCTCTACCGCTCCTTTGAAATATATGTGTGGCGCACTGGTATTTATCCCACAGACAGGCGGCTGCCGACCAGTTTCGAAAACCACACACCTCAATGACCACTATCACCACCATACGCTCGAAGACCTCCACCACTGCTCCAGTGGTGGGTGATATGATTTCGACCGTAGCAAAAAGGACGACGACAACGGCGGCGGCGACAGATTGCCCAAACTGCGGTTATGATGTGTTCCTTGCCGATGATCATGCCCACCAGCGCATATCTGAGCTGGAGGCACAGATCAGGTTTTTGAACAAAAGGGCTGCGGAGACGGGTAGGTTACGCTTGGTTTTCTTGTTGTACTAATCTATGGACTAAATAATCTCTATTTTTCAATTTCCCCATTCTAACTCGAGCTATTCCTTTCCCAGCGGACAAACTCGCCGACTATGAGGACGAAATCCGTCTGCTGCGCTCCAAAGCAAGCGCCGCAAGAACAACAACAGCACAACCAACAACCACAATCCCCCCAACTACCCCGACCCTGCCCCCTTCCCAAACAACAGACCATCACATACACCCCGCTTCTCCGCCAACCCCTCAATCGCGCCTAGGCACATTCGCCTCCCTCCTCCCCTACGGCCGTCGCAACGCCACCACCCCTCCTCCCCAAAACCGCTCCCCAAGCCCCACCTCCACCATCAGGCCGCCAACCTCCCACTCCACATCCTCCCACGCCCCCCAGCCTAGCACCGCCCTCCAGGACGCCCTCACCCGCGAACAAACACTGCGCAAAGAGGCCGAATCGCGCCTGACGCAAGCCAACTCCGAGCTCGAAGAGCTGACAGCGCAACTCTTCAGCCAGGCGAACGAGATGGTGGCGCAGGAGCGGAAGGCGCGCGCGAAGTTGGAGGAGCGCGTCGAGGTGCTTGAGCGGCGGGATCGGGAGAAGCGGCGGCGCCTGGAGCGGTTGGAGAAGGCGATTGAGAGGGTCGATCGAGTTCGGGGGATGGTGGGCGATGGGTAGGGGTGGGTGGTGGGTGGGGGGTGGGGGTGATTGAGGAACGGATTGTGCTGGTAAGAAGGGCGCGCAGGAGAGTGAGATTGGGAGAAGTGAAGGGAAGGAGAAGATAGAGGGGGAGTTGGCGTTTGGTCTTGGGTGATAGATGGGTGGATTGGTGCTACAATGGGGCGTTTTCCCACCACTGTGCTGTTTTCAATATGTAATAATGGCAATCAATGGTATGGATATGGATGTCAGGTGAACTCGTTTGGATAATGGATGAGGCACGAGATTTTTTTCTTTTCTTCTCTTTAACACCACCCCCACTATTGAAACAGTTCTTGCTCTCTTTATGGTGGCGAGACTCGTTTACCATCGTTCCTCTCCCATTGCGGTTTGGATATTCTTGGATATTTTATTTCCTGATTTCCGACCTAACAATTCTATTTCTTACATATCCACCTACAAGACATTTTACGTCTTGTTTGATTTGCTCGTGTGGGATTTTAGGATGTTCCATACACATTTTATGATCATGAATTACGATTTCGGTTGATTTAGAAACTCTCTGCTGGTAATGCATAGAAGAAGGGTTGTCTCTCTTATCGAACATCCCGGTGTAATAACTTTTGGTGATTTTTTTTGAACACAGATTCTACCGGTGGAAAATGGGTACAAAGAAGAAAAAGAGAAGGTCATGTGGGGAGCATGACAAGGAAGTATGTAAAATAGGAGTTGATCTATGTGGGTATCCTGCTGTAAACAACGCATATCCAATGGGAATTGGAAAATATGTGGAATTGGAAAATGGGGTGCCCGACGGGTGGGGTATCGATATAATATACACAGATATATACAAATGACAGGGAAATATTGGGGAGGAATAGGAGTTGGAGGTGGGGGAAAGGCGGCTAGAACACGGACATGGTAATCCTTAAAGGTGGAAGGATAAAAACAGGATAGGGGTATTGGTGAATATGGCTTGCCGTTGAATAATGCGAAGAGATTCCAGTATACGGGGGAATTGAGAAAAGCAGAAAAGATGGACAAGCTGGGCATACAATACAGACGGAAGGGAAATGCCGAAGGTTGGAAGAACATGTTAGGAACTTTGATAACAAGGGGCTAAGACAGGAATACCAACCACGCCATAAACCTGAAGAAATGCAGAGTAAGGGAAGAATACTGAAAATGGAAAGGAAAAAAAATGAAAAAAGGAGAGAGAGATCGAATTAAAATGCTATGAGTTTCATCCATCAGTTTCATTCCCAGCCTTCCAAAAAGCATACTTGCCCTGCGACGGGTCTGAATTCATCGACCACACCAGTGCACAGAGACCTGCCAATAACCCAGCGGCTCCAACCAAAACAGGGCGTAGGCGCGCACCACGTCCAGCCCCCTTTTGTGTTGATGAATCCGATGGTCGCCGCAGGATTCCGGAGGCATAAGTGGGCAATTTATCCCTAATCGAAGATAGGAATCGACTGCCCGTCCTACCGTGGCTGTTACTGCGGCTGTTGCCAGGCATCTTTCCACTTATCCCCGCTCGTTTTACCTCGACATCAATCTCGGCGACGATGTGACTGCAATGCCGGAAAATATTGACCGCCTCAACGATGATCTGTGCTCGTTCAGAGACGGATAGGAGATTCGAGGCAGAGTGAAGACGTGCTTTGAATTCTTGTTTGATCCCTTCATCATCGTACAAGTCCTTGTCATCGCGGTGAAAAAACCAGAAGGTGAGCCCGTTCGGGATGCCGCTGCCGCTGCCGCCAGCATCTTCATTGGATTCCGTGCTCGTCTTCCAGAAATCGTGCCCCCCTGCTGCGAGTTTCGTGCGGATCCGACGCCCACCGTTGAGCAGTATGAGGTACATGATCCATGTGTAAACCATGATGAGGTGAGGGTGTTCCGCTGTGGCCGACTTAATGTGTGCTGCAAAGGCAGTTGCAGCGTTGCCGTAGGCATCGTCATCCTTGCTTGACGAATTGTCGTCGCTAGGAGCATCCTGGCTTGAGTCCTCCGTACCAGGCGACCAACCCAACGCGCGCAAGTCCGCTCGTAGTTTCTCGCTGCGTAGCAATTCGGGAATATACAACTGGCTCAGTATGCTCCTGATCCTGCCTCTGTCATCATTTACAAACGAATCCAGAATTTCATATTCATCTGGGCTGCCAGTGCCGCTCACTGATGGTAACTGCGACAGCTGAGAAATCCAGGCTTCTTCAAAGGCGAAGTATATTTCAGCAAAGCGAGATATCCCAAACGCGTAGAGCGCTGGGGTATCTGTGCGTGGCGGAAGGCATAGCGGGACGCGCTTGGCAACAAGGCTGCCAAACGAGGTGTGATGCTCCCTGATGTTGCAGTATATTAGCTGGATTTGTCTTTCAGCTGAGTAGGCTGGCTTTACGGCGAGCATATACGGGAGAGCCAGTGTTAGACTGACCCTTCTGATGTATTCTCGGCCTGCCGCCCCATAAAGGACAGCTTTTACCTGATTGCATCGAATATCTCCTTTGAAAGGTCCTCCATAACTCCGTTGCATAAAAGGGTAGACAGCGGTGATAAATCAACAAGGTTGGCTCCTTTGGTATATTTGCGAAAACGAAAGCCTTTTGACCACGGTAGAAATCTCTTGCTCGGCATTGTACAGTTTCGGAATTTCCATCCAGCATGAAGCATTGGTCAATTTTGTACCCAGGAATAAATGAGATAGGCAGCTCTTTTATAGCAAGCAGCAGGCACTCATTATGCTCAAACACATGACCAACATCATGTGCTTTACGCTTCTGCAGCCACCTGACGATAACACAGGTATTTGCGAGTTACCGCTGATTTATTCTGCTGATACTGTGTATCTGGGAGCATCAGGTCATTATCTTGGGGGAGTATTCGCTTTTCTCCCACCATCATATCATCTCCCGAATGGCGGATGGTACACGATGGCAGCTGCTGGATTTACCATTTGCCTTTGTAAATAGACGCGCGAAAATAGGCCAGGAGCCATCATGACTGTGACCTCGTTGGGTGAGGGATTCTGGGCACATGATGGAGGATATCATGGATGCAATCTTCGCGACTGACACAGTCGTATTCCTGTCTTGTTGCATTTCAATCCCCTAGTGTTCCAGTAGAGCGTATACAAAACAGAAGTCGAAACATAGTCGTCGTTCCGTTGCCCTCTCTGGTTGGCCGATCAGTGCTGATTATCACGTGATATTTTCTTAAACAGGAAATAAGGGTTTATGCGAGAAAACCCTAGCACTCAAATCTCGCTTAGCGAGCCAACTAGCGCCGGAATTCCACTCTGGCTGGAAAACCCAAGAGCCTCGTCGAAAACGTCCGCCATCGACCGCAATCACCTTCGACGAACCACCCCCTACGACCAGCTTCGGGACCGCACAATACCGCCAAGGTACGTTCGACCATCTCCGTGGCCAGTTGTAGTTAATTTTTGAACTGTCAGAGGTCGTGGAATAGGGTCTAATGAGTTATTGTTGAACAGATGGTCGCCGCAAAGAAGCACATACCGATCGTGAAGAAGCGTACGTACCTCCAATATACTCCTAGGGCCATTTATTAAGGGATATGCATGTTTGTTGGCTATGGGGTTATGGTGGAGCTTGGTGGATATGGGATGCGGATAGAAGGGAACCACTGCAGAATGCTGGGAATGAATTGAAATAACCTCTGTGGAAGGAATACCAAGGCTGATTTGAGGATTTCCGGGTATACAGACAAGAAGCGCTTCAACCGCCACCAGTCAGACCTCTACAAATGCGTCGATGCTTCATGGCGGAAGCCCAAGGGTATCGACAATCGTGTCCGTAGACGGTTCAGCGGCCAGGCTGCCATGCCAAAGGTACGAATAATCCTGCTTGGAAATTGTCCATAATCGCTCTCCGGCCATTACGTTGTCGGCATTGGGACTTCGGCTTCATCGCACCACCAGCTGACAATTAGCGACTCGGGAAAAACAATATAGATCGGTTACGGAAGCAACAAAAAAACCAGACACATGATCCCCTCCGGCCACAAGGTCTTTCTCGTTCATAACCCCAAGGATGTCGAACTTCTACTGATGCACAACCGGACCTACGCTGCTGAGTACGTTGTAACCCAAAACGCTAGCTAGCAGTTTCAAAAGCCAACCTTCCAACCAAAAATAGCGTTTATTTCTAGATGGATGCTAATGCTCTCCCCGCTTTAGGATTGGCCACGCGGTTTCGTCAGGAAAGAGAATCGACATCATCGCCAAGGCCAAGCAACTCGGCGTCAAGGTCACCAACCCTAAGGGCAGACTTACCACTGAGTCGTAGTCATGTTGTTTTGTTGTTTTCTTTTTCCTTTCACGTTTATGTCTGGGGTCGGAAGGCTTGGGATTTGGCGAAAGCATTTGATAAATAAAATAGCCGTTGAAACCCTGATTTGAATTTAAATGGAATAAACCAGATAAAATTAACGGAATGAAACTGTTATTTTACTTTGTCTCCTGTCACACTAGCTGAGTGTACTTTTTACTGGGGTTTTACCCCCTGTGTATCGCCGTCTCAATGTTTTCTTTTTGCCCGGGAGACTTGATATCAGTATCATGCAGGAAAAATCAGATCCTCAACGGATGTCCAGAGTGTTACTCACATTCGATCGACTTAACTGTTTAATGATGTTTCTCTTCCATGTTGGCCCTTTCCCATGCTATCGCATTACGCAGGATCGATGGGATCCAGGAATTGAGAAACAATTTCAGGTACTCTGCCCAGCTGCCGCTTCCATTAATTCACCTTTTAAGTCGTCGACTTCCTTTTAGCCAGAACACCTCCTCTGGTCTGGAGTCTCAACTGCCAATGCTCCCTTGATCAAAGTATGCGCTGAGGACGGTTTGAGAGGCATGTCACAGACGGCAGAGACTACGTAGAACACGGCGTCCTCTTGGGATTACCATGGAGGGCCTGTTCACTTTTTTTTTTTTTTTGGGTACCTACCTCATCTGATGGGTGGTAGCCATTTCTCTCTCCTCTTGCACTACCCTCTGTGGGAGACTAAGAGATACGTCTCCCAATATGATACGAGGATTTTAACACTACTGGGTCCTTGAATGTAGAAGGGCTTTGCACGGTTTTCCCCGATTCATTCGTCCAGTGGATGGGGAAGCCACCAAGCAGAGTGTGGGAGGGCAGCCGTGACCCCCTCGAAAATGCCTGTGATTTGAATCGCTATTTCATCTTTCGGCCGAACCGTTTGTGGAATACCCCCATCTCTTTAGAGGGGGAATTAAACGGGTTGGGTTTTATTTAGGAAGATACATAGAAGTAACTACGAAGGATAGATTCCATAATCCCAGCTCTTTCGTGCCGGATGTCACATACCGGAATCCAGGGTATATGCCGCGCAATATACCGTCAGCCTGAAAGCCGAAAACGGGGCATTCACAGCAAACTTAGGATTAGCAACAAGTGCCCAGCCTACTTTCGGTATGTCATGAGGATAAGTGACAACCGCGTCGGCGCTGGGGGGCGATATACAATGCGATAGACGGCTATAAATAGTTCCTAGCCGAGGGGTTTTCCCCTATCCACAAGCCTATATTTTTCTCCGTATTTGGAACTATTGTGAAATTTTCCATAACGAAAAGGAACTGGTGAGCTGAGGGTGAGAGGAGTGGGACAAATATCTTTTAGAATCGGAATTTCATCCAAATCTATCTATCGGGATAGCCGGTTACGCACAAACGCCATTAAACTTTTTCTTACCCCTTTTTGTATCCATGGAGTATTCTCTAGATAATTTTAAAAGGAGCTGTGTTGTATCGAAATTGAAACAGCGCTGGAAAGGGCTACTCCGTAATTTTGGAACAAGCATAATTTAAGCATAATTTAAGCATATGTAATCGTTAGTTGAACATTTTCTGATCTCCTCCAAAAGGCTGATCGAGTTTGGAATCCCAACCCTAAGAATTCTAGCCACACTCGACTGCTATCCTGGAGAAGGAGAAAAATATCCGAAAAGGTTGTAAGATTTTTGATGAACAGATCTTGTGACTGTGGAGGTATGTAGAATGATTCACGCCCGACTGTCGCCAGACACACCTAATACCACAGCTAAAACAAAGGGGATAGATTATTAAGTGTTTCGAAGGCGATGATGACGATATAGGACGGTTCACCAATTGAGCTGGGAGAAGGTTCCAAAAATGAACAAGTCATGCTCGCCAATCATGGCGAGGATACCAGAGCATATGCAGCTAATAAGTAATTAATCATTTTTACAGGTACCTGCAAGTTGGAGAAAAAGATCTATCTCTTTTGAAGAAACAATGAGCTTAGTAACTCCCTGGAGCAAGATGAAAAAGCAGAAGAATGGTAGCACATTCTTGCATTAGCAATAGATATGTTGCTAACTTGAACTAAAAATAATCCCCAGGTCAGACTGCCACGTGGGATTTCTCGGGCCGGAACCGAACTAAAAAAAACGTGGCGTGAAAATGCGGGGCCGACTCTGATTGGCTCACAGTGCCAATTTGGCGTGATGTCCCCATAATTTAAGCTATTGGACCCTGCGCGCTAATAAAAGCTCATATGGGCTTTGTTTGGACTGCGCCATGCATAAACACTTACAGTACACATATCGATTGCGCGGAAGGGCAGGCTTCTAAAGCATCACGAAATTATTCTACTTCCCCCGTCCCATGCTGGGGCCTGATCCTCAGGAACCCAGCTTTGACTTCGAGGGGCGAGACAAACTTTCATCGCTCCAGCCATTGATACAAGTTCCATGTTATGGTAGTCGGTTTTGACCTACCGATCTTAGATATATCCATGAGTATCCCACTTTCTACTTCCATCTTTCTTGCCTCTTTCTCTCTTTCTGTTACCTTTCTTATGAATTTTTTTTTCCTTTTCTTTTGAAAGACTTCGCTTAAGGCTATATAGCTCTCGTATTCTTTCTCCATCCTTCCGCTGCTCTTACATTTCTTTTAACTTTTTTTTTTTAGTAAAAACTCACCTATTACTGCCATACAACGCTCTTCTTGAGTTTACCCCTCCCCCTCCTTTGGGAGCGGGTTATATTTGTCTCGATAAGTATCTAGCATTCTTTACCAGCATATATCCGCCATGGCACCGCCGAAATATGCGCGTATGTGCGGGAGGAGGCTGTCTCAGCTAATTGCACTCCTCACTATCTTGGGCTTTTTACTATTCGGATATGACCGTAAGTTCCTTGGTCAATTTTGGAAATTCATTGCCGCGAAGCTTTCGCTGACTGAAATTCAGAGGGCGTCATGGCTAATCTACTCATTGAACCGGTTTTCATCTCATTGTACACCGCTAACAATGAGGACCCTCTACTGAGGGCCACCTTGACTTCGATATATGAATTCGGTAAGTGCGTCCAAGGTGTGACCAAAATATAAGGGAACCAGGGAAAAGCTAATACGTAGTAGGAGGTCTCTTGGGTGCCCTCGTCACACTGATCTTGCTCGATTTGATCGGTCGTCGTAAAACGATTATGTTCGGCTCGCTGTGTATGATTATCGGCGTGTTGATTCAAATTACTGCTATGCGAGAATACAAGCCCCTAGTGCAGTTCATGGTCGGCCGTTGTGTTACTGGTTTTGGAAATGGAGTGAATTTATCTTCCATGCCCAGTTATCAGTCTGAATGTTGCAAGCGCCATCGGGCCTGGTTGTTGATGTGTATGCAGGGCGGCATCACTGCCTTTGGCACAACGATGGCCTATTGGATGACCTTTGGGGCCCATTTCGGTCCTCCAGAGTTGGTCTGGCGACTCCCTATCGGGTTCCAAATGGTTTTCTGTGTGCTCATTATAGTTACAATGTTTTATCTTCCCGATTCACCTCATTATCTCATCTCCAAGAATAAGATTGCTGAGGGCGAAAGAGTTCTTGCTGCACTTGAGGGGAAAGATATCGATGATCCCGCCACCAAACATCAAAAGAACCTAGTCATTGATTCGATAAGAACGTAAGTGGGGAGTTCAACTTTCTGAGAGCCACTCTAGCAAAAGCCCAACCACAAAAATATTAACAAAATTATTAGTTCGCGTGCCTCCAAAGAACGTTTCAAGGATCTTTTCACCAGTGGCAGAACTCAGCATCGCCGTCGTATGATGATGGGCACCTCCTCGAAGGTTTTCAAAGAGCTCACTGGATGTAACGCGGTCATTTACTTTCTTCCATTCTTTTTGAAACGGTCTCTTGACAGGTCGGTTGAGTTCGCAATGCTGATTGGTGGTATAAGCATGACTCTCTATGCACTTTGTGCGACGTTCTCATGGTTCTTCGTCGAGAAATTGGGGCGCCGCAAGCTCTTCATTTTAGGGAGTCTCGGCCAATTCCTTGCCATGATCATTATATTCGCATGCGTTGCTGCCAGAAGATCCGGATCCACCCCGGGAGCCATTTTCGGCTTCTTTCTGTACCTGGGTGTATTCGGTGCAAGCTGGCTGTCCCTGCCTTGGCTATACGCCGCCGAAATTACTCCCGACAAGGCAAAAGCCCAAGCCAACTCTCTTACCGCTTGCAACAGTTGGCTTTTCAACTTCTCAGTCGTCACGGCCACGCCAGTCATGGTGTCCAATATCGGGTGGGTGACGTATTTATTATTTGGCCTAATGAATGCTCTTATCGCACCTCTTGTCTGGTACTTATATCCAGAAACTTCAAACCGGAGCAAACAGGAAATCGACCTCATCTTCGCCAAAGGATATGTTGAGAAGATGAGCTACGTCACTGCCGCAAAGGAGCTGCCTAAGCTTACGGATGAGGAGGTTGAGAGGAAGGCTACGGCATATCGCCTCATGGATGACCAGAATAATGGAAAGGTGGAAGCCCAAATCAGCTCTCATGGTGCCGGTTCGGCACAATCTTAGTTGCAGAGAGTGCCACATTTATGGCGTCAAGGTAGATGCATTGATATATCTCCCTATTATACCCTGTGATATCAGTTTTGTTATTGTGTCTTTTTTGATATATGGGCGTTTGCATGCGTTAGAGAAATTACCGATAGGGCAGTGTTAAAAAGTTATGTTAGAGTTAGGTTTTTGTCGCGTAATGATTTATGTCAAAATATTGAAGATGCATCCGCTACTAACAGCTTTCTGGCCAAGAGCCTTTCATATTGGAGATCAACAGTCTTCGACTAACAAGAATCTCATTAGCACTTTCATCAAGAATCCTCGCGATCATTTATCGCAAGAGCTGGTGATAGTTGCGTTAATTGTGGTAGAGTATCCTAACATTATAATGGTCTTCTGACATGGGTAGGTCTAGGAGGAAGATTAGAGGAAATAAACATGGAAGAAAACTCCAATGTTACGTGCAGAAGATCGATGTACCAAAGAAGTTAGTGGACCCTGGGCATTAATAGGGAAAGCCTTAAGTGTACTGTACTGGGCCATGGTGCCTTTTTGTGGTAGAAAAGTAGTGGAGATTGTCAATATTTACAGCCTGGCACGTATATGAGATGCGCTGTGGCTGGTGCAGCAAGATGTGGAACGTCACTCATACCTGGTGCAAATTATTCTAATAGTTCCTACTAGTATATGGTATCTAAAAGTGTCATATTCCAACGAGCGCCCGCCCAATGGTTCATCTCATGGCATCTTAGAGACCAGCAGCGCCTGTAGTACCAACATCAATGTCGCCTTGGTTCTCCTTCGCCTGCCGCTCTGTCGCATTCTTGTCAACTAGGTCAGCAAGGCACACAGCACCTAGTCCCTCAACCAACGCTGAATCCCCATGCTGCCCTTGTCCGATAACTTCCTCCGCCTCCTCATCCAGCCAATCAGGCGCTATAGTAGGTCCTTCCATACCATCAGGAGGCAACGCCCAGCTAGGCATTTTACTTTTATACTTCCATGCACCAGTGACATCCGCATATGACATTGCATGCAGGAAAATCCCCAACTCATGCACACCGGGATCAGTGTATAATTCCGTTCCGCATGTCTCACATTTCTTTCCATTCATTTTCTCTCCTTTGCGCTTTAGATAGTCGTTAACCATCGCCTCATGTTCCTTGGCCAGCAGATCATCCACAACGGCTGGATCGTTTTTGGAGACTGATTCAGGTGGCGGTGTTTGGAATGTTTGATAACTGAGTGAGTCAACGGGTTCGGTTTTGCCCATTTTGGAAAGCCGGTATATTATCTGCTCATCGTTTTCTCCTGTTGCATCTGCTTTCCCAAGGCTGTGGCCAAAGACTCGCCGGTTGGAGTAGATTGGGTCATTCGTTATTGGATGCCCTAGGTATTGAAGGTGGACACGAAGTTGATGGGTACGCCCAGTTAGTGGGAGGCAGTGAACGATACTGTAACCCTCTTCGTCTGGGCTCATGGGAACAGGGATTGCTGCTCCTGTGGGTGTGTCGGTTTGCGAATCGCTGATGTTCATTTGATCTGGTAGTGTTGCAGGAGGAGTTGCTGGGCCAGCTGACAAACCCTGTTTTTTTCCTGCTTGCTTATGTGGGGGATAGTATGCAATTCTGCGAAATTTTGTCCTCGCCTCTTTTCCTGAAGCTCTTGCACGGTTTAGGCCCAGGATTGGACTTATTTTCAACATAGGTTGATCACACAACACTACGCCATCCGGGAACTTCCCCTTTACCCGTGCCACATATTCTTTGCGCACAGTACGCGAGCGGAGCTTTTCGCCAATTTGTTCAGCACCCTTGGGGTGCTTTCCGATAAACATCACACCCGAGGTCAGCCTATCCAGACGATTGCAAGGATACGGGACCCAACCGTTTCCACGTTCCGCTTTCATGATCTCAAGAATTGAATTATAATTGTATCTCCCTGCAGGATGCACGGGCACGCCAGCCGGCTTATCGATCACAATCATGTCATCGTCCTCGTGGATTATGCTAATCGGTTGGCTGGTCACAGGTGGTTCATGCCTGTGAAGCGTATGCGAAATCACATCCCCGTTTTGGATCTTCGTATCTATGGAAACTGCCTTTCCGTTTATGCACACAGCACCGTCTTCAATGGCTTTTTGCTGAAGGTGTCTAGTTAGTACTTTTTATGGATTTTTCGAGATAGGGCTGCCTCCCGATCAAAAACTATTGGGATTGAACTGCAATTATCAACATACATAATACTCCTTCGGTCTATCTCTAAACTCTGTTCCGAAAACATCCAATAATCCTCGTCCCCGCCACCTTTCTTTACAATAGGTATTATACGTGTAGTGGTATGGTGCAACTCTGCGCAAGCCCCCTTCGATGTAGTAAGGTCTGGGTAACGGATCACAAGGCGTCACCACCACATCGGAGGGTGGTTCGAAAACCTCCTTCTCTTTCACGGGAAATGAGCGTTCCACTGTTGTAACGGCCATATTTGAAGTGGGATATCGACCCCGCCGAGCCAGGCAGGCCAGGACGTTTCGAGAGGGCGCCAGGGGCGATGAAGGTGTTCTCGCCAGGAATATAGATTGAAAGAAAAACAATCGAAAGGAAGCAATTGACGATAAGGTGCTAGTAAGTAAACGAGAGAACAAGTTAAAACTCGAGCGCCCATAGGGAGAATGGCCGCTGGCGCTTGAAATGAAAAGTAGAGGACGGAGAAATATATCTCCGACATATTTTATCGAAATATTTGACCCACACACTCCATTGTATTAGCTGCCGCTAGCCACAACCAACCATGCCCAACCTCTCATACAAGCTTGTGTAGGACCTCCAACTGTCGGGGGTGGATTGGTTCGTCCCCTCTACCAGCATGGCGCTGGTGGTGATCGAGCTCTTTTGCCGCAGTGGCCTAACACCAACAAATATGAATATCATGTGATCAGCGTGTCGATCAACCTTATCTTATCGATCAACGGACAACCGAGGCTTGTCCGTGAAGTTCAACGTCAATTTCTGGCTTTGGTAAGCTCTCTTGGTGTTCAGCAATCGATAAATAATGGATCGACCTGCGCCATTCAGGCGAGCTAACACCATTCACGATATTTTCAATTACTAAGATATCCTTGTGAGGAGCCATAACAATGGCCCCAACGGAGCTAGAACTGAAAAAGCGAAGGACGAGAAATGACTATCCATTCCACTTGGAATATCGAACACGATGGTGAGCACTCGCATAGAGATTCTTGACACTTTACCTATTATCCACAGAAGGATTTAAATGCATCTGAATGGCAATGGCGGGGGGAAACAAAATTACTGAAAAGCGCGCGTAATGTATACCACTACATTAACCATTCCATATTGATGAATTTGATATCAGGTCCGACAACGATATGTACGCCCATCTAAACAATACCATATACGCCTTTCTCATCGACTCTATCGTAAACACTTACCTAATAAACCACTGCGGCCTAGACCCTTTCTCTGCGCACTCTTCTGCTCCTCCTCCCTGCCCATCAACCAACCACAGCATCTCGACTTCCACACGTCCAGATGCACCCTCCCAAATTGGACTTGTCGTCTCCTCGTATTGTGATTATTTCTCTTCCGTTACATTTCCAGATGTGATAGACTTAGGCCTGCGCGTTGTCAAACTTGGCAACTCAAGCGCGATGTATGAGGTTGGCATTTTCCGCCGTGGAGAAGCGATGGTCAAGGCCGTCGGTGGGTTTACGCACGTGTTCGTGGAGAAAGGAACTGATATGAAGTTTGCGGCAAGAGGTGGAGGTGGAACGGCAAAACGGAAAATGGATTGGAGGATCCGGGACGGCCTTGAGAGGCTGATTGTAAAGGAAAAGGCAGTATCGTCAAAGCTCTGAAAACTCGACCGAGTGTAGTCCTATAATGGGGGGCCAATTATATCTTGGACTCAAAGTGATATATGGAAATTGCAGCGTATGGTAACGCAGCATGTATAGTCATTAAGTTAGCGATATAAATGAAAACATTTAATACTGCTTTCTGTGTGTATCTGGTCGCTAGATATAGTGGGTCGGCGGCAATCCTGCTAATACCTCCCATTTAGCTCTACTTTGATCGTCTCCTCTCCCTGTCACCAGGTTCAAAGGCATCTATTCTTATTTTTGTCTTTCCGATTCTGCTGCCCATACAGAAACAAAAACGAAACGGAAGAACGCCTTGTCTACGTAAATTATCTGCTGGCTCCACCTGAAAGCCAGTCAATTTGATATTAACACATTAATACCCATCTATCTTTATCAAGAAAACAATATGTAAACGCGAGATGCAGATTCTGGCTCATGGCGGTAAAAACAATCGTAGTCATCATCATAAGAAAATGAGTTGTGATTACATCACACACTGCCACTTCATTTCGAGAGGCTCGAAGCCAACTTTTTTGAAGGCACATAATCCAACACGCCGTTGAAAAGGGCCGGGGTTATCGTTAGCGGAAGCAGGGAAAAGGAATAAACAAGAAACGGAGATAACTGATTATTTCTGAATACCAGACTTCCAACAATTTGTAGGGTATATGCTCAGTTGGCTTTCGCTGAAATAGAGAGCCTCTCACGATATGCGGGGATCAAAGTTCTAAAAAAATAAAAATGGAAAAAATGAAAAATGAAAGCAAGAAATATGGTATGCGATTCCGGAGCTTAATAGGCTATGCGGGCCTTTACTGTGTCGTACATTGTGTTTGTCCACCATCCTCTTCATCTTCATCCTCCCAAGATGAGTTTCCTTGGGTGTCTTTGGATCCGAACTCCCCGAGGCTCGCCTTCGGATCGTACTCGACATCATCTACCGTTTCGGCCTTGATGGTAGGACCCGGTCTAGGAAGGATCTCACGTAGCTTCGTAAGAGCAGTGGGATCTGAAGCCCACCCATCATCCGGGAACTTGATTTGGACAGCCAAGTACAGATCGCCTCTCGCATCACTTTTCTTGAAAGGCATGCCCTCTCCTGCGACTTTGAGGATTTGGTTAGGTCTCAGAACAGAACCTTCTGTTTTAGGGTGTGTGATCTCGATGCCTCTTCCGTCAAGGTGTTTCAGCACTACACGGGAGAAACCGCAGAGCGCCTCAGCTAAGGTGACTTCAATATCGGCCATCAGATCCGCACCGGCTCGTCGGAATGTTTCATGCTCTATTTCCTCTAAATGGAATATAATATCTCCTGGCTCTGTGTTTGGCAGCTGGTCTCCCTCTCCCTCCAATATGATCTTGTCACCTTGTCTGCAAAAGGGTCAGGAAACATTAACTTCAATGGTACGAAGACGAGAGCAGGATCCGAAACATACTTCGCGCCACGTGGAATATAGACCTCGAGGAGCTTGCGCTCTTCTGTGACTTGTTTCCCTTTGCATTTTTTGCATTTGTCTTTTGGTTGAAAAAAGCTCCCTGAGCCTTCACACACCTTACATTCCGCCATAGCCCGGCTGACCATGCCCGGCCCTACTTGTACCAAGGTTTCCCTGTACCCTAATATGTTTAAGTTGTTATTAGCGAACAGATCATACTGCTCAAAATACTGGGGTACTTACCAGCACCCCCGCAAGTAGAGCACAGTTTTGGTGTAGCCTTTTCTTTCCCACCCTTCCCTTTACAGAGACTGCATAAGACATTTTTGGTACTTGAAAACTTGACGGTCCGGCCTTTGTACAAGTCCTCCAAACTCACTGAATACTCTTGAACCTCGTTTTGTCCCTTTCTTGGCTTGCTAGGTCTTGGCCCGCCAAATCCCGGCATGCCTCCTCCCATATTCATCCCCCCACCGAACATCGACGCGAGGAGATCATCGAGATCGGGGCCGCCTTGCATACCAGCCCGTCCCGACCCATCAAACGCCGACATTCCATGGGTGTCGTAGATGTGCCTCTTCTCATCGTCATAGAGGATGTCATAAGCCTGGTTCACGGCCTTAAAGCGTACTTCAGCTCCCTCTCGTTCTTCTGGGGAAACTTTATCGGGATGGTGCGCAAGAGCTGCCTATGGAAAGAGATAGGGACATGTCTATTAGTTTCTGATGAACGAACTGTTTCTGAACGTGACTGTAGGGGCTGCACACCTTGCGATAAGCCTTGCGTATATCCTCTTTCGTAGCAGATTTGTCGATGTTCAATATATCTGTCGCAGTTGAATGTCAAGAGCCATTACACATAAAAAGGAATGTGCCAAAACTCACTGTATAAATCCGTCTCACCGTCAGCAAAATCCACTATTGGCCCCGGTTAGCGAAATTGGCGAGAAAAAGATCCTCGAGTTCTTCATGGACTCAGAGGTAAACAACGAGCAACTCACTTTTTGATACACAGGAAAAACACTGTTATTTTGGATCCTCAGGGTTAACAAGTAGTATGTACGGGTAAAAGAGCGACTTGAGGAAGCAACAGACAAGCAGAATATGCGTGCCGTCTCTATATGATGACAGTGATGGTGTTGAGCTGCCTGTTGGAAAATTGATAATCAGAGTTTTGGTTGGCGGCGGCGGCAAAGATTTTCCTCGTCGCGGACACCACCAACAGAAAACACCGCCATCAAACCCGTGAATTGCAACGATGTATTTAACCGAGCTCTATTCGGCCACAGGACTAGAATCGTGAACTTCCTTACTATGCCATATGATTTGCTATTGGAATGAACGTTAATTCTTGTTTTCCCCTGCATTGAACCTGCTGTCCTGACAATGAGGCCGCCATATCGGCCAAAACGCGCCATTTCTCCCTGTATATTCTGCGGCGCAAGGTTCTCTACAACAGCAGGTCGTCTTGCGCGGAAGCAAAGCAAACTACTACCAGACTCCCCGGCGCGCACTCGTTTCGCCCCGTCTCCTACGGGATACCTCCACCTTGGCTCGCTTCGGACGGCCTTGTTTAACTACCTTCTCTCGAAGCGAACGGGCGGCAAGTTTCTTTTGCGGATCGAGGATACGGATCAGGTTGGTTATTCCCTGAAGCCTAGACGAATATTGAAAGTGTATTTGTATTAATTGTCGAAGAAAAGGATTGTTCCTGGAAGCGAACAACGGCTGTACGAAGATTTACAATGGGCTGGACTTTTGTGGGATGAGGGTATAGCTCATGTCGCCAACGAAGGAGAGATAGCCTAGAATACTAATACAACTATGCAGGGCCCATTGTCGGCGGCCTGTATGGTCCATACAAACAGGTATGCTGCTTCTCGTCGATTGATAGGAGGGTAAGAGCAGTTATTGATTGATGGAAACGAATCTAGTCCGAACGGACATCCTTGGGAATATACGGGCAAGAGATCAGCAAGCTTATTTCTGCGAAACATGCATACAGATGCTTTTGCTCCCAGGAGCGTCTCGATACTCTCGCGAGGCATCGAAATGACCTAGGACTTCCACCTGGGTATGACGGAGCATGCAGGGAAATATCGCCAGAAGAGGCTGAGGAACGAGCGCATAATGGCGAGCTAAATGTTGTCCGTTTGCGTGTGACCGGACCATTTCCTATTTTCACGGATCTCGTGTTTGGGAAAATTGGTCAGAATCAGACTGCGGGCGCTGGCCGGCTTAGCAGTCAGCAGAGCGACCCTATTTTACTCAAATCGGACGGCTATCCAACCTACCATCTAGCCAATGTGATCGACGACCACTATATGAAAATATCGCATGTTATCCGAGGCACGGTATGATCCTTTTCATCATCCTCGGACTAAGACATATTGTTGACAACCCAATTGTTCAGGAATGGATGGCTTCGACCCCTTTACATGTTGCGTTGTATAATGCTTTTGGATGGGAGCCACCGGCATTTGGGCACGTCCCACTCCTGACCGAGAAAAGTGGGCAAAAACTTAGCAAGCGTAATGTCGACATCGACATCTCATTCTTCAGAGATAAAGAGGAAGTTTTCCCTGAAGCTCTGAACAATTTCGCTGCGTTGCTAGGCTGGTCACATTCTCGAAAGTCTGACATTTTCAGTTTGAAGGATCTGGAGCAAATCGTAGGAATATTCAACGTCCCTGTTCCTATTCAAAACCACCTTCCACATAATGCTAATAGAGCATACGATAGTTCGATCTCAAACTCACCAAAGGAAATACCGTCGTTTCCTTCGAAAAGTTGTGGTTCCTTCAAAGTGCACATGCGCAGCGATATGCGACCGAAGGAGGGCCCGAAGCCAAGTCCATGGTCGATCGAATAGAAAAAGCTGTGAGAGCACAGTTCACAGACGAACAACTGTACGTTCCCGTATCTCGATTCAACTCTCTCCAACATCCATTTCTACATAGCCCACCCCATAGTTAAAACCACACTAACACCCATCCCACAGCTCTCCCCTGCTAAAAAACCATACGCTGGACGAACGCATTGCCTCCATAATCCGGGAAGGCGGAGCTCGCGGCTATACAAACGCAGCCAAATTCATTGAAAATAACAGGCCCTTTTTTACCTCATTCCTCAACCGGCCCCCCTATAACCCTACCACTCCATCTCCACCCCAAGAAAAATCCCAGCCCAAAAGCGAGACTGAAACTTCCTCCGCAATTCCTCCAACTACCACCCCAATCGCAGCCCTCCACACGGCGGCGGCAGCTCTCTGCCTTGTCCCTGTTGAGCACTGGACCACAGAAACCCACAAGCAAAACATATCTTACCTTGTCGGCGATTCCTCATACTCATCTCAGCTTGCTTCCTTTTCCCCTTCCTCACCTTCTTTCCCCACACAAACACAAACACCCTCAACACCAGCGTTCGCCTCCGAAAAGCAATTCCGTAAAGACCTCTATCACTATCTCCGCTGGGCATTATGTGGTGGAGCGCCGGGAATAAGCATCCCAGCAACTATGGCAATATTAGGCCGGGATGAATGTGTCCGGAGACTGCTGGAGGCGAAGGAATTGACTACGCCTTTGCAGCACGAGAGTGAAAATTTGGCTGGTGGACAGGGTGGAAAGCTCCAGGGAGGTATTTTGAGTTAGTTGCAGAGCCAAATGGGTGGTAGTAATGCTTAATGGCGAGGTTGGTGGTTTGCTATATTACTACCAATGTACAGTACTTATATTGCATATTATATTTATTGTCATTTTTGGTATGACGGTATTCTGAATTCTGAGTTATCCGCTACCACTGGCACGTTCTTTGCGATCTATAAGTGTAGGGTATACGGAGAGTATTCTCCCGCAAAAATACTCTTCTACCAGAACTTATACCGTACTTCATTTCCATTGCGCAGTGAATAAGAAAACATATAGTAACGAATTGAATTTTTGTCATCAAAGCCAATAATAACAGATGAAACGAAACTTCAACAAAACACGAATATTAAAAATCAAAATAGTCGACAAAATAAAGACTACTAATATCGTCGATAAAAACCCTATAAAGTACGAAAATAGAAAGGTAGAAAGATACTCGTAGGTTGCATAGGCCATCTCGTCAAACAAAACACTGGGCCGGGTAGTGAAAAAAAAAAAGGATAAAAGGAAAAAAAAGGATAGCGGAAGGCAGAAGAAAGGTCCCAAAGGCTGAAAAACAACACTAAACGCATGAAAACCAGAAATGCAATAGAGTTAGCGAACTCGCGAAGGGATAATTTACCAGAAACAGAATTGACAAAATACAACCACAACTCCAAAAAAAAAAAAAAAAAAAAAAAAGGCCCAAAACGGGAGACAAATACAAAATCGCGAAGCAGATGAAGGAGCGAGACAAAGCAAGAAAGAGGGTAATCACCCTGAATCGAAAATAATGTAGAACTTGGAGGGAAGGCTGGGTGTGAGGAGAAACCGAAGGCGAGAGGAGTAGGAAACTTGTGGATCAAAAGCACATCCGACAAAATTGCAAAGAGGAAAGGAACAACGACAAACGACAAAGCCCGATGGGAGACTGGTGGGAGAAAGGGTGTATTATACAAAACTTTGTTGACAAGCAACAGCACAAGGGACCCAGATTCTCATCATTGGCGTAAATCAGTTAAGTCGGGTCAGAGTCGTCCATTTAGTTACAAAGGCAAATAACACATCCGGCTTCATCAGGGGCATTTCCGCATTGGAAGTTGTATTTCGAAACAACTCATTTCAGCAGCAGGCTTTTCATTTTTCAAATAGAAACAGAAAAAAGAAAGAAACGGGAAACTGCCATGCGTTAGTAAGTCTCCATATCGTCAGTCCAGCCAGCATCGCTGCCAGCGACTCCCATAACCTGACCGTTCTCCTCAAGATATTGCTCATCCATGCCAACTCCACGGATCCCCTTAGCCTTTTTGCCAGCCAGAGTGTCCATGGCTCCAATATGCAAATCTCCTCCAAGCCGCTTGCCTTGGGCGGCTCTCAGTTTGGCGTAATAAACGTCCGTGGCGTCGATTTCAGGTTCAGATTCACTATCATATGTTTCCCAATTTTCAGATCCTGATGTGGCAGTTTGTATAGTGGAGGTATTTGATATTTGTCGACTAGCTGGTCGTGGAGGGGGACCCATTGGCTCATGTTGATGCTGTTGTTGCATGTAAAGTTTCGGTTGATGTTGCAGTTGCGGTTGTGATTGCTGTCTTTGATGGCTGTAATAATTTGGGTTTTGGACACTAGCAGCCGGGTTGAAAGATTGCACCATTGAATGAGATGAACCGGGCCTGTACTGGGACATCGAAGCACTCAAGTAGGAGTGCTGGTTTCGATCATCGTAAACATCCTCCGGCGTAATTGATCTCACATAGGAGTTTGATAACGACAGAACGCTGTTGCCATGATCTACGTCTGCATAGAATGAGTTCTGAGACATGTCCTGCCGCGCAGCGGCATTGAGATCTCGCATCTTAGGAGGTGGCGCACGGGGAGGTGGCATCTTGCCACGAATGCTGGAGGAGAAAGACTGAGGTGGACGGCGATCGGGAGAGTTACTCCCATGAGGCATATTCGCAAGAGGCGCACGGGATGGAATTTTCGTAGGCGATTTATTGCCATTTCCGGTAGTTGGATTTGGTGCATTACGTTTCAAGGTACCACTCCTCGTGGGAGTCTTTGCATGCGAAGGAGGCTGTGATCCTCTGACCGATCCACCACCGCGCATCGAAGATGGCGGTCTCCCTAGATTTGCACCCCTCTGTTGGGGTGGTCCACTTGGCGTTTTTGATCTTGGCGGAATTTTTGCTGCCGCGGGAGGGGCTATTTCATCCAGATATCGCTCACCGTGAACGAGGAATGGTCTCCCGTACTCATCCTCCCACTGTTCGAGGACTCTGCGCAGCTCTGCCTCGACTTTCGGTAGCTCTTTCGCAATCCTCTTTCTCATTTTCTCTTCCCTTAGAAGCCTGGTGGGATCCCGGCGTTCACCCTTATTTCCGCGAGCCATAAGACGAGAGGCATCCAGGCTAGAAGCCGCCAGGCTATCACGTTCTTGAACAAGAGTTCGATGCTTTTCGATCAGTTCAAGTGTAGGGGCACGTTGCTCTCTTAGTACTTCAAGACGTTCAATTTCTGCCTCGTGCGCTGAAAGCAGAGCATCACTGTAGACATCTGAAAACGCGGGAGTAAAGTCAAGCATCTCCTCCTCGGAATAGAATAAGCTATCCCAAAGTTCCTGAAGTCGGCAACGAGCATCTTCAACGAACAAGTGAAGGTTTTGTCGCTTCAACTCATTCAAGCGGCTCAGCTCGTCCTCAAACTCATTGATCACCCTGAGACCACATCCGCGATTTCCGGCTAGGAAGCCTTTTCTGTCAGATTCCTCAACCCCTAAGCGATCCCATAATGATTCAACCGCAGTTCGCAATTCGTTGATTTTTCGTTCGCGTCCGCGCTTTTCGTCGATTAATTTATCTCGCTTTTCACGAAGTGAGGAAAGATCTGATTCGTGCAATCCTAACTGCTCAGGCGATTCGCGATAATGCTTAACAATTGGGGAGTCAGTCTGTGCTTGCGGAGTACCTAGCTCCGCCCAGAGTTTTACTATTTCTTCCGAAATATTCTGCACTACTTGGACACGACGTGTATATTCTTCATAAACCCGAGTGAATTCTTTGTCCAGGGCTGATGCGTATGATGGCGAGAGGTCAAAGGTGGGTGGGATGGCAGACCCGTCGGTGGTTGGAGGTAATGGGACCTTCACAAATGATGGCTCAAGGTGAGAGGAATAAGACTCGAGGGCTTGGACGAGCTCTAAACAAGGACAAAATATCAGTTACTCTTTCATCAGACTGCGAGTTGGAGGCAACTTACTTTTTATTTGCTCAAATCTTTCACGATGTAATTTACTGATGATGGAATACTTCTCTTTCAATACTTGCAAGCAGCGATTGAGTGGGAAAGTAATACGGAGATCTCCGTCATCTATTTTATGGGTATGTTTGGTGGAGTCATCTAGAGACGCTTCCATCTGTTTAATCAATTGAATTGTCTGTTGCGCTTCATCGAGCATGTCATTTTTCTCACTGTTCACGAATAATTAGTAGGAGCGCAAAAAGCATGGAAGGTCTCTTACCAATTAACGCGCCGGAGGTGGCTCTGGAGGGTGTCTGATAGGGATGCGAAAAGCTATACAGTATATATTAGCACCACCTGTTCTACAGCTGGCTTGAATACAAATGGCTCACCTCTTGCTCCCGCGACTCGCGCTCATGACTAGGGACGCCTATCTCGTCAAACAGTCCATGCAGTTGACTGATGATAGATGTGACCTGCGTGGTCAAGTAGCCAGTATCAATGGCCATTGCCATGAAACAGCCTTACCGTGACTCCACGACAGACGCGAGCAGAAGTTTAAAACTAGCCGTTGGCAGATGGGTCGTTTCGTGGAGACGAAAACAGCACTATAGCAGTTCTTTGGGTGCTTTCACAGAAGCATTCAGCGATAATGCGCGTAGAAAGCGACAATAGATGGAAAATTCGATGGCGCTGTAATAAAAATTATGTTCATGTACAACATAAATGAGACATAGTAAGAGGGAGAGGGCAAGCACCAGTCTGGAACTGTCGACGGTGGAGATGGAAAATGGATTGTTTCCTGTAGAATGTCGTTGGTTTCTTATTCCTTGGATGCTTGGATGCGGCTCGGTTGTTGACGGTGGCATCGTTGGCACGACAACGGATGACTAAACACTCTCACCGCCTTAGTATTGCCGATTACCCCACGTCACGTGGAGATATTTCGCCAGCTTCTCCAAAGGCTGCATCAGATAAGCGGATTGAATCCTGACCATCTCCTCATATAGCTTCATTCTTCTCAGAAACAACTGTTATTCATTTTCAACCTGGTTCGCCATATCAAAAATTGATCAAATATATCGGTTGCCTTCTCCTCCACATACCCTGTGAAAATATAGCTGCAATCTCAACCACCTCTCGAGCCCCTTGCTCGCAATGGAGGCAGCCAGACAAGCTTGGGGTATGTTCTCCTATTTCCATTTACATTAATTTCAAACAAAAATAACGAAAATATAACAATCTCTCAAGAATTTGAAAATTCCCTCCAACTCGTTGACCCACAACGTGATGCGCTCTACAATTATGACCCTGCCGTCCATTCCGCCCTCACCGCCCAAAAGCCCTGGTCAACCGACCCACATTACTTTAAACACATCCGCATCTCCGCCGTTGCACTGTTAAAAATGGTCATGCATGCCCGCTCCGGTGGGAGTATAGAAGTCATGGGCCTAATGCAAGGTTACATCGCCGCCAACACGTTCATCGTCACCGATGCCTTCCGTCTTCCAGTGGAGGGCACAGAGACCCGCGTCAATGCTCAGGAAGAAGCAAATGAGTATATGGTCACATATCTACAGGCATGTCGGGATTCAGGACGACTCGAAAATGCCATTGGTTGGTATCACAGCCATCCGGGCTATGGGTGTTGGTTATCCGGCATCGATGTCTCAACGCAGGATACACAGCAGAGATATTCCGATCCCTTTGTAGCGGTTGTGATAGACCCTGATCGTACGATATCGGCCGGCAAAGTTGAGATTGGTGCCTTCAGGACCTTTCCGAAAGATTATACGCCGCCTAAAAATGAGCACGATGACGACGACGAATACCAGAGCATCCCATTGCATAAGGTGGAGGATTTCGGCGCACATGCTGCCCAATACTATTCGCTTGAGGTTTCGCATTTCAAAAGCACTCTTGATACTAAAATACTTTCACTATTGTGGAATAAGTACTGGGTTGCCACGATTAGCCAGAGTCCGTTGTTTACGAATCGCGAATACGGGAGTAAGCAGATTCACGACCTGGGACAGAAGATGAAGAAGGCTACTTGGCAGATTGATCATAGTTCGTCACGGGCTGGGGGAGGTGGTGGAGTTGGAAGCGGCGCTGCATTGCTAGTGAAAGACCAGCATCTAGAAAAGGTGGTTAAGGAGGGACAGAGAATTGTGGGCGATGAAGTGAATGGGCTGATGGCTGCTGAGATTAAAAAGGCGTTGTTCTATGGCATCGGACAGGGAAATACACAAAGGGCCACAGATGAGCAGACGCAGGAGGCGTAGCTTTATTTGAGGTTAATTTCCATTCCCTAAGCCACCAGCTTATGACTCTCATTGTTCCATATAAACCATGTTTTTCGCATGTCAACGAGAGGACATTATACCTTCCCTAATGACTAATGCCATCACAATAGAGTTGAGATTATTGTGTCTTTCATGCGGCACATTACTTACACAGTGTTCTTTTTACTACTCTTATCACATGTGAATTTTTTATCCTGCGTAACTGGAAGATTTTGCATCATGTACTAGCTTACAGCTATAGCGGGGCCATATGAGTTGGCCACTCTCCTAGAGCCTATGAAACAGAAAAACACACTTCTAATGTTCATTCATTTATTCATTCCATTCCATTCCATTTTATCATGTAGACTTGACTAACAACGCTTAACAACGCTTCGCTTTAAAATCACATGAAAACTCGTTTTCTGTTTCAGGAGTGTAATTCGATCAAATCATCACTCCATAAGAACATTCAGTGGAAACTCCAAGAAAAGATCGAAAAGATCGCGCACATATATGAACCGCCCATTTATTGATTGAAAGGGAGAAATAGTATAAAGAGTAATATAATTGCGGTAAGAAGCAATGAAGGGGAAAATGGATGATATAAACAACGAAACCCCTGGAGGTTATATAGCTTGAGACTTTAGAGACAAAAGTCATCAAACAAAAAAAAGAAATAGATCACTTCATGTCATTCCATGGGTGAAAGAAACTCAACTAGGACAAAGAATTGTGCGACATGGTTGTAGAATTTGAAATTTGAGCGCGGATGCGGGGAATGGAGGGGAGGAAATCTCGGATCACCAGGCGAAATAGCTAGTGAGTGAGGTTATCCACGACTCTAGAAGTATATTCATTCTGGAAAGCACTATGTGTGCCGAAATATTCTCACTTCCAATGAATTGACTTGTTTGGGCAATTATAGTTCCTTACTCTCCCACGTTGGACGTTGTATTAGACCCGTACGGGGGCGGGGATGGCAAAGGAGTTACTGGAGAGGAAGAAAGAGGTAGCAAAGGCGTCATAGGTCTGGGAGCACTAATATCAAACGGTGTATCATCACCTCCTTGTTTCTCCGTCGATGGCAGTGGGCACGCACCCTTTTCCATCTCCCTTTCTCCTGGCGAACGCGGACCCTCCTCATTTTTCTGGCTGATCGATACCTGTATCGTAGTGGTTTTCAATAAGCTTTTTGATGACTTCAACATCTGTTCCTCTTGCATCTGTTCGGGGTCCTCTGAAATTCCAGCGGCTTCAGCGGCGGTTATCGAGCTTTGGTGGGAAAGTGTCTCACCCCCGTAGTGGAATGGGGGGAAAAGAGTTGGGAAGAGCATCGAGAGTGGTGTGCGGAGCATGGGGAGGCATGCGCAAATTATAGAGGTGTTGGCTTCGACCATGGCCCACATCAAAGTATTGACGGTACCTTTGCTTCGGTCATGGGCTTGTGAGCCAAAAGGGATGGTTGTCATGCGTATGACCGATATTACGCAAACGCTATTCAAGGGAAGGCGGTTAGAATGCTGATCATGATATATTTCTGTGGCAATTTTCACTCGAGAGATTTGTGCTCACAATATTCCCAAGGCAAAAATACACATTAAACCGTATTTCTGTCGAGGTGGAAGACGAAGTCTATGAATCACAGGCATGGGGAGAAGAAGAGTGACAATGTCGCTGCTTGATGTTGAAATAGCATTTGCAAGCCAATGGGCCGTAACATTTATGCATTTGCCTGGGATTGACATGTCAAAGTTTTTCGCGACCGGCCTGCATTCAAGAAGGTTTGCCGCGACGGAGGCAATGAAATAGAGAACGACAAATACAAAGACGATGTTGACTGCAATTTGAAATTTGCGTGTCGCGAAGATGCGCCGGTATAGGAGGAGAATTGACATTTTGCAGATGTTCAGAGTGGATTTGTAGGCAATTTGCACAGCCCAAAACAACTAGATAATTATTTTGTTAACTCTTACTCCGTATGATTATTTCTCCCTCCTTTGATTTTAGAACGCCATATGAAAGCTCACCTTCATGGATATGAGCTGCTGAGATTTCGACAGCTCATTCCACGGTTTCCCGTAACCGTAAGAAACGCCTACCATCAGGTTAGAGTCCATCTGCTCTAGAGGCTAGCCATGAGTGATTGACGCCTACCAACAAGCGGGATAGTATTCATCGCAATGCACGAAATCTATCCATAAAAGTCAGCATCAGAACATTGACATCTTTAATTGATGTTCAATCCAACAACAAGACAACAACAGCATGACATACCATGCCATGATAAAGAGGAATGAGGAACAAGGTTAACACATGGAAAGAGCAAAATACTTACTATAGCAGCAATAATGGCATAGTCATCCCATGCCAAAACTTTGGCCAACTTTACGCGGAAGTAAACACGATTGGCAACCAAGAGGATCGCGATACTGGGCATGAGGAGTTGCACAACGACAAGGTCGGTCACCCCGGAGTGGAATGGCGCGTGCCGCCGTGTGAACGTGTGAAGCTCATTTAGAGGAGCCATTGAAGCGTATCCAGAGGCTAGGATGGGAGATCCGTAGATACGAATGAGCGGCGAGTAGCAAGCAGGCAGGTGGGGGAGAATATCAAGGCTTGATAACCTGCAGGGATGAGCAGACAACAGGGAAAGCAAAAGGACACAAAATTCCGAGAGCTATCGAACAATACAGCTCTTCTCAGGTTGATCCAGTTGCGATGGTGATTGCCTCTCGTCAACAGGAACTAGAGGTATACGACAACAGTTTATCGGCCCAGGGAAGATGAGCATGAGTGAAAACCTATGCCCAAACAACACCCAAGTAACCGCAGAAACAGAGCGGGCAAATGCCTGCTACTACTGAGGAGAAGCCACAACAACGAAGAAGTGAAACTGACGACGAAGGCAGAAAACAGAACAGGCATTGAATAGACGCCAGTGCCGCCGAACTCGATGAGCGGAGGAGAAACACAGCGAACTTTATAGGAAGTTGTCAAGGAGTGTCGGGCGCTAGGGCCAAATTCCGGGGTTAGATGCACCATTTGACGCCTTACCATGGAGACCAGGCATGTAAATGTACATCGCTATGTGTTGAAATGTGCAATAAGAATTAGACCGTGCAGGAAAATCCCAAAACAGAAACAATACTGGCATCGTCCTCAAAGGAACAAACACCCTGCAACGGCCGCAGGAGATCCAAAATCCCTTATATAAAAATGGCACCGGCCATCGGGCATCATCAAACGCATGCCCCTTTTTCTCAATAACGAAATGGATGGAAAAAGACAATAAAGTGACCACTAACTCATCATCTCGAGTAGGTACTAGTCACTGACATGACACATCCTTCTGTATAGGCTGCTAGTGATCGCTTTTCCATTCCAGAACCATGGATGAACCAGAAAATCATCCATTCATTGACATTGACAGAGATCCCGATCCCCGAAGCAGACGGGCGGCTCATGATTGAGCGGAAATATCGGCCAAAAACCAAGCTTTGGGCGCCGTTCCACCGGCCAGTTTTATTCAAGACGACATGCAAGGTTTATGCCAGTCTATTAAGGTAGTGCCAAAGATGTGGAAAAAAGGCTGTCGCTATGAATGGATCGACAAAAGCCCTAATATTCATCTTTATTTCTTTGGCAGAATACCGTCCGAGGAGACCTACTCGTCGTCAATCTTTCTGGAATCCTAGATGTCGGTTTCGGACGATTGGAAACCCACAGCCGCCGCAAAATCGATTTTTTCTGTTTGCGCGCTTACAGTAAACGAGAGATACCGTACTGCACATACGGGAGATGGCATGAAAGTATATCAAACGTGGGTGTCAGCGCCTTCTTCTGCCTTATTCCTTGCTCGGAATAAACAGAGGAAGCAAATGTTACTGAGTACGGCACGGCCCCATTTGACACCGAAACGAACCACCTACCTGATAGGCAGCCCCTCGGGAGGTATTGAATTATATGTGGATATTGGGAGGGTAGGGCACAAAGAAAAGATACGCTCATGCGCGAACATAGAGGTTGAAGGATGGGGAGGAGACGCAGGAAAATCGATCATCTGCTTTGTTGGTAGAACAAAGAAGATGGGTTGATTTTTGAGAGACATGAGATTTCATTGGAGGCTTGCTCCCAGTGGAGCACTATGGAAATCGAGGCAGCTGTTAACAATTGGAAATGATAGACGTCTGAGCATGCAGTTCCAAGTGCCTAAAATGGTAAAAGAAACTTGAGGGTTGGAGCGGCCACGATGCCCTTGTTCAGTTGAGGTTAACTAACTAACCCCGGAATATTTAAGCTTTATTTGATAAGATGGTCCTTGCAGGACAATATTGGTATTATGATAATTGTTGAAGACGATGTCCTCAATCCTCCTGCGCTTCAACTATGATGTGATTGATTATATAGGTACAGGACATTCCTGTCTCCTGATTTCCACGCTATCTGTTACTACCCAAACCAACCCCAAATGACAAGTCCACAACAACCCGAACAAAAAGGGGTGGACATCCCCCTCACGGGCTACAAAATACATACAATGATCACAATCATGAGCAATACTCTCATGGCCACGGTTCTACCGAGCCTACATCAGCAATAAACAATTACCAATTCCATTTTAAACGCATCACGTAATAGCGATTATATCCCTCTCCTCAAATGATCAGGCATGTCATGGCTAAATATGATGCGCTCGCTATACATATATCCATACTCTAGAAATAAGAACGCACTGACATACTGTACAAATGCAATAAACTATACATATCACAATGCGCACAGTGCACGCTAATTACGGCGCCTTTGTCTTCGTCATGCTGAGCCGTTATTATCATTAAAAGAGATATCTCGAACGAGCGTTAAGGAGATCTATCCCCAAAGAATAGCCCCTGCATTTCGCTCACCACCATCCTTTCAGATGTTCCACCACATTCAGAATCCGCAGTATGGCTTCCAGAAGCGTAATCATTGAACTTCTGAATATCCCAAAACCTGAGTTCTGCTGCCACATCTGATGGGTCGCGAAGACCTGCGCTGATCCAAGATGCGCCGCCACTCCCAAAGAAAGAAAGAAAGAAAGAAAGAAAGAAAGAAATATTGAGCCACCTCCCCAGTAGTTGCTAATAAGTTCTGCTTTTTCCAGAGCATTATTCCTTCGATTTTGCTTCCCATAGCCACCGCGCCCAGACCAAAACCAACAAACCAATCGCAACCGCTACCTTCCCTCCCCTCCGCTCCCCTTCCACCAAATACCCCCGCCCCCCAACCATCGTGCTCATTACCCCATAAACCCCCGCAAGAGGCCATATCCCCCACACCCACCCTGTAACACGGCCCAATACACCGCGCCATCCCTCCCGAGCATTCCTGGCCCCGTCTTCTCCAACCCCAACCCCAACCCTAACCCTTTCGTAGACATCTGGCAAGTAGCTAGCCCCGTACTTCTCGCGCAGCCCCTCATACCACTGCCGATCATAGATGTCCCAAAATTCCTCCTCCGTGTAATACGTATGGGCATAGAGCCATTTGGTCCCCCGTAGCGCGCTCACCTTCTGTTCGATTGCGCGATTGACGTTGACGAAGGCGTCCGCCGTTGGGGGGCCCGGACACCAGAGGCCGACATTGAGAAGCATATCATCGGGTTGTGGTGCCTCGTCCGACAACGATGGGGACGGGGGTGGGTGCGAAGCTTGCGAATGCACCCATCTAGGATGCATCGAGCCAAAGTTTGTTGCACCCCGGCCCCTCCTCCGCAGCCGCAGCGGACACAGCCACAGGGGGAAACAGCCGCCCACCCGATCCCCCACTCCACTCTCCCGCTGCACAAAGTCCAAAAACTCTTCCGCGGCCGCGCCATGCGGCAACGCCAAGTCTTGGATGATATACTTCTGCGCGAACCCGCTGCGGTGCAGGGCGTGGTACATGACTCTGGTATGCAGGAAGCCGTCCAGGAGCCAGCGTGTCAAGGCCGTGAAGGGAACACGGAAGTATTTGAACGCGTAGTAGCCGGTCCAGAAGGCGCCGCGGTCGTAGCGGAAGAGGTAATCCGTGAGCGGGACCGTTTCGATGATGGGGACTGCGGGATCGGAGGGCGACGATTGGGACACCCGCTCCTGCGCGTGGGTGTAAAACCACGGATCGCGAGCGCGGGAGAAGCGCTGGATGCGTCCGCCAGGGCCGGTGATGGCATCCGTCAGCCGGCCGGAGACAACCACGCCCATCTCGGCGCTGAAAAGGATGGCGTCGACATAATCAACCTCGCCCGGCGGGCGGGCGGCCTGGGACCGCACCGTTTCAACCGCCTCGTGCACACTGGACACGGGCCGGTAGGAAACCTCGACGAAGGCCCGCGCCTCGATGAGACGCAGCTCGAGCAGCGTGGTGATGCCCAGCGAGCCCATCGAGCCCGCGAGACCATGGAAGAGGTCCTCTGCCATCCCATCCCCGTCCGCAGCACCAGAAGCAGACGCACCAACAACCCTCCCATCCCCCACAACAACCTCCACCCACCTAACCGCCTCATGAAACATCCCGTAGCGAAACGAGCTGCTCTCCCCGCCCATCCCCGCAAAGCCGCCCCCAACCGTGATGCCCGGAAACTCCATGACGACGGGGGGCACCAGGCCATGGCGCAGCGTCGCGGCTACCAGGGCATCCATCGGCACGTTCGGCTCCACCAGCGCCGTGCGCGCCCGCTCGTCGACGCTCAGCACGCGGTTGAGCGCGCTGGTGTCGACGAGCCGATCGCGCTGGAAGGCGAGGGCGCGCGTGCTGTTGGTTGCGCCGTGGTAGATGCGGAATGGGGTGCGGTTGGCGTGGAAGCGGCGGACCTGGGCGGCTATGCGGGCGACGGCGTTGATGTGCTCGTCGTCCATCTTTTATTTTTTATTTTTTTATAGCTTTTATATATATATTATATTGTATAATTTGTTATTATGATTACTAGTTATCTGCTGGCAATATCTGCAGCTCGCAGTATAGTGTAAATCTCCTCCGTGCACGGAAGCATGATATAATTAAGCCGCCTTAGCCCCAGGCCACAACAAGCCCTAGGAAACTGAGGTCCATTCAGTGGATCTAATAATCACCGCAGTCCAATAAATAAATAATTGATAATTCTATCATCATCACCAGTAGCAGCAGTAGCAGCAGCACTGCTCCGATTCCTAACCACGGAACCCATCTCTCGCCCGCACGGATTACCGTAACTTTAACGGTCTTGCTGAAGGCCTATTGTCCGGTACGAGTTAGTTAACGTTAACTGTCGCAATGCAACAATTTATGGGGTATAAAGTACGCACGTCCTCTACCACGTATCCCGCATCCATCTTTCGCGCGATTGAGAAACCCAGCCACCCAAAGAAGAGCGAGATGCCCCACATGCACGCCAGCGGGGTGGAGTAGAGCATGTTGGGGGTTTGGATTGGTTTGTCCCCTCTACTACCAGCATGGTGCTGGTGTGAGAGAGCTCTTTTGCCCCAGTGGCCTAACAGAGCACACAGTTTTCTTCATCATCCTTTTTTTTTTTTTTTGTTGATATGGGAAGAGAGAGAATGGAGATGGATCGTAGCACACACAGCACGCAGCACGCAGCACAGCAAACAGGTGTGTTCAGAAAGCGTTTTGCTGGCTCATAACTAACAGGTTGCGGCCACTAAAACACAGCTTAGTCATCAGTGGTCTTGAGCAGGCGCCCAACAAAGCTTTCATGGACTTTCTCCATCTATTTCTCCAGCTACGTATCATATATAGTTTTGCTCAGTTCTCTATGAGTCTGTTCTATTCTCCGCAAAGGACACGGATCTCCTCCGCCTGCCATGGAGAGCGTTGTTCACATACTTTCCCGGTTTTTCATCCGCTTCGCTCCCCAGCGCTGGCTTGTTGGTCTTTGCAAGTACCTCGATCGCAAGCAGAATCCCATCAAAAAGGACACTCCCCCTGTTGTCAGGCTTCCGGGTGGGATCGTCATTAAGTTCGGCCCTACCGCTACCCCAGGCGAAGCAGCAACGCAGCAATATGCCTACCAGCATCTAGATCCCAAGATCGTTCGCGTGCCGCAGGTTTATCGTTACTTCCAGTGCCAGGATCCTTCTGAACCAGTGTGGCTCTTTGGCTATCTGTTCATGGAGCACATCCCGGGCAAGACGTTAGATGAACTTGATGTTGAGGTTTACAAGGACATGACAGGACGCCTTGCCGGCATCGTCAGTCATCTCCATAGCGTGCGAGGCAGAAACGTCCCTGGCCCTGTGGGCGGTGGGGTGCCCCGAGGCAATATCTGGGGCTACCATGACGCTGAGGCTGAATTTGGTTCTGTGGAAGACCTCAATGCATGGGTCAACAGACGGATTGCCGTCATTGGCAAGTCTGTCGACTTTAGATCGTACCCTCTGGTGCTCTGTCATTTGGACATGTGTCGTCGCAATATTATCCTCATGGAAGACGGCTCTCTTTGTCTTCTGGACTGGGGCTTTGCAGGTTTTCTCCCGCGAATCTACGAGGTCGCCGCCATTGAGTTTTACTTTGATGAATACTCTAAGATGTTTCGTCAATCTGTGAACGAGACTATTGTGTTGGCGGACCAGGAGAAGAGAGACTTGGTTTTAATCAAGAGAGCTCGAGCTGCGAGCATGCGTTGCGCGTTGTAAGTAAAAAGTTCCACTCCTTAACGGCTTTATCTCGTTATACACGACTAACACCTCTTTAGCAATTGATGCGCCAATACGAGTGAATATCCCCCCCGGCTAAAGCACCATCCCATCAACCCAGATGTTTCTTGATCTCTTCAGTGACCGGTGGGAACCCAAGCGCGCTACACGAACACTCCTGGGACTATCGGGCTCAATTCGCGTACTTGGCCTTCGGAATAATTATATTCAATGTCCTCGTAGGCCTGCCTTACTCTGGTTGGACTAGCCGGGTCGATATAGCCAGCGTCCTCCATGTCTTGGAGCATCGTCTTACTGGTGCGGGTTAGTCAATGCAACTCATTAGGAAAACACTTTTCCTCTGAATATCTGTGGCGTGGAGTTGGCTTACACCCAAAAGCGGCATCCGACTCCACTAGGGGCTAATTGGTACTTATCTCTGCCTTTTTGCTCAAGGAGATCGATGATTTTTCCAACAGTCACCCCCTCGATGGCTCGCAGATCGATGTTGTGGAGAGCGGTATTCGACATCTCATACAGACAAAATTTCCGTTCCAGAGTGCCCATTACGGCCGTTGGATTAGCTTTGATCATGTTGAGCTGCACGGAACTTCTCTGTCCTGTGAGGAGATATATGGATGTATGGTTTTTGCTGCGCGTATCAGACTCGAAAATAATCCCCAAAGTATGCATGGTTACCCTGATTTCTGTAACAGGGAGGAGGAGGACATTTGCGTGGAGGGCTCTTGTGGATGACATCGTTTTTATTGACTCGAAAAGATATCCCGACTACTTGCTGTGAAGAAGGAGGATCCAACTTCGCTTTATGACGGCCTGTGCGAGCGTCCACCAGGCTGAAGCCCTGCGATGAACTCTACAACTTGCCCAATTTGGAGGCCCTGACCCCTTGATTCAATGCAGCCTCAATATCAATTGTCCAATGGTGGTGATGCCCCAGCGGATACCCTGCCAATATTCAATGCAACTGTACAGCCTGTGACACTGTCATCAACTGTATCAGAGAAAGACTCAACTTTACCACATACGTTACAACTCAGTGATGAGGGTGGAAATTTCACATTATCTGAAACAATGTAGTTGGAGGTCCCAGTGGACCTTCAGACTCAGTCAGTTGGCAATGTTGATTGGAATAAATTTTTTACAGGTACTAGTGTAGGGATAGAGCAGCAGCATAATATGAATATTGATACTGAAGACACAACAGAAATAATCTTTCAATCAGATTTCAATCCTGCTTTTGTTGAATTCTATGCAAACGAAAATGTTGAAATGCAAGCCTGGGCGGATTTTAGTTCATTGCTGGGCTTTAAGTGAATCAGAGTGTTTCATTGAATACTATTTAATAATGCAAAGACTTGAAAATACATTTGAAAGTCTGAGCCTTCTCTTGACATAGATCATAATTCATATTCTTATCAGTAAGTCAGTAAAATGCAGGAACCTCCACTGTCTTCATATTTCACTGGAGAATCCTGCCGCACTAGCAATACCATCTTCCTGGGGAACTTCTGCTATAGAAACCACAGGGGATTTCCCACCTTCAGTCCCTTCTCTATGAGACTCTAAGCACAACAGTGGAAATCCAGAACCCAATTTAATCACACTTAACACAGTGAATAGCTCTTATTCAATGAAAGGTTTAAAAAAGCCAACAGATCAGAGAACTCATGGAGGTAGACAAAACAACAATGAAGACAAGGCTTATTCTTGACTGATGATATCTTAGGTTTGAGGTTCTATTCTTCAATCAGTCCCATTCCTTAGTTTTTCATGTTTCCAACTTACTGTTTTAGAATCATTAAAGATGGCATCGTAGTCACTATTCCACTCCATATACCTCATTATGGGTTACATTCCCAGGAAACACTCAACAGTTCCAAAGCAAATACAAGAAAACTGCATTACTCAAGTAGACTGACTATATAGTACATGGCATCTTATTTAACAACAGAGCAAAAAGAAAAAAGGAATAAGATCAAAAAGATCAATAAATCAATAACGTATAGATATATATATGAATATATAATAAGGTAAGGGAAAAAAATGGAAGTAAATAATGATGAAAGGGGGGAAAAATCACAGCTTCTGGATATAATAAGAATATTAAGAAGCACGCATTGAACAATCAAGGAAAACAAAGCAAACAAAAACAAGACATGCATGCAAAATCAGTTGAGAAAACAGAAAACAAAACAGAAAACAAAACAGAAAACAAAACAGAAAACAAAACAGAAAACAAAACAGAAAACAAAACAGAAAACACTCGCTAGATAAATCAAAGCCAAAACATAACTCGCATCAGAACAAAGGAAAATGACAACGGAAAAAAAAGCAAGAAAAGCAAACAGCAAAAGAGGAATAATAATATAGCTAAGAGCCTTGATTGAGTGCTCAAAACATCAACAAAGGCAGCCGAGACTATTATGCACACGAATGGCAATTTGGATTTGGGAGGGGAGAAGGCTGGAGAGAGGACGCGATAAAAAACAACAACATTGCGACACGCAAAAACAGATTGAAATGGGTTGGTGTAGTGAGGACGGAGATTGGGGCTGACCACTTTGACTCTAAATAGAACATAGCTCGGACGAAAATGAAAAGATTTGAACAAATTGTCTCGGAATAGAGGTAAAAAGAAAGTTCTAAAAAGTCAACAAACGAGCGTGGGGTTCCATAACTAAGATGGAAGAAAATATAGGAGGTGTTGAAGCGAGTGATAAAAAAAAAGGGAGAAACAGAGAAATGGGCAATGGCATTGAAGAGCGATTGACACGAAGACGAAAAAGGCGTACGCAGAAAGTGTACTTGTGTTATCAGCTGGATGAAGCAAAACACAGAACGAAAGCACGAAACGAAAATAGCAATTAAAACCAAAGCTGCTGAAGACGATGATCAACGATGAAGGTATCAAGAAAAGATTCAAAACAATCAAGCAATAAAAGGGGAGGAGGACAAATTAGCTCCCCTGTCAAACCAAAAATTGAATATATATAAGAAGCGAAAGGGGTAAAAAAAAAAGACACTAAAAATTAAAGGGTTGTTGAGGGATGAGGAAAGGGAAGAGGGGATAGAAACACGCAGGACCAGCCGGTGTAAACATGCTGTCTATGCCAACAGCCCATCAACAAAGTAAAACCAACCAGACCGGACTCCTGTGTGCTCTCTAAAAAAAAATTGAACAAAAAGATCAGCATGGGAGATCATTTGGAAAGACAATAAATGATGCAGAACAAATTCACAACAAAAAAATCGACGCAAATAAGAAAAGCCCAATATCGGGGATAAGGGATAGGGCAAATTCATGGAGAATGCAGTTGGATGCCTTGGAAATCCGACCACCCAATAAAATAAGACGTCTTGTTTCCGATGCAAAACAAAAAAACACCCTGCCGGCCTCCATTTGCCTTACCTGTCCCCGAATCCTTTTCCACAGTTCCAGTGTATAACGTCTCCCAATGGTTTCAAAAAAAAAAAAAAAATGACAAATGCAATTTAAGGAGAGCGAGAAAAAAGAAAAATAGTCGGAAAATTTCGCAGATTCGCAAGCGGTTGTTATGCCACTTTCAAACCATTAAAAAAAAAAAACCATGCCAAAAAAATCGTGCGAATAGAGTCCGAGAATCCGGTGAACGCCGCAGAGCCCACCGGAAGTATAACGAAAGAAAAATCCAAAAGCCAATTAAACAGCGGTATGCGGTTGGATATATGCACGAAAGAAACGAGACTTAATAAGGATAAAACGAGGGTGAAGAAGTCCGAAGAGTCAGTCCGGCCAGGGTGATAATTAATATGCTGTTCCAACACTCGCGAGGCCCTGTGTAGGCATGGGCTCCAGTACATGCTCTGAAGTCGAGGTCACCATTGAATCCTCATATCCAACCAAAGCCTGTGAGTGAAGCTTGAATGACTCGCCCATGAGCTTGGTAATACTGTATGTGAATGGAATCGATTAGCAACTACCATGTTAAGACCAAAGGACGGAATTAAAAAAAAGAAAAGAAAAAAAAACGTACCCCCAAACCACCACGCCGTCCAGTATGTTGCCCCACACACGTGCGACCGTAGAACTGAGATTCGACGCACAAGCATCAACAGCATCATCATCGAAGAGATTCCGTACTTTGTTGTAGATAGCCATTTCAGCTTCAGTAGCCTGTTCCTCGTCATGTTCCAGACGGTAGAGCCAGAGGCTTAGTATCACCATCATATCCAAACCACAGAGGGGGTGTTCCACGCTCCAATTAGTTGCGGAAGTTTTTGCAACCCAATTGATGCCTTGAATGGCAGCTATTTCAATGCATTCAAAGCATTGCTGGATGACCTTGTTCATCTCCTGGGATCGCTTGACTTTCTCGCGTGCGACTGTCATGGCAGCAGCAACTTCGTAAGACGAATGGTAACGGAGGGCTTCCTGTATCGATTTCAAGTCAACTTCAAGTCGAGCACGAGTATTTCGATAAACGGCCATCGAATTGAATATCAGCGGATGGCTCTTTTGCGGGGTACTGAGCGGAACAACGATGGTTTCCGGTTCACACAGCTCAAGAGAGCTCTCCCAAGTTTCGATCGCAAGACGTAGCTTGAACTCCGTTACAACATCCTGAAGAGCCTGAAAACTGCGTTTGTGGGACCAGACTTGAAGGAAAAGCGCATTGATCATAACACGAGTGGCAAATGCGCTATACCTTAGGGATTCGCCACGGAAAAGGCTGTCGTGGGCTTCTCTGACTGTGACAGTAGGCGCAGCTGAGCCCAGGCATCGGCGCCAAGCATCTTCATTCGATATCTCCAGGTTCCACATTGACTCTGACGAAGGAAGTTCCAGTGACTCGATCTCATCAAAGCTAATAGCCGGTGTATGGTTGAATGTAAGCGTCAGCATTCCGAAGAAGATATACACGGCGTAGTAAGTTCGTCGACAGCCCTCATCTTCGATCCATTGCTCACGGGTCGGACGCACGCCTTCTCTAGCATCTATGCGAAGCTTCAACTGGTAACGATTACCGGCAACCATCTGGACCAAAGCATTAGCGAAACAACCAATATTTAGTAAGGGGAATGGGTTTAAAGAAATAATAACCTACATTGGCGAGCAGACTCTTGATGGAACAAGTCCATTCTAGGCCCTTCGGGTCACCGCTCCAGCTTTCAAAGATCATATTCAACAGAGTACTTTGCATTGCCCAGAGAGGACATTTTCTTGAATCGAAATTCTCTTTATGTTGAAGGAACTGATTAACAAGGACCTTTGATCCAATATGAAGCATGAAGGCGTGCTCGCGTTCAAAAGTGTACAGGGCCCCAATGGACAGCACTGCGAGAAGTAGCGGTGGCGAAACTTCTGAAGGGGCGAACGATTCCTGATGGAGGAAGGGTAGATGGTGGTGATAAAGGTTGAAATACGTCGCCAAATACCGATTCAAAGCGGCCGTTGATGGTAGTTGGAAGGTATCAGGGAGGGAACCAACCGCATCGTTACTCTTAACATGCTCAATAATCGCATCTCGTTCAGCATCGTCCGCAATCTGGGGAGCCTTAGGTAAAGTCAAGGCTTGGCTTGGACCAGGCGATCGACGATAGTTGACTGGAGACAGCGGCCCAGTCATCGAAGGGAATGGGGAAAGAGCGTTTGGCGTCGAATTCCCCGAGACTGGAAGCGAGTTGACCAGTGAATGCAATGCAGGAGTCAGGCTGTCTGTACCCATGCCATGTCTGTCGAGAGACGACCTGTGATGATGGTTGCGATTGGAGTCTTGAGATGTGAGGCTTGATGATATCGAATGTGACTTGACATCTGGGGTGGACATGAACGTATCCCAGGGCATTTGGGGCAAAGTTGCGTTACCCGACAGGTATGCGACGGAAGGCTCGAGAATGACAGCGCGATCGGGGGAATAGGTATCGCGACAGTCACCATCATGGGTTTGGTTGGTAGCTGCCGCAGCGGCCTTGTGTTGGAAATCTGTCATTAACATCGCAGCAGTTTCAATGTCAACCATACCGTCGCTGCTTGCCTCAATTTGTCCCAGAGCCGCGGGGTCTATTGTGATGGAAGGCTTCGACGGAGTATTTGATGTTGTCGCCGCTTTCTGTCCACCACGTCGACGACCCTCCGTTACAAGCGGGATCCCTCCATCCTTAGCATGGACTGTACGGTCATGTCGAAGGAGCAGATCCCTTCGAACAAAGGTGCTCCGACATTTTAAGCATTTAAAGGGCCGTTCCTTCGTATCTAAATGCGGCAGACGTTGTCAGCTTTTCTCCTTTGCATTGCGCGAAGGTGAGACAAGGGATGTGGGATAAAAAGAGGTGGTGGGATGGTGGAGGGCAAGAGGAAAAAAAGCTTTCCCTATCTAGGAACAAAGAACAAATGTTGGGTTTGGGGGGTTCTTCCCCCACACCGTTGTTCCAAAAACAGCAAAAAGAAAGGCAGGAAAAAGAGGGGGAGGGAAGAGGAAAAAATTAAAATAAAAATAAAATAAAAATAAAAATAAAAAGATTAAAGAGATAAAAGATGAAGCGAAAGAAAAAGTGCCTGAGAAAATACAGAACAATGGAATCTCAAAAGAAAATAATATCCAACGTACGTGATCGTTCATGGCGACTGCGGTGTTCACTTCTGCTGAAAGCGCGATTGCAGAACTGGCATTTGTACTTCTTCTCTGGAGCACCCGTAGATTTCTTCGCGGCCTGATTGCTACTGGAGGCGGTGGGGGCCATGGCTCTTCTCTTTTCTCTTTTCTCTTTCTCAACAGCGCGTAGGTGACAAGAACACGGCGGCGGGAGACGGGCAGGCAGGCAGGCAGACAGCAGGTGGATGGGTAGATATTAAAGGCACGACGAAGAGAGGATGAGATCTATCGGCGGTTGCGACCTTTCACACCGTGTCTGCGAGGGGCGGGCTGGTAATAGAGGGGAGGAAGATGAGGATAGGAAACCGATCATTCCTTGGGGTGTGTATCGCGGAAAGGATTCGAAATCGAAGATAGCGAGTGGAATATAACGGCGGGTCTGTTGGCTGAAGGATAGGTAGAGATAATAAATAGATCGGGAACAACAATAAAAATAAAAATAAAATAAAAATAAAATGAATAACGGACGGGGTTCCAGCCACGGACTGATTTGTTCCCGGTTGAGAGAAAGAGAATCAGAAGAAAGAAAATGTAGAGCAAGAATGAGGCGATCTCCCGACTTCCCTTTCTCACTCACACACTCTCTTTTTTTTTGTTATTTTTTTCCTTTATTTTCGTGGGATCCCCGGGTAATATAATATACTGATTCTGGCTCAGGCGTTTTTTACACCCTCTCTAGGGGGTGTGCCGTTAAGTAATTTCCAGGGCGATCAACATTCCTTTTTTAAACATGGGGGAAGAAGGGGATCGTGTAGGAAGGGGGAGGGGATGCGAGGAGGAAGAAGAAGAAGAAGAAGCAGAAGAAGAAAAGGGAGGAGAGAACAGCACAAGCCCGGATGAGACGAGATGAGGAAAGGATGAGGTGGGAGCTGGAGCGTCAGAGAGGAAAGGAACCAGCGCCGGAAGGGTGCCGTGGAAGTCGTGGCTGCAAGGTATTTGGTGCGCGCAAGCGACGACTGAGGGGCTTCCGCGCTCCCCGTGGCCAGCGCAGAGGGGAAACGGGCACCGCCAACTCGCCCGTTTCGCCAGTTCGCGTGCCTCCAGCGCTTGCTGCCACTGCCCGCGGTGCTAACATCCACGGGCTGTCCCCCCCGCCTCCTGCTTACAGCCAGCCCCTGCCGTGGTATAATACCATCTGGTATTGTATTACACAGTATGGTATCTATCCTTTGTGGTTGAGAAAAGGGGATCAGCCCTTTCTTCTGGTTTCTGCGCAGACCTGTACAGACCTGTACAGCTGGTACGAATTAAAATACACACGTCTTCCGTTCTGCCCATTCCGTAATAGGGCAAGGGCAGCCCGTTGGGGGAAACCCTCCAGTCCTAATCAGACACAGCGGCCAAGCCACAACAGCCCGGGATCGTTGTCGTATTGAAGTCGGGGGTTCTTTGGCCAAATAACTGCCACACACAAGACGCTAAGTGGGTTGGAAATGTGGCCAGTTGTTGATCGAAGCGACTCCAAAGATCGTTGGAGGGGCCAGAATGGAGCAGAGGGCCGCATCTACATTATCTACTTATTCATTTATTTCTCTTTCCAAGGACTCCAGGGAGCCAGCCCGGCAAGCTAACTCGAATCACTAATTACGGAGCAACTTGTGCATATATTTGAAATAAAAGAAGAGGAGGAGAAGAAGAAGAAGAAGAACAAGAGGAAGCAGAAACAGAAGCAGAAGCAGTGCTCCTCCATGGTAGTTTTCTTTCTTCGTTCTGAGACCGCCGCCATCGCCAAGACTCCAACAGCATTAGCAAACACAACATCCGCGCCTCCTTGCTCCATGCTCGCATACGCAGGATGTCCACTTTTGCCCCTCTTCGCCCCTCAGGAGATGGCCCAGTATCGGTATGCTCGTCTGCCTCCGGGTTATCGTTCCCCCCAATCCAACCTCCTCGGTCCGAAACTATAATCTCAATGGTAATTCGCCGTCCTATTTAGTTGGTGATTTTTATTTGCGCTCTTCTTCATTTTTTTTTTTTTTTTTTTGCGCACTGCATGACTAGTTTATAAGCTGAACTAGTCAAAACCATCCCTCAACATCCTTTTTTTTATGGGGATTACCC